CCACTAGCAGCTCGGCCCGCCGGGAGTGCTACAGGGGCTAGGCCGATTCGCTAATCAGGGCCATCAAGGTTGGCTTGCTTTCAGGGAGGATGTAGGGGATAGAAGATCCAATATGGAAATCTCCACCTCTTCTCGATCGAACTTGATGGCGCTGAGATGCCATAGTAGAGACCACCAACCAGAGGCTATCGCGAGGCAGGATCATGCAGCGCTCACCCACAAATCACCTGGGAGCGCTGAGCAGTGGGTGGATGGTAGGTGATGAGGGAATATGGATCTCGTTAAGCACTGCCTGTGGACAAGCGCTGCTATGATAAATGTCCGGCCTATATACGAGATGGCAAACAATACAAGAAGGACGAAAACTTCAGCGACCATTCCCCGATCAGTCTCCCAATTCATCCTGCCGGTCAATATTCGCTCGCCATAGGGCTGCCTCCTGCCTCAATGCCGATGCCCCTATCGCAAAAATGTTCAATCGATCATAGCAGTCATAACAAGCAGTCGTCCTGCATCGCGCACACCTGTACATCCGAACTCCCGATGAGTGGCCACAGTACTCACACCGCGTCTGTCTTGTCGCGTTGTTGAACATTGGATGCAGACAAGTTGCCCGAGCGGCTGCGAAGGCCTCTTCTGCTGCCTCGGCCGCCTCATCTTGCTGGCCCTCCTCAGCCTCGTTTTCACCGCCGGGATATAAGGCGCAGTAACACGTTCTCCAGAATTGTCCGCACGAGAAGCAAAATTCAGTACCACATAGACACCTAAAATACGGTCAGCGAAGTCGTCTAAAGCACTTCTGGATTCTAACGTTATGTGGTTGCATGCTTCTCGTAATTCCACGACCTCAGGGCAGCCTGGGCACTGCTGCAATTTTCCAGAATTGATCAATTCCTGATGGGATACTCTTGTCGTTTCCGAGGGGCACTCATCGTGGTCATGCAGCGGTTCCATGTTCCCACAGGCGAGACAAGTAGATGTGCCGCATTCGAGGCAAGCGTCCAAGTGGACACCCGTCCCTCGCTGGCCAAGAAAAACCGAGCAGCGAGGATTGGCGCAATATATCCGCTGATCTCTTGGTGTCTCCATCTCTTCGTACTTGTTCAAATACATTTGAACAACGCTTTCTCCGAGAAATGGCGCCAAACTCTTCATCTCGTCATCGTCGATTTTTTGGCAGCAACGGGCAGGCCAGTTGAGTCCAAAGCCCTGCAAGGCAAGCTCGATCCTTGCTATCAAGCAAGCACGACCCCAGAGATGGCCGCAACTCAGCTGCTGTAGTTCTTGTGTGGGCGTACCACAAGAGATACAACTCTGCAACTGTTCCTCAGTGCTATATTGAGCCACAGATTCGGATTCCTCTCGAGCGCTCGGTGGCCATTCCGGGGTAATAGAGGTAGGGTCATTGCGCGGAACGTAGAAGGCGCCGAACCAATCTCTCTCATCGATACCATGACCAGCGCCACGATGACCCCACGTCTGGGGCTCTGCCACTGCTATTTCTTGCTGCGAGCTTTCAGAAGCGATTGAATCTGATGATGCGGAAGGCCACGACATTTCCGTTCTTGGAATTACTGAAGTTGTGATTCTTGACAAAGGCTGATAAAATATATATTGAGGTAGGTCGAAATGGCAAAAACGTGGAATAATGCGAAGAAGAATCATCAAAGCGAGAACAATATTTATTCTGGAGCATGGTGTAAAACTATCATGAAGTGGGTCCTCTTCACCAAGAAGATCCGTCTCTGCCCTTCAATTGGCGTACCATGCTTCAGGTACCCAGAATTTCAGTTACCTTACGACGGTCAATTGCGCCATTTTCAATCGCCCTTCTTGACTATGGCAGTACGTCGGTGAGTCCGAGACATTGAGTGGAGCAAGGTAATTGCACATCTTTCGTGTCTCCATCCCCAATGATTTGCCAAATTTGAGGCCTATCACATGGCGCTACACCAACACTATGGGATGTCATTTACCTTACATGTCCACTTGTGCATGTGTATACTTACTGTGTGTCCATTCATTACAGCTAGCATGCATTGTTTGCTGTCCTTCTATTTCTACACGAGCAAGCATAGAGCTGTTTGGGCCGTGCAAACCGGATGGCATTTGTTATTGCATGAGCATATTTGATTCAATGTCTGGTAAATGCGACTAGAGCTTGTACATAGCTACCTTTGAACGCAATTCCCGATACGTGCGTTCTCCCTCAAAAGTCCTATCATTCCATCTACGACAACCATGCAAATATCGCCAGATCGGTCGCTTCTCAATTCCGGTTAATTGTTCTTGTCTTTTGGGGTTATATGTTCTTATCCAAATCAACCAAATGTGCAGAGACTTTGTCCTTAATCTTCTGCAGACTGTTCCAGGCAGCCTGATATCTTCTCTCGAGTTGCATGGCTTATCCGCTACGAGACAGCCTATCTAGGCTCAGCCTCAGCCCAATTCGAAGTATTTTTGATCCGAGAAGAGGACATGGTCATTAGCGGCTCATTCTAGGGCACCTCAGGATGGGATTCCTCTGATATAGGACGCCAGCGCAGGTCGAGCATCGTGCTACCAGCTGCGCCGTGCACGGCATGCTGCTTATATATAGCAGTCTTTCCTTTGCTATACGTGTTCTGGCCGTCATAGGGCCCCTACCGTGCATGCACATATGGAAGTTGCCTGGCCTGGCCATCATGGTAGAAGCATCACGTTGCAATACCTGTGTTTCGAAGCGCTTCGTTCGAACGAGACTGTACCGTGAACTGACATTACTTCAAGACTCCTTAGCCAGTACCATCAGCGCAAATTGCTCAAGGAATGGTTGTCTCCAAAAGCGTTCTCTCTGTATTGCAGTTTCAAAGTCCTCGTGCCACCACACGAGCTTGAAAAGTGTTTGCTGAAATTATATATTTAGCTGATATCACTTCACAATATGAATCTGTGATCCTTGACGGGTCTCTTCCCTTACAAGAATCTGCGAGTCCTGCATCAAGGAGAAATCCAGCTTCTGACTTCTCAGCTCTGTGCACATTTCACAACCACTCAAGCCTCCACGAAGCCGATTACAGCATCAATCACTTTCGATATGGCCACCAACTGTGACGTTGCAAGCTCGAGCGAGGAATCAGTGGTTCTACCAACCTACACAGAAGAGCCATCCTGCTCAGATGATATTCTTTCCACTACCATAGCCATGTCTCATTCTTCTCTTGGAACATTCGAACCCGAGAATGAGCGTGAATACGACGGATCAAAGAACGTAACAAAGCCCCCCTCTACAGATCATGAAACAACCCACGAAAGCAGTCTCCTAGACGAAGTTGCTTCAGGCGATCGACCGACGGAAAGCGTCGTTGCTGCATCAGGCCGAAGCCTACCCACGGACGAAATGTTGCATGAACGAATTAACCAAGAAGAACAAGGGGTGGCACAAACGGCTGATGTTTGGGTCACGGAGCATCGAGTACCTCATACTTGGCATGAGCACGAAGAAGTCCTGAATGAACAGCGTCATGAGCAGGCCGAGGAGGGCAAGACCAGTTAGATGCAGAGCCTGATGATCAAGGCATGGCGGGCTTGAGAGCCACGGAGAATCATCAATGCATCATCTGCTGGGAATCAGTGGGTGACCTGCCAGCCGACAACTACGTTCAGCTCCAATGCGGATGCATCTATTGCCGCGATTGCATCAACGCAGCGCTCGAGCTTTCAATCCGGTGTGAGGCAAACTTCCCTCTTCATTGTGCCTGTAAGCACCCGTTACCCATCGAAGAAATATACCACCTGTTGGCGGATAAGTTATTGGACAGATACTTTGCTGTTCTTCCGGAGTGGACCTCCGTGCATTGCACATATTGCGCCAAGTGTCTGCAATATATTGACTCTAAGGAGTTCCGAGAAGATGCAAGGTACAGCACGTGTACCAGCTGTATAGAAGAGACCTGTCGAGAGTGTAAAGCTAGCAAAAGCGATCACGAAACTGGGTGCCCGCCCGATACTGATCGCCAGAAGCTATTACAGCTGAGCACCTCTGAAAGCTGGAAGCAGTGTAGTAGCTGTGGTAATCTCATCGAGAAGGATTTCGGTTGCAATCACATGACGTAAGTATGTAACAGCCTTTCAATGGGATCGCGACTGACTGAGGCAACAGCTGCCTCTGTGAACATGACTTTTGCTACGTCTGTGGATATAGTCCTTACGATAGCCACGACTGCGGAGTCGGCAACGGCAATCTCGACAGGGATGAGGATGACTGGCATGATGATCGTCCGGACTGGCAGGAGTATATATTCGATGAAGAGGGTAATCCAATCTGCGAGCACACAGTATTCGAGAACTCGCCATATGGGGGGCGCTGTCAAGGCGCTTGTGGCCACGTCTTGCCATTCTACCTGAATGAGTGCTCGAACTGTGAGCTCAGAGTCTGCAATTATTGTGTTGCAGCACGCAATTTTGTCCCTCGTGAACAGAATGACGATACTGCCGACAGAGATGTATCCTCAGGTACGGCTCTTGATCCGGAACAAGGACAAACTCAAGTTCATGACGAAGGACCTCAGCAGTCTGAGTCTGCAACTCAAGATGATGCCTATACAGCTGAGTCCACTGACATTGTGTCTGGTGTGGCCTCAGATCAGCACTCTCGACGAAAGCCCTAACTCCGTCGATGAATTTTCGTCACCTTTCTCAAGCTCTATCTGACATGAATTTACCCGAAGAAGGTCACTTCGACGTTCTCAACGACTTCGGCTACCGGCTTTGTCACTTAACTGGCAGAAATAGCAATATTCTTATCGAGTGCTCGTGAGATCAAAAGACAGTCCTAGCATAGCTTTCGGCAGAGATGGGTCCAACTGTAGGCATAGGTGAAGCTGTCGAACGTTGCTGACTAATCAGGAGAATCTAGATATCACGTGACATCCGGTCTACAGAAGCGTTGGGAGAAGACCGGGAAGGCGGCGATGAAGACGGGAACTCTGACACCGTCCTAGAGTGAGGAAGATAGCTTTCGCCAGCCTGCTTGAGCATCTTCTATTCATAATTATTTTACACAGTTGGATACTTTTGACTATCCTTTCTGCAAACTTCTTTATGCCCTTGAGTAAGATCTACGAGGTACGGGACACTTTAGAGTAGTACTAGGTAGAATACCATAGGATCGCAACAACGCATTCAAGTGCCTCGAATAGTGGCCGATGACAAGGCTTGAAAAGCGCCAGTTAAAATACGAATAGTGATAAAAGACAGCTGCTTGAGAATGAATTGATCCTTTGCTTTTCATGTTGTCGTTTATACGGTCACTAAATCACTGCTTCACTTGGAATTTGTATTGGTCTTTCCGATCCAAATAAACCACCTTGCTACTCAACCCTGCATCCTCCATTGCCTTCTTGAAATCCGACAACGGCGATAGGAAAACGTCATAATCACTGAAGAGAGCCTGTTAGCACACCAGTGCCACGTCTCTAATGGTGAATCGGAGACATACTCGTAATGTATCGGAATCGTCAGATCCGGATTGATTAACCTCACCAGCTCAAGCCCTTGCTTCGCATCCATCGTTATCATCAGCAGTGGCACGGAAGGCGAAGGGACAGTCGTGCCGCCGAGATGGATGAGCATGAGGTCGATGTTCTGGCCCTTGTAGCGTTCTGGGATCTCCTTCAGCTCATCGACCATTAGGGTGTCGCCGGATATGTAAATCCTACACCTTGTCAGCAATATTGATTTGATGGAAGGTTCGGCACACCTGTAGCCGCATTTGAAGCTGTCGTCTGATCCCCCGCTTGTGTTGTATCCGAGTTCGACCATCCAGCCGTTGGTTGGAGGGACCTTTCATGAGTCAGCACACAATGGGCCCTACTGAACCCGTTGCCTGAGCCTACGGCGTTGACTAGGTCATTCAACGACCCCAGGACGCCAGAAGGCACATGCTTCCCTGGCATGCCGGTGACCTTGATTGCTGGACTCTTTCCTGGTTGGGCCCCATCTTTCTTCACATCTACTAGCATATTATTGTAGAAGTCTAGATCGTAGACTTCTGTAAAGGCTTCACCTTCGCCTTTGCCTTTCAGATGGGATGCGGCGTGTGGTGTGGTGATTATGGGGAGGTCTCGACGGAGAGACTCCTCCACCTTCTGATCGAAGTGATCGCTTGTGACACCTTAGCCCTGGCTACATATGATAAAGGGTTATAGAAGAACAGGCCTACGCATGGTAATGAGAAAGAAGAACTAGGTCGATGTTGGGTAGATCGTGAAGGTCAATGGCGGGGTTGGTCTTTCTGGTACCTGTCACACCTGGACCGAGATGGACGTGGTCACCGGCGTGGAGAAAGTTGGGCTGAAGAGTATGCTGTTAGTGATCCGGCTTTCCGGGTTCAATTGGAGTGACTGGGTGCACATCTGTCATGACGCGAATGCCCTCCCATTCTCTGGTCACCCGTCGTAATTAGCGGCCCTCCAACGACAGCACACCAAGAGTAGCTGACAAGATCGTGGTCGCCGTGCCGACGAAGAAGATGCTCGCATTTTCATCACCGGACCCTGAAGGATGAACTTTGACTTCTGCTGGTTGGAGATTGGCATTGGAGAACCCCTTTTCGGTGGGAAAGTCACGGGTAGGAGGCTTCTCCCCAGGTTTGATTTCGAGATGCTTCATTGCCGTAATTGGTACGAAAGTAGAAGTGATTGTACAAAGTATCACATGTACAAGAACGATATGATGGAAGAGCGAAGCTTCAAGGCATTTTGTGCTACAGCAATGAGGGATACAGTACGGGTTCATCTTGATGCGGGGCAGCTGATTAACCTTGCGTAGCCCCCCGCTCTTCTTCGTCTGCCAGCAGCATTATTTGACTCACTGGACTTGTAGGTGAGGGCTTCTACTGTGCATAAGTCCTTGGGGGATGACACAACAATCAAGAGTACTGCCTTTTTGTAAATCCATCTCACAAAGAGAGTCTGCCAAGACCTTTTTTTCCATCAAAAATAGGTGAGAATATTTCAAAATAATTTACTTTCCGCCAAGACTTCCATTTGACCAATTCAACTTGAAGTTTGTCAAATTTCAAAAGTCTTGCACGGATTTGGTTTATTTGCCAAGAATTTGATTTGGTTGGCTCAGTTCAATGACTCGATTTGATTCAAATGGACACACTAGGACTCAGCGAATCGCTTCATGTTTCTACGCATTTCAATCCCACAAAATCTAGTATACTCTGATGATGGCAGTCACGTCATGATCAGAATCCCAGATGCGTTTAGCCTGTCTATTCTCTTCTTCAGCATCTCCCTGTTGCATGGCTGGGTGAGTATCTTTCCTCCCCATGCTCGCATTCATAGGGAGCCCAACCACTTTCCATGATCAATCAAGGGGATGAGCTCATAGCCGTGGCAATCTCAGGTTTGCTAAATTCCTGGTTTGAGTCACGGGTGTCTCTTCTTCTGCTTCTGCTTCTACTGCTGCTACTATCACTCTGCGTACAGACCTTCTACTTCGCCCTTTCACATCTTACATTTTGGAAGTGATGATGTTCTTCTTGAATCTCTCTTAACTTGTAGGCTAGAGCCGTGCTTACCCTAGCAGAGAATGAAACATAGTCGGAGACAGAATGCGTCTATCTCACTGAACGTAATGTTCACAACTCAATCTTGTGCAAGTGTTTGCAACTGAAGATGGTATGGCGCATTGTGATATGTCTGTCGACCTACTCATCAAATTCTATCTACCATGTATTTATCTTTCGCCTCGTTCGTGATTACTCTCTTCCTACATTTTCTTAGAGTACCGCAAACATGGGGGCTGTACTTTCGTGAAATCATGGCCAGACGACCTTCGCGATGTAGATGCGAATTAGTTTTACGCGGCTCTACGCTTCTCAAACCAACCTCCGCACGCTCTCCTGGTTCACAGAAGAGTGCCTGGTGAGCGTTCAAAGTTCTCTAAGGCCATGTTCTCTACCAGGTGGGAAAACCCGTCCATAGCTGCTGGAGGCCTTCAACCCATCAGTCATCTTGAGGCGGTCTTGTTGCTCGATTGTGATGAGGGTGTCCCTTACCTGCAGACGAATGTTGGGTCTCCAAGCCGGCTAGGAAGCATACGCTAATCATTTTCCTAGGCTTGAGCTTGCCTATCTAACCTATACCACAGAATACATTGTGAAGGAGAACTTCACAGAGGCTCTGATTCAAGCAACGAGCCGGCACCACTCAGAACTTTCTTCTGGGATGATCTTCAGCTTCAGCCTTGACCATGGACACGAAGCTGATTAAGGCGATCATTCGAGATACAAACATCGCTGTATCACAGGTTTCAGAACCCGTACACGCAAATCATACCAGAAAGATCCAGGGTTCGCTGGCACTGGCCGACGATGGACCCACTTAATCACCAGCAGATTGTCGCCTATTTTCCGAAAATACATAAAGTTCTTCTGAGCATGATATATGGCATGACCCCTGGATTGAATCCCGAAGGCAAGCTTGAAAAGGTGAACTACCTTCCTAGCAGAGGTAGTCTTCTACGCAGATTACTACGATCTCCTTGAGATCAATCCGTTGAAAAGTTGACGGATGGGCAAGTTCGCTTCATGATCTTTGGCCGGACATCTGTGACGACGCCAGCTTTTAGGTCGGACTCAGTCGCTATCTCCTGGCGGAGGAAATATTCCGGGACTCAATCAAGCATATAGTTGGAAGTGATGAGTAGCATCTTGGGGAGGAAACAAAATATTCCTTGTCTGACGATGTGTACGAGGTTGTTGAGGGTGTGCAATCAATTCTCAACATGGAAGAAAGATCTCCATGTAAAAGATCGGGACACATTGTCAACAGGAGGGGTTCTCCATATGGTGACCGCCACGTTCGAGAAGATGACAAGCAATTGGAAGCAGCTATTGGTCAATCTACTAGGAGGTTATGACAGCCTCTTCAAGGCCTGCTGTGTTCATGGTTCATTATATTCTGATGGATAGCGAACACTATCAAGTCTTTATTGGGAATCGAAGCGCAATCTCTGGAACGAGTTTATAATCATATAGATATCTATATGACTGTTGGAAGAAGAATGACTTTTCGGCATTGTTCCATGGGGCAGTGTATCTAGTCAAATCAAATCCCAATCAAATTAAATCACAATCAAATCAAATCACGTTTGTCAAATTAACCCAAATTGAGTCTTGGCAGAAAAGTTGTATATTGGCTTAAACTTGTTGCAAAAATAAAAAGTCTTGGCGGACTCCTTTTGCGAGATGGAAATTCTTGACAGTTATCCTAACAAAACTATTGCTTATTAAGATTTGACTCGTTTGACAAATGAATCAAATGAACCAAATCGGCGCTAAATTTGGTTCATTTGGTTTGATGGATACCCTGCCATGGGGAAACAGTGGAGGACCGTGGACGTGGCAAGGACCCATCAAGTCGAGATTGAGCACTTGAATAACTGTGCTACCAAGGTCTTTTCCAAGGAGGTCTCGCCATTCCACTTGTCTCCACCTTTCGATGATCACCTGTATAGTTACGATTGCCACAGAGGACTTGGCTGTCTTGGACTATGCAAAGCCAAGTGTGTCTACTGCAGGCCTTGGTGCGAGGGAGAGGATTACTTCACCTGTCTCGAATCATTGAATTGCCAGAGCAGATTTGGGGTTCAACTCTTGCTTCTAAGAAAATTCCACGAGTCTACACCACGCCAGCCATAGCCTACCGGAAGTCCATAGGGACCGATTTCACATACTGATTGCCTGAAGAGGGATGGCAGACGATTCGGCATCTTACAGCCATCTTCGACCGATTGGTCTCTTGATGAAGTAAGAGTCTGTAAAGAGCTTGCGCTCAATGATATTGCCTTGTTCGAATACTATGCGACTTTATTGGAGTGTAGTTATGTCAGTAATGACGAAGAGCGCAATACTGCGACTAACAACCTCCTGGATATGGTGCTCAAACATGCCTTTCCCGACACAAGCCGAATGCTGCACTGTGACAGGATGGTCGAAATGAACTTTCATGTGAATATGACCTGGACGTACCACTTTAACATCTCAACAGTTTCATAACTTGACTTTAATAGGGAGACGAAATGGTTCACACGATCCAGGATACCCCTGGCCTTTTTTAGTCTTTTCTCTGAAACGCCGGCGCACGTCTCACATAGTACCAAGTACCACACTCCCGGTCTGACATGGATACTGGGCAGACGTAGACGGAGCAATGTCACCAGCTACCCAGTCCTGTCCTTCACACAATATACTGGGATCTCTGCTTGTCCCCGATGGGTGCTCGTGCGACACCTCCCCTTGCAGGTCCTAGGCTCCGCAATGCCGGCATTGTTTGCTCCACCTCCTGCCCAATCATGGAATGTCCCAGGATTCAGACTCTTCATAAACGAACCTGCAAGTCAGACCACTTGATTTTCCAAACAGCTACGTAATAGATCTTGATCTTGCCAATCTCGTGTGACATTTTCTGATGCACGTCTTCCGTCCTTCCGCACTGCCCGAGGGCAATTTGAGGCCCTCACACACCGAGTAAAGGATAAATCCAACCTAACTGACCGAGTAGTGGTACTAATCATTACTACATTCAATACTGAAGTACAGGCCTCCTCCTCCATGCGACATGCTTTCCTTCTCAAATAAAGTCCTGGTTAGCAGCGCACTTCATACACCGGGGCCCACCCTTGCTCTAGCTTACCGCTTACTACGTAATTAGCTGTTACACACTATCATCCAGAGGCATGCACAATGTACGATGTACCCCGTATGCACTCCACATTATTGACGTACTCCGCACTTCCGGTCCCGCAGGTATAGTAGTGACATTGCTCCCGCGGTCCGGTCCGCTGAGGGCGAAAGTACCTCTCTATATGCGAGACGTCTGCTCGATTGGACGCAAACAGGATAAAGAAAATAGATTGCTGCCAGGAGCTCAGACAATCCTATGAAAGATCTACCTATGCACTCTATGGATAAACATGACGGTATCTAATCCTGGCAGCCTCGATCACTCCTGGCAAACCCCCATTACCCCATCAGTGACGGTGGGTAGTGGGCAATGAGAGTACCGCAATGTTGATCGACAAGTAGAAAATACCAATGAGAGCCAGCCGCATATCCAGGTGATGTCCATTCACCCCTTCCATCCTCCATGTAGCCGGGTATACTCTTCTCTTGTCCGAGTCTATGCCTGGCAACGTACCCTTGGAGGTCTACAACAGAATCCGAATAAAAGATAACTCTGACCACCATTTTCGTACATCTTGAGACCAAAAGCTTTCCACGACGATGTGCAATTGCACTAACTAACGTCGTTGACGTACCGATCGATCAAGCTTCTATAATTATTCCAGGAAACCGTCAAACGCTGTGCTGCTGGGGATGCTGGGGATGTTTGTGATTTTTCCTTTCGATTCCACCTTGACTAGTCCTCGGCACACATCTGCTAATTGTCCGTGGGTGAGAGTGAAGGTATGAACCCCTACTGCAGGCAATACTTGCGCTTGTTGCATGCCGCCACCGCTGGGCCGATAATTAGAGGATAGAAGAGAAAAGTTGAGAGAGTTCGTGAGATCGAGGACGCTCCTCGATCGCAACCTTGCCGCCCAGGCCCCGACTTTAGGGCTGCGTTCGTCCGGTCAGGGATAGACACGCTAGCACGAAAGTGGGAAAAGCTCTTGGCGCCAATAAAGTTCATGATCAAGACTTGGGCACTCAGGAACAACTGAAACTTGAAGACGAGTACATGAATCTCTTACTCTAGACAAGCGAGTTGCATTTTCCAAATATTTTCATAGTCCTCCTTTCGTAGTACTCAACCCATGTTGCAATTCCACACCTGCCTGAGCCTCATCACTAAGCCCCTGCTCTCTCCTGAACAGGAGTTGGATCGGGACAGTAGTAACTTCAATAGGTACTCTACCTTGGTACATGCTACTACGTACTACATATGCCACCCCTGGTACTTGGGCAACCAGCTAGTAATGTAGCTAAATTCGTGACACACAGCACACCCACACGACGGCATTAGTCATTACTATCTGGTTGGCCCCCAGTTTCCAGGCCAGCCACTCACCCACATTTCGTTTTGTTGGTGTTATTAAATTTTTGGTTGGAGTTGGGCTCATCGTTTGATGATTGTTTCCGGGATGGAATGTCACCGAACCCTTGTTCGTAAGATGAAACGGAGCTCCTCGGTGGCGCCCCCCTTGGCTGGCTTGCTGGCTGATTGAGGGAAGGGTCCAGCGCCTGCTCGAACACTAGTAGCTATCTATATCGAATCACATCTTTCGTGGCTTGAAAGGGGAAAAAAATAGGGGGAGGGGGTTATGGGAGGCAACACCCTCAAGGCCTGGCATGACGATGCCACTAAAGATGTATTGAATATGATCTTGGACCATATAGAACAAGTGTGGTAGTAACAGTACTAGTAGTAGTTGAATGCAAGCTTCGCTCTGCTATGCCCAAGACGCCTTGCTCAAATGCAGGCTTTTCTCTTGCACGCAAATCAGAACAACCAACACAGCTGTTTCAGCAACAACAGCATGCAACGTGATGCAAAGCATCGCAATGCTCAATGCCCATTTAATCTCTCTAATCTCGTCATAACCGAACTGATAACAGCTGCCTCTCTCTCAACCATATACATAGCTTCCTCAATCTTAGCCTTCTGTAGCTTGGGCGGCACGCCTAAATTGGACATTCGTGAAACTGACGAAGCATTCGAGGTGGTGCGAAGTAAGCTGCTGCCTTTTTGAGGTGATGGGGAATCGGGTCCTTGGGATTTCTGGACTTCTCCTGCTTCGGCAAGAAGGGATTCTGCGAGATCCAGAACCTGACAGCTGATTAGTAAATTTGTTACATAGAGAGTGGACGTTAACACTTACCACTTCGAACCTGCTAGCAACTGGTTTGTCGGTTTGTGCCTCTGGCACATCGACTTCCATTTCGGAATCAACACCAAACGTAGTTGCCAGATTCGTGATTTCGCTCATCCAAGCCTTTTCCTTGGTGCTTAACTCCCTCGTACCAGCAGTTGCACGACCGACTTTTCGTCTCAAAGCCTCGTATCGCTCGCTCAAGCTCTGCTGCCTGTCTCTAGCCTTTGCAATCCTGTGTTCACAGCGGCTGTTACGATCACCGTGTTCGGTCTCCACTGATGTGTCATTGCGTTGGATCCGTTCTGAGAGTTCGGCCATTTGTCTTACTTGATCCCCAAGCTCCTCTCTCAGTCTGTCACATCTGCGAAAGAGCTCTGCAGCAGCTTGTTCTAACTGCGATGTTTGGGATGACAATATCCGATGTGCTGCCGTCATGATATCTAAGGTGCTCGGACTGAGACGAATCTCTTGCTTCAGTGCTGCTCTGTGTCGTTGAGGTACGTTGGCCGACGAGAAATGTTTTAGCAGAGTCGTTGCAGGTTTATAAAAGATAGGCGATGGCTCGTATGGGGCTCGAGGTGATGCAATAATGGTGTCGCCCGACAAGGTAAGATCCAACTGGGCATCGGGAGAGTTAGGGCCTAGGGAGTCATTTCTGCGTGCCAGGATCACAGTCTGCGATGTTGTGTCAGGTGTATCGAACGTAGTAGCGTAGGGTCCTGATGCAGAGCATGTGAGGAGGAAATAGCCGATTTCTGGATTGTTCATGATCAAGGCGCTTGAGAGATGCTCCGAAGGTTTCTCATTGGTGCTGTCGGAACAATCGAGTATCTCTTCGGCAAGGATAATTTCGTCACGACACAAGACTTTGAGACGGAAATCCCGGCCAGTATCTGAGGAAGCTGGTGACAGTAGCTCTGTTTCCAGGCGTGAAGCCCAAGACGACAACGATAGATAATCAACACGTGCCTTCGAAGTCAGGTAGAAGTCGTACGGGGCGATTGGGTCTTGCGAGAACGTTGGCCAATTTTCAGTGCCGGGTTCGCCGTTGCCAATCTCCAGGGATTCAACCAGAATTAGATCCTTTGGCTCGCCAACAGGGACGGTGAAAGCACTTTTTCTGGTTTGGGGCAGCCACTGGCCAGATACACCTTCGGGATCAAGACACACATGGACCCTACCTGTTGTTGTTGCCAGGCATATGACGGTGCTAGATAGACGATCTTCTATCAGCCCTTCGAGATCCGTGTAGTCCTCTTCTTCGCCTGAAAGTAGATCTTCTGCGTTGACTTTTGCTGCTATAACGTGAACATCGGAGACATCGAGATCCACTTCATTCTCTTCAAGGTCGAACAAGAAGGGTCCTTGCAGTCGTGGTATTGCGCTCGGGGCCACTGGTCGACTTCTGGTCTGTGTGGGGAGTGAAGGTTCTGCGTCTGAACTTGAGGGCAATGGCTCCTCACCGTCAATCTCTTGAACCCATTCAAATTGTTGTTCCACTGCCCGCTTCTCATCCGGCTCAACGGAATCATCCTGAATGGACGCTAGTTTTGAGACGACTGAAGTGGATAATGATGGGATCAGAGTCGATGTAGGTCTCCATTTCGAGGGAAGCAGCGGGCAGAGAGCATACACGTCTGCATTTCTCATGGCAATCCACAATGTCATGGGAGCCCAGCCATCCTCTTCTTCACGGCCTTTGCCTCCAAAAGAAGCTGCAGAGACCTCCATCTCGAAGGCATCTGCAGAAAATCCTCTGCTCTTACCAAAACCCGAAGGTTGAAAATCTTCGTCACAGGAAGTGCCATCCACTAATTTCTGCAAGTCAATGGCGAGACTAGGTCTATCAAAAGACCAGTTGTTGCTTCGATCAAGCTCCCAGACCCTGACGGCAGCTTCTGCTGTGATAGTCACCAGGCAGTCTGAGGAGGCAGTACTGCAGGCGAGTGGGTGCCACAGAGCGGAAACAAGTGGCGACTGGGGTATTACATGTGTAGTAGGCCCCAGCTGGTGTACTTTGAGCTTCAATGGAGACCCATCCCCAGCTGATAAATGCGAAGCGTCTGGTAAAATAGCAACATGTATCGTATGTTCCGTCAAGATAGCCAGAAAATTGCCGGAAGGAGAGATTGTCAACTGCCGTATTTGTTGATAGATAGGTGCAAGCAATACCTGTCCAAGTCAGTCTGAATACCTGGGACAGAACAGTCATTCTGGCATACCCTGTAGGTGGGAAGCTGGCCTTCATGTTGATGCTCCAGCAACTTGCTTCTGCTACCCGCATGGTATGTCTGCTCCTCCCAATCATTCTTTATCATGCCCAAGTCTGTCCATCGTATTTGATTCCCGATGACCACAAAGATCTCAGTCCCCCGTCGTGCAAGAAGCCTGTGTGGTCCATAGTATGGTTGGTCAACGACCTCACGTCTTGGAGACGAGAGGTGGGAAGGGAGCTTTGAAGGAGTCGAATCGTGATTCTGAATACTTATGAAAGCTTGTGATCCAGGGGAAGGTCTAGATAGCCATGGAGGTGTATAGCTTATGATTTTCGGCATGATTGTTGATCGAACTGCTGGAGCTGGACACGTCGCAAGCGTCTTTAAGAGCGCGTCTTTCTGGCTGTTAAGACATTTCGGCCAGGGATCGGTAGATATATCCAACCCTGCCAGCTAAAAAACTTAATTTGCAATGGTTTCAGTTGCTTTATTGTCGCATTCCATGTTGCAGTAGTGTATCCTGTAGGGGCGGCTTGAATAGTGTTGCGGAGTGGATCCCAGTCTCCAACACCCGTTTGAGAACAAAGTACCAACCTGCAACAATGGCCACAACTATGCTTACGACCGTCGAAAGGCTGGACAAGCCAAGCGCCTACTATCTAGGAAGAGTACGTGTGGCTGAGACCATTTGAAGCTTGCGTCTCATCTTGTCTGGGGGGCTGACCTCTCTGGCTCTAATATAGAATAAGAAGCGGAAATTCGATCGTGACAGGGATGAGCGAGAGAGCAAAGACAGACGCGAAGAGGAAGCAGCCGACCCTCTCAAAGATGCCACTACCCTCTACGTTGGCAATTTGTACGTCGTTGCACTGACCTTTGTTCACGCGATCCAGCAGGCTCTAAGGGTGATTACAGGTCGTTCTACACCACAGAGGAGCAAATACATGAGCTTTTTGCAAAGTGAGCTATCTACCAAGTCCTCCACGACCGTTGCTGACTTGTCCTGCAACAAGATGTGGAGAAATCAAACGGCTTGTAATGGGACTCGATCGATATCAGAAAACTCCGTGCGGATTTTGCTTCGTCGAGTACTACACCCACCAAGACGCACTTGACTGTATGAAATATATTGGCGGTACCAAGTTGGACGAACGGATCATTCGAACCGATTTAGATCCAGGATTTCAAGAGGGCAGACAGTACGGGTGAGCATGAGCGGTTCCATAAAGACGATGCCTTACTGACAATGAGGGATCAGGCGGGGCAAATCTGGAGGCCAAGTGCGAGACGAATATCGAGACGAATATGACCCTGGGAGAGGAGGTTTTGGTCGTGCTGTCGAGATGGAGCGGATCAAGGAAGAAGAAGAATACGGTCGTGGAAGATAGCGGAAGATACCCTCCAAATTTCAATGTTCATCGATGCAACAACATTGAAATGCAAGTGCGCCTTCATCAAGTCAAGTTCATCTATTGATATCAGCCGTCGGCAAGGCTGCTGTTTTCGAACTCTTCGGCACGTTGCATCAACTGCCTTAGCCACCATACATGAATGCGTATGTCGCCAGTCAACTCAGGGTGAAAACTGGTCCCAAATACATTCCCTTGACGAACAGCAATAATGTCACCCGCTTCCGCTTCGCCCTCGCCACTGGAAGCTTTGAGGCCGGCTTTCTTGATTCTGTCAGGGAGCAAGCCCAGCACCTCGACATCTTTCGATAGTGCCCTTCTGGCTTCCACACCCTCGGCTTGCCGCAATGGAGCAATCACTGTATCTTGTCGTTGTTCCTCCCCTTTCTGCTCCCCTTGGACATGTGGCAGGATTCTCTCAACCACCGGAGCTCGAATGAATATGCCTTGGAAGGCTGAACCGGCGCCGTCAGTGCCAGTGCTTATACCATGAAGAAATGGAAGATCTAAATCCGCCACAAAGCTCTCCACCTGTCTACCAAAGTGGTTACGGTTGACACGGACATCAAGTCCACCAATCAATTCTTGTCCACCCTGCTTGGTTCGATTTGCAGATTCAGCCAACAAAATCAAACCAGCGCAGGTGCCCCAGGTCGGTTTGCGCTGAAGCCTAGATCGTTGTTAGACAATCAAGAAAGAGACACCAAGGAGTCTTGTACTTGACAAAGTCTCTGAGAGGCTCCAGGAGATTGGACCTGGCAGCGACCAGGGAAATTGTAGTGCTTTCGCCCCCAGGAATTATTAATGCATCACACAGAGACAATTTTTCTGCAGTGCGTATTTCATGAAACACGAATGTGATATCCAGCCTCGCGTCAAGCACATTTTTGAGAATGTACTCTGACGCCCTTTGTAGGAGATGCAGATGTTCCCGAAAAGCGCCTTGTAGAGCGAGGACGCCCACAGTAATATTCATGGCATGTTGAGAAATTGTACGGAGGGACGCATTACCTTTCAATAGAAAAATGACACACCATTACTAATTGACTACTACGTATGTATTATTTTCTGCCGGCTCTTGCCGCTCCCAAGCCAAGCACCCCTGAGCTTGGCATCTTCAAAGCTAGTCCAGAAGGGGGATATCGTCAACATGCCACTTTCCCGGCACAATAATACTACTACTTAATACTTCACAGAATTACCATTCAACATCCTTCACAGTAAGAAGGACGCTGGATTAGAGACGCCATAGCACTTTACATGGAAGTGACAACCGGTATGCTGTGATTCGAGTGAGGGACTCCGGCATATTGCAATTCAGCCATTCTTGCGACTGGATACAAGTGGCAAGAAGGAGTGCAATTGCACACTTGCTTCTCTACTCGAATTACTTCTTTGGCCTTCTCACACCTACCTTCAGTTGTTGATATGCCGTATGCATCCATGGAGGCACTGTCGCCTCGTTCAGCCAACCTACCAATGAAGCCTCCGACAGCGGTCAAGAAGACTAAGGTCGATACTCGTGCGAAACCAGCACAGTCTGGCGTAAATCCCGACAAGATCGACGAAAAATGGCGACCTGCAGCTGTGATCAAAGAGCCAGAGCCAGAAGGAAACACATATGTAACTGGGAAGAAACTTGGCCGGGGAGGGTTCGCTGTCTGCTTTGAGGGTAGATCAGAGCGTACTGCGGAGATATTCGCCCTTAAAGTGGTCAAGTCTCATGTGGAGCAGAAGAAACAATTGGAGAAGGTTCATTTCAACTTCAGGTAGAAGAAATTCAATACTGACGGAGCCTCCAGTTTCGGACGGAATTGCAAATCCATGCGAAAATGCACCATCCTAGCATCGTCGAATTTTATCGTGCGTTCGCTTTTGAAAATTATACTTACGTTGTCCTCGAGCTATGCCCCAACGGTTCTTTGATGGATATGGTCAAAAATCGAAAGTCTCTTAGTCTGCCCGAAGTTCGTCGATACATGATTCAGCTTTGTGGAGGGGTAAAATACATGCATCAACGCTGTGTCATTCATAGGGACTTGAAAATGGGCAACATCTTTATGGACTCCCATATGAACATCAAGATTGGAGATTTCGGCCTTGCTGCGGTGGTGGTGGACGACAAAGAGCGTAGGAGGACCATGTGCGGCACGCCTAATTATATTGCTCCAGAGTTGCTGGGGAAAAAGGGTGCTCTAGACGGCCATGGCAACAAGGTCGATACCTGGGCAATCGGAATCATCTGCTATGCCATGCTGATTGGCACTCCTCCTTTCGCCTCCAAATCACAAACCGAAATTTACGAGAAGCTGAAGCAGCTCCAATACGAATGGAAGGAAGATTGTCAATATTTCATTCCTAACCAAGCCAAGAACCTTGTGACGCTGTGTTTGAATCTGAATCCCACTGAGCGGCCTGGTATGGACGACTTGGTTGAACATGAGTTTTTTAAGATGGGTGCCATAGCGGAGGAGCTCGACCGTTCTTGCCTTAGAAGCCCACCCCTCTGGCTCGAGCATGCTGATCCTCGGGGTGATAAGGTCACGCCAGGGTATGGGGTAGATCATCCCGCAATCTGCGAAATTTCTGGTGTTGGCAAAACGGCCACAGGCCGGTCGAGACCAGCAGTAGGTGGAAATGTGAATGTTTCGGCAATGGTTGAGGTCGAGCTTGAGAATGCTAATGGGTGTGCGCCTGCTATCCCAATGCCCGAAGGTGTAATATACAAGGAATTTGTAGCAGCCAAAGAGGAGTGGAATGCCAGCAGGAAACGGCCTCTGACCGTTCCCAAGATCCGCGGTCGACAGGCGCCAGCATCGAATACTGATAAGCTAGACATGCAGCTTTTATCGGAAGCACTGCCGGAGACGCTCACGTCGCGCAGTGTCTCCACTACCACCACTGCGCCTACCTTTGCTACAGGCATTTCGCAAGCCTTGCAACATAGAGCACCTGTGCAAAGCTTCGCCGCCCAACAGCGCCAGCAGGCTTTTTCTTCTCGAGCGATCAGCCGCACGGTTGCTCCTAACCAGCTGACAAGCCGAGTAGCTTCCACACGCGAAGGAAGAGCGCATTCGACGCGGGAACTTCAGCCGAAGGAGTCGTCTCGCCAAACAGTTCGTATCAAGACACGGCCGGCAGAGCCAGCCTCGCAGAACTCTCAAGGTTATCTCCGAGAGCAGCCAGTTCGAGCTGGTGTACGTGTCACGCGCAGCACTACGATCCGCGATACACCTAAATATGCTGTGGAGAACGCGTCCGAGAACGCGATTGTTCCTGATCGGCGAGAGATCCAAACCGCAGAATCCGCTCAGGAGCAACAACGACCAGTTCGAGCGCGTCCGGCCAGGTCAACGACCGCAAACCGTACAGAAGCCCAACCACGGCCTAAACGTCGAAATCTGTCCCGAGAGATAACAGCTGATCAGGAGATTTCAGCTCGCTCTTCATCATCGTCTGGCTCAGAAGCTGCCAGCAGGCCACTGGAGGTCATTGGTAGTAATGACCTGAAGCCAAAGAAGGCGCTCTTAATTTCAACAAGGTCGAGAGCTGAGACTGCTAAAGCCGTGGGCAGCTTGTCTGCTACTCCTGCGAGGGCCACCATTTTTGCCCCAACTGACATCACCACACCGGTACCTGGCTCTTCAGTTGACTCCGTAATGAATAACCTCCAGGAAATATACCACGACCTTGCACTCGATGATTGCATTCACGAAGAATCCACAAAGCGTTTTCGTGGAGTCCCGTCCACTGCTCATCCGATTGTGGAGAAGTGGGTAGATTATACGGAAAGATACGGCATAGGTTATCTACTATCTGACGGTGCTGCAGGCGCTGCTCTCAAATCCTCCATGGATAACGCAAGATCCAGTTGTTGTGTTGTAATCAGAAATTCCAGGGAGCATTACCGTCGTCGAACTCGTCAAGAGGAAGTGCAGATTGTTCCACAAGGTCCACAAGCGACGCCTGTCGAGTTCTACGAAACGTTTGCCAAGGATGGGATCAGGAAAGCATCGGTGCCTGCGGAAGACTTCAACTACGACCAAGCGCGACCTTGGAAATGGATTGACGGCAGGGAAGTTGTTGCGAGTCTTTCGCAGCAAGCCAAAGACGATCATGCGGCTGAGAGGCTAAAATTACTCGGATTGCTGGATAGATTTGGAAAATACATGACCAACCTGAATGCGATGAACACGGAAGAGACGAAAGAGGCAAGAGTAGAGACATTCATCAGATTCTACCAGCGTTTCGGCAATGTCGGGGCGTGGGGATTTGGAGACGGATCGTTCCAATTCAACTTTCCCGACCACACGAAACTCCTCTTCTACCGATCTGGCAAAGACCACGGTCACAGCCTGATGATGGACCTTTACTATTTGCAGCCCGAGGATGCGAAGTACCTTGCCAAGTACGGGACATTTATGGACAGATCAATGGAAAGAAGGAGTTCGTTTACTGTCCCAGTCTCTGGGATCTTGGGTGGATCGGAGACGCGATATGTAGATATCATCAAGAGTAACCAGGTCAAAGAAAAGCTCTCATGGATCCGAGATGTATTTGCTCTATGGGTTCGGGGGGGAGGGCTGGGAAGGACGGGAAATGAGAGGCTAGTTTGGACCGGTCTGCGACTCAAGAAGGTTGATCGTGGCAACAAAAATGATATGGTCTGGGTCACTGTCGGCAGGGACGGTGGAGACGGGGAGGTCATTCGGGAAAAATGAGGCCAGACGTGTACATGGCCGAAGTTCTTTGCCTTCGTGTTGGAGCTGGAGCTGGTAGCGTCTGCGCTTCTTGCCGCAAGTGTCTATCAGGTGTATCGTCATCCATTTTTCATGGCATAGAGACGAGGGTCTTCTGCATCGAGCTTGGCCTGCCTTACCCTGACCCGGTAGTGATTTGTATCAATGATGCTGCAGGGGCTTTAGCCGCGTTGTGGTGACAGTTAAGATACAGTGGTACGCACATTTCTGTAGAATTTCTGATTTTGATACACTATTCGCTTGATCTCACCTGATTTAGCATCGTTTTGCGTTCATATTACATGATAGTGTGATTTGTGTCACGTCTTTGCCTTTTACCACTTTAGGGGAGGGGAACATAGTTTGTTGTTAGCTTCGCTCTAGTAAACGCTATGTAAACAAGCAACGCTCTGTATCCGTCCTTGTCGTAGTAAGGATAGAGTGCCCAGAAATCGCTTAATTAGGACTAGCGTATCTAACGTCGGCTGTGTATGCCATGAGCATCTATAACTGCTTGACAACGCGCAGGCATCACTTCAAGCAGCTCATGGGTGAGCCAGAGGACTCTAAGCAGCTGTAATGGCCGCTGCACTCAAGCGAACTTTGGACGTAGCTGTGATGATTGAGGGGGGATCCCATCGATCCATCGGTTCCGGATCACGGAGCGCTGGAGTATTGATGAAGTAACCAACGAGAAGCATTGTGTCCCGATCTCGTGGGATTGGGTAGCACGGGCCAAGGCCGGGGTTGATAAGTAATCGTATCAGTAGAGTGTTTGGGATGGTGATTGGTTGTAGAGGTAGGACAGGTCGATCTGTAACTTGCTTGATCGGGTGAATATCCAATTTCAGAATGCTGGAATGGTTGCACAACACCCACGTGCGCAGGCCTTACTACGTTATTCATCATTCGTACTCTTAGTGCTCGACTCAGAATGTAGTTACTCCGAATCATGCAACGAAACCCTACTTCCCTGCTTTATCTCTCGACGCAAAATGAAACCCAGGTTTAGCAACCCGGGAACCCCTCGTATCGTTCCGAATCCGATTATCCCCGGATGCTTTCACTACCCTCATGCCTCTAACATCGCAAAACCCCCGGAAAATACCCCCCTTCCCTGCTCTGGCTCGATAGGAACCCTGTCTCCAGCAAGGATCAGTAGTTCGTGGTGAAGATAGGCAAGATAGACAAGATACTGCTAAGTATCCACACTGACCCTCCAAGAAAGGGACTAGAACTCAATACATAATCCGGGGGAGGGGAGGAAATGAAATAATGTGTAGCTCAGCGCTAGCATCTATACAGAACAGCCAAGTTTAAACTAGTAAGATGCAACGTAATTTTCCAAACTCGCTAGAATGTCATGGATGTGCTCCAGTCAAGCTTTACAGTAGTAACTGCCTGGACAAGGGCTCCGACATGACGCCTTAATACTAGTCCTTGGCAAATTAACCGATGGTCTGTTAATATAAAGGTCGTCTAAGGACCATAATCCGAGCGTCATATGACCATAATTTGGGAAAAAGACGTCTTAGATAACGTAATATAATTGGATTTCAAATGTCTTGGCGACATATCTCTAAGTAAACCTGATCATATTATGTACTATGGTAAGGCTTAAACTAAGCACACATCGCTGGTAATTTGGACATAGCTTTCAGAGGGCTTCTTCTTGCCAAGCATCGTAAGATGGTCCCCAAGAACCAGTCCATGACTAGCACCAGCTTTTTAACAGATTATCTAAGCCCTCCCCCGCCCGTAATACTTCAGTAACGAAACATAGAAACCACATTTCCTCCACGAATTAGTAATCGACGCTCACCGGGCCCACCTTTCCCCACTACCTTCTTCTTCTTGTTTTTTCGAGTCCAAGACGGTAGTTACTGATCACGGTGGCCGGCACCGAACATGGGGATTCAAGTTGGACGTCAGTAGTGACATGGAAAGAATCGAAAAATATATATATATATATATAAATGGACTTCATACCACACACACACACTCTCTCTCTCTTCTCTCCCTTTTCCCTCCCCTTCCCCCCGTCTCTGTTCGTTCCCATTTCATTCCTCGGGTCCCGAGGTGTGAGGGCAGGGGGAAAATCCCCACGGTTCTTCAAGTGAATATCCACGTCCGGTCTCACTGGCTGACGGAGTACTTCAGCGGACAGTGGATCTAGGACATCTGGCGTGTTTAAGTTGCGTATAAACTGACGTGACTAGCTCAAGGGCTGACAGTTGGACGAGAGGGGGAAAGGCGTTCTAGTTATTGATTCATGTCACTCCTACCTGAACCCTCCTTTCTTATTTTGCTGCTACTGCTGCTGCTGCTATTCATTGAGGCTATGTTTTTCGAGATAGAGAGGCTAATCACGTTCAAGTCTCCCCTTTTGGTTTTTAATTATTTCGCTTTGCACACCGAACTGCATTGGAACGAGCTACCAAGAAAAAAACACTCGCTGCTCTTCAAAGACACCCTCCCCACCTCTGTTCCCTTTCACCCCAACCCCGACCCTGTAACCCGCAACCCGCAACCACTATCACGTCCGCTCTCAAATCCCCAGCTTCCCTCCCTCTTACCCCCCTCCCTACCCGCCTATTCTTCCAGGGTCAATCTCTCCAGCTCCGCCCTGACGCCCTCAAACCTTGCAACCTCCGCCTCGGCATCCCGACAATGGCTCTCCTCCTTCTCCCTCGTCTCCTTCCTCACCTTCCCCCACCCCTCCCCGCTCATGATTTTCCTCGATTTCTCCACTTTCGCCTGCGCCTCCCTCAACTGCTCCTGCGCCTTGTCCAGTTCCTGCCTGAGATTGACGTTCGTGCCCACGATCTTCAGGTAAACGGCTGCCTCGGCGGAGATGGGGGATACCGCACAACCGGACGGTTGCTGCTGCTGCTGCTGCTGCTGTTGCGTGCCCTGCTTCGACGAAGGTGGGGCCAGGATTTCGATATCACCCACGTATTTGCCGCCGAGGGATTTGATGGACGTCTGTTCCGCGGAGGCGGTGTCGTATGCCGATTGCGAATTGGTTTGGATGTAGATGTGGCCTGGCTCTTTGAAGTTGTATTGTGACAGTAAACTCCTGATCCCGGCGGCAAGAGCCATGATGAATTCGTACCCCGCTGCCGCTGAGGGTTGGTCGAGCACTGTGTTGAATTGAGGGTATCTTGCAACCATGATGGAAGGCGTTTCATCGCCAGGTCGACGCGGCAGCTTCTGCCACAGGTGTTCGGTGACGAAGGGCATGATGGGGTGGAGGAGGAGGAGACCGCCTTCGAGGGCGGTGTAGAGGGTTTGTTTGGCGGATGCTTGGTCCTCAGCCGCGGCGTCGTCGTGGAGGATGAATTTCGAGTTTTCGATGAAGGTGTCGCAGAGTTGCGTGAGCCAGTATTGGTACAGGCTGCTGGCTGCGGTGGAGAATTCTCGGGCTTCGATGGTGTCGTTGACTTCTTTCACCGTGCTGTTGAGGCGGTGCAGGATCCATTTCTCGGCTAGTGAGATGGGTTTGTTGGTGTATGGGATTTCTGAGGGAACAAAGTCATCGCCTAGTCGGCCTTTGACGAAGTTGGTGGCCTGGTAGATTTTGTTGGCGAAGCGGCGGTAGGCTTCTATTACTTTGATGTCGAATGCGATGTCGCCTCCTCCTGTGGTGTAATTGACGAGGGCGAAACGTAATGCATCTGCACCGCATTCACTAATGCCTTTTGGAAAGGCTGACTTCTGATAGTCCTTTGCACGTTGCACTTCCTTGGGATCCAAGTTGCCCGTCAATAATTTTGCATGCAGTTCCTCAAGCCCAATGCCATCGATGATATCGTTCGGATCAACAACATTCCCTAATGACTTCGACATCTTCCTACCTTCGGAATCGCGGATCAAAGAGTGACAGTACACCTCCGTGAAAGGTACCTTGCCTGTCAGCTTTACCCCCATCATGATCATCCGAGCGACCCAGAAAAACAAAATGTCCCAACCAGTTTCGAGAATCGAGGTCGGATAAAGCGTTTCCATGTCCTTGGTCTTCTTTGGCCATCCCAGCGTTGAAAAAGGCCATAATGCGGATGAAAACCACGTATCCAGAACGTCTTCGTCCCAACGTAAGGTAAACTTCTTACCCGGAAACTTCTTCTCGGCCTTTTCTCGAGCGCCATCCTCTGATTGCGCACAAACCCACAGATCTCCATCGCTAGAATCTCCTTGTCCACCTTCGATGTCGACAAAATAAGCCGGAGCTCGATGACCCCACCATAACTGTCTTGACAAACACCAATCCTGAATATTTTCCATCCACATAAAGTAGTTTCTCTCGGCTGACTCTGGCTGGATTTTAATGGTGCCGTCTCTGACGACTTCCATGGCAGGTTTGGCCAAGCTCTCCATTTTCATCCACCATTGTGGCTTCATGATCGGCTCGATGACATCCTTCGACTTGCTGCATAAGGGCACTTTCATTGGATTATCCACCCATTTGACATACAAGCCTTTTTCTTTGAGTGCCTCTATGACCTTGTATCGTGCGTCAAATCGTTTCATGCCTGCAAAGTCTCCTGTGTTGTCATTCAGGGTGCCATCATCGTTGAAGATGTTGAGGAAGGTAAGATCGTGTTTCTTCCCCAGATTGAAATCGTTCGGGTCATGGGCAGGTGTGATCTTGACAGCGCCGGTACCAAACTCAGGATCAACGTGCTCATCCGCGAATATGATCAAGCTTCGGTCCAGAAAAGGGTGTTTAGCCCTTTTCCCAATGAAGTCTCTGTAGCGTTCGTCATTCGGATGCACTGCGATCCCTGTGTCTCCGAGCATAGTCTCTGGACGAGTTGTTGCAACTTCGATCCGCTTGTCGCTGCCTTCGATCTCGTAATAGAAATGAGTTAGCACACCAAACTCGATCTTTTTTTCGTACCCGGGCACAGACAAAAGTTGCCTGCCTGGCAGGTCAACGTTATCCACCTCCAAGTTTGATAGAGAAGTGGTGAGAGCAGTGCACCAATTGACAAGACGGTTCGCTCGATAGATGATGCCTTCGTCATGGAGCTGGATGAATGTTTCGCGGACCGCCATTGAAAGATTCTCATCCATGGTGAAAGCTTCTCTGCCCCAGTCAACAGACAAGCCCATCCTTTTCAGCTGATTTGTGATGTTCTTGTGGTATGTTCCTTTCCACGCCCAAATCGTGTCTACCAATGCTTCTCGTCCAATGTCATGTCTTGTTTTCTTCTCCTTCTTCCAGAGCGTCTTCTCTACTACGCTCTGCGTAGATATTCCGGCATGATCGCAGCCTGGGATGTATGCCGTAGTCTTACCCATCATCCTCGCTCGACGGATCATAGTGTCTTGTAGCGCGCTTGCCAGGGCGTGGCCCATATGTAGCGATCCTGTAACATTTGGTGGCGGTATCGAGATGACAAACTTTCCCTCTTCTTTGACGTTGCCGTCCGCTGTGAACTGAGGGGCAAAACATTCTCGCTTCTCCCACCATTCGTATAGCTCCCGCTCTATCTTGGATGGTTCGTACGCATCAACAGCTGCGGGCTTCTTGATCTTCTTCTCCTTTTGTTTGGGAGCTGTGGAAGCGGCTGCTTGTTGTTGTTTGGCTCTCTTCTCCTGGAACTTCTTCTCCTTCTCAGCCTTTTTGCGCTCTTTTTCAACTACATTGAGAGAACATAAAGTTAGAAGTTGTCATGGATTCATTATTAATCATAGCTATTCAGGCTATCGTGCCATACATGAGATAGGGTAAAGCCTAATATAATGCGGGTTTAGGGTCTTCCGTACTCTCTTTGGCGGTCTTGGGCTTCTCGCCTTCTCCATGCGGGCCTGGACCTATCTCTGCTCCATCGGTACCACCTTGGCTCTGTGCTGTCGGGTCACCCTTTGCGGCGTCAAGAATGGCAGACGTTGTTTCGCTTGAAGGAGGTGGAGGCGGCCCAGATGGCGAGCCTGTAGGACTGCCAGCTTTTGGCTGTCAGTACCAACTTCAGTAGGCAAATGTGTCGCACTCACTGGGATTATGTGAAGCTGCATTGAGAGCCATAGCTTGACAATGAAGCCTTCTCCAAATTGGAGGGCGCGCAACGAGATTCCGGAAAAGTATTTTGAAGGATTGCCAAATCGGCAGAGTTGAGTCACCGGATCAATCACATAAGACCTAGGTTTCGGATAGTCCGTGAGATCAAGTTGAAGTCGCGGGGAATAAGGAGGTTATGAATTAAGGGCTGCATATGAGTCATATGCTACGTTTCAATGAGTATCTACAACACTATCTTGGAGATGACTCGGGATCGTGCCAAGGCACGAAACCCATCCGAACCCCTGGACAAGGACAGGAACTCGGTCTTGGACGTTGCATACTATGCTAAATGCTTGTCGAGGGACGCCAGTGTTTGCTCAACTTGGCCACAGACATTCTGGCAGTATGGAATCTATTCTTGTTGTAAGCTATGCTGCGGAGATGCCCTGGAGCCCTTGCACCTGGGTTGAAAATGGATGATCTCAGCCCGATTCCACCTTTCCCATTCACATTCAACCATAGCATCTGTCAGAGATGTTTGTTGTCAGGCCTTCCCCTTCCCCACAACTCCGTCCTCATATCCTATTGGATGCCGGGGTTCAGTGGCCAAAATCGCTAGTGAATAGGGTGCCTATGGAGAGCTTCGGGGGGACAGGAGGGGAGCCGTAAGTAGGAGAACGGCTATCGGAATCGTCGTTAATCTAGACCCAAGTATGATCACCATCATCAACTTAGGCTAGCTCCCTTGAGCCGCTTAGCAACATGTTCTGACGGAGTTCCAGGGATGGAGTCATCTCCAGTGTCCAAAGGCCATGAACGCTTGGGGGGCCGCTCACCACTCTCCCTTAGTATAGCAATAAGTGTGGCCCAGCCTGGGGTACTTGAAAGCTGCATTCCGTCTGCAAGATCATGGGTCGTCGCCACCCGGCACAGAAGCGCTTCTTCATCCTGTTGGGCTAATTAGCTACGCATAGTCGAACAGATGCCAGCAAATCCGCTCACCTTGCTCAGAACACCTAGATTATGCAGGAAACATAGCAGATGCAAATCAGAGACTGATCGAATTGTTTGCTCTGCACTGCCTTTTGGCTTCAACTTTTCCGCGACATCTTTCAATTCTTGGCTCGTTCCAATTAACTCACGATTCTCAATCGCGAAGGTGCTATTTGTGAAAAGTGGCTTGGGATTATTGGGAATCCCGTACGTCAAAGTGACTAGCAGATACTCCACTGGGAAGCTCGGTTTAGCATTTTCTTGCACATTTGCTCCGTACTCATTAATTCTTCGATAGAAGACTTCAGGGATATATCTTGACTTATTGGTCAGTCCTTCGTCGTCCTCGGATTGCACAAGCATGACCGAGGGATCTGCGGATGGCTCGATGATATCGGCTCGCACCATCTCCACGGCCGAGTTCGAAGCTTGATATGCTGTTACGGTAATAGCACCATCTTCATCACCACTGATGACACAGGTGACGAAGTTCGAACCAAAACGGCCACTCTCACTCCACTTCGACGGTTTCGGATATTGAGCCTGTAGCCGAGCAGCAAAAGCTATTTCCAATGACGATAGGTAGAATGAATCGATATGTCGCTTGCATATAGCTTGGCCTTCACCGTCCTGAGCAGGAAGAAGGTCGGTGAAGATGACTCCAACACGTTCCAGACCACATAAATGAGCCACCTCCTCCACGTCTTTCTCGTTGTGCCATTCTTGTAACGTCACACCATCCAATTCATTGACTTGAGGTGGCTCGTAGATGGCCTCTACCACCGCTTTGATGCCTAATGGCACTTCTTTGTACTCCTCATATCGGCCATAGAGAAATCCCAATCTCTGCATACCCGATTTACGCCAAAAGTCAAGCAGATTGTTGATCATGTCAGGCGAAGAGAACTCCACATGGTCGACCATGCGGAACTGCTGGGGCTGCAGAGTGATGGCGCTCGGCTGGCACTTGGAGCAGATGCCTTCGGGCCATGGCGGATGACCAGATGGGCAGTTCTTGCGTACTCGATAATGTGGTTCGCTCAGTGGAGGCATGTATGAGCTCTTCAGCTCGGGCTTGTTCGTTGCCGAATTGATCTTCCGAAGGTATGAATGGACAGACAAGTGCTTGATCTTCCTTTCTGCCAAGTATTTTGGGTCGTACGGCTCCAGAGGCATGCAATAATCACACATTCCTTTCGGGCCATGGCGACACATCTTCTGGTCTTTTGGCCGCGAAATTTTGCCATCCTGCTGATCCAGTCTATTATCCAGTGGCGACTGCTTTATGACGTCCCAAGGATTCTTGATGACTGCGCTGGGTGATGTTGTGGGTAGAGGTGTTGTTGCTGATACCTCAGGAACCAACCTCCCATGTAAGCTATTCGAGGTAACAAAGTTGGAGCGAGATGTTGTCGTCCCATTCACGTGCCCATTTGACAATTGTGAGACTTCTGAATAACCAATGTACAGCTTATCGCCATGGCTATCTCCAGACGTCAGTACCGAGCCAGATTAATAATAGATGGAAGGGACTGATGGGAGGGACTGACTGAAGTCCAACCTGTTCAAGTCGAATTTTCGTGAGGTCTTTCAAGTATCTTTCGTCGGCAGGATTAAGCCCTATTGGCCTGTTTGAGAGCTTGAGTGTGGCGGTATCAGTATTGGTAGGTAGGTTGTCAAGTATCTAATGCAGACGTCAGTATAAGGACTGCGCATAGATGCAGCAAGACTTACTTTGGACGCTAACGAAGGGAACAGATCGGTGGGTTGGACATCCAACCTGAATTGCCCATTCTGAGACTCGAAGCGGAGTAACATGATGTCGTGATCCCTTCTCTAAGTTGTCGAATTCCCACTGTCGTGAAGATCACCGAGATACGTTGGATGTCATTTTCAGAGACGTAGGATGCAAAGATGATGTGGGCGTCGAGACGGCAGGTGGCGAGAATTTGGCAGTGTTGCCTGATGAGTGATCAAGCAGAAAGTACGTGAAACAGGTGGAAAGCTGACACAGAGCGTAAGGGACAAGTGATGAAGTCTCTGTATCTTGTACGCACAGTTGTAGGCTGACACGAGATGATGCTGGCGGCGTCATGGGCGCTCGGTCCACCAGCCTACTAAGATTGTGACTTCTCTTGGGTCAGCTATTCCCTTATCCGCAGAGCCGCACCTCACGTAGTACTCACGCCTATCCTTGTTAAGACCTCTAAGCGCCACCGGCGGCAGCAAAGGACGGTACTGTAACGTACTCTCCGGATTGTCCTCATTTTCCTGTCTCTGTTCGAATCCCTGTGATTAATTGCCAGATTGAAGCTCGTTGCCAGCATCTATGCCTATATACGCATTCATCGAAGTCTTTATCTCGCTGTCGACCGCGACGAGCCGCACGCTTCCGGATTTCGTCAACCTGCGCTTCCTTTCCTCCGCGCAGCCTCTACCGAGACTACGCGCAATTCGAAAACTGCCCGGTCAGTTGGCTACCGCCATCTGCGTCACAACGCCTTCCACATGTTCGCCTTAAAAGATGGAGCTAGGGATGGCTACCAGTGTGTCAGAGGCTAACCGATCTTTCCGATCTTTCGAGCTATGAATGAGTGACGTGATGGAGAGCGTAAATATCCCAACAGTGGCCCACTACCTGAGGTTCATAGATTGTTGTAAGACATGGGCAGTACAGGCCCTGCTTGAATATTGCATGGACCTCAAAGCGTGAAAGGAGAGAAGAGTACTTCAGAGAAGCTATTAGACTCGTTCATGCGGCGACTGCGCCTAGATATATGCAAAAACGCAGCATCACCAAGCAGGGTTCATACATACATACATACATACATACATACATGAATGAGATACAACCAACCAATCACTCGATTCTTTCGCGCTTCATCCAACCTCATGTCGCGTCTGCTGTTAAGCCCTTGACATTCACACACCTCACCACTTTTCTCAATCTTGCCTAGGTTTCAACTTCCATGCTGTCTTCACCGTCGTGTTCGACTTCTTCGGATTGAACAACTCTCCCAATCTCTGTTCGAGCACCTCTCTTCCCTTCAAGGTACGCCAGACCTCGTGAGGGGCTCCGCTCACCACATCATAAGCCAGCAGGTTGTCTGTGATCTTGGTCAAATCTTCCTGTTTCTTCTCCCATTCCTTATCCTTCTTCATCATGACACCGCTGCTCACAACCACCAAGGGCGTGTCGGGCGGTTGGATCCTCCTGGCAGACATGATCTCACTCTTCGTGAAGCTCTCTGCAACCAGATTCTCTTGCAGTTTGGCCTTGAGATATTTGCCACTCTGGTAAGAGGAAGGGCCATAGACGCGGTCTTCGCGGGTACGACCTTTGAAGACAGCGGCGGGAATCCTGTCCAGACCGAGAGGGGAGATCATGCCCCAGGCCCAGAGGAAGAAGCCCCGAGTAGGCGAGCCGACTCTGTGGAGGAAGTCCTCGTGGAGGGTATCGATGAGGAAGATGCCCTGAACATCTCTCACATGGCGAGAAGAGAAGATACGACTGTAAATGCCGCCAATGCCGGCTGAGACTAGGATCCAGGGACCATCCTCGCCAGCGATTGCCAGTGCTTCGGAAATAGCGTCGATGGACATGCCGGCTGAGTGCGGTGATGGTGCGTTTTCGGAGAAAGCCAGACCAGGTCGGTCCCAGTAGCAGTAACGGGCTATTGTGCCGTTCACACGAGCGTTGTATATGAAATCTTCCAGGCCGGACCCTTCCGTAGGTTCTTCGCCACCCTCGACAAGAACAGTTGGTATAGCTTCGCCCTGGTCGTCGTACCGTCGATCCCCGACGCAAGCAACGTGAACCTGGTATTTATCGCCATCTACGAAGTATCTTTCGCCAGGAGGAGCTAGAGTGGCATCCCTGGCGCGGAGGATCAAGGTGGCAGTGAGAAGAACGGTGACAGCGACCAAGACCACCATTATGACGCTCGCTGTCAAGACGGCACACCACTCACGGAGTGAGCGACGAGTTTCTTCTCGGCCAGTAAGACGCTCTTCTTCCTCCTTCTTGCCCCATCGCACAGTTTTGTTGGTGAGGACACAGTAGAGACTCATCAGAGCAGCCCAGATGACCGAGGCGGTGCCGACCCAGCCTTCCTCTGCACGCAGACGGGAAACAGCGAGGATCAAGATCATATTGATGAGGAGCATCACCCCAACCACCATGCCGAGAACGCTCATTGGAGTTGAGGGAATGGAGAAGAAGATTAGGGCAACGAGGAGGTTACCGATGGTGAGGAGGGCGTAGGAGATATCGAAGTAGCCGGATCCACGCGAGTTCATGCTTGGTGGACTGGCGAAGATGGAGATGAAGAGTAACACCCACCACAAAAAGGTGATGATGGTGAAGATGACGGTGAGATGGCGAAGGGCGCGTACGCTCCATAGGTTATATGGAGTTACCTAACTCCAAGTCAGCCGTCCTGTAGAGATAGAGGAAGAGGTGTACGGACAGCAGGATCATCGGGACTCAGATAGCCGCCATGTCCAGGCGGAGGTGGCAGCAAGCGAGTCCTCTCGTCGGGGTCTCCCTGGTGTCTAGAACGAGTGTTGGGTCGTGAGTGCTCGCCATCGGAGGACCCGGGGGGGTTTGGACTCGAATCATCTTCTCCCTGCTCTCCATTTTGCTTTGAGCCCCAGAGAGTGACCATTTTGGAGTGGTATGAGGAGGATCAGTGCTGAGCTGCCTGGCAGCTGGACTACAACTAACTGCAGGATCAGGATAGTAGGCGGAAGAGAAGCTCAGCAGATGCGTCCCAGCGGTCAACGCGTAATTGTAGGTATGCCCTGTAGGTATGCCCTGTAGGTATACACTGTAAATATGTTCGCTGGAGTATTTGGGAAGCAAGATGAGGGAGCAGGATTTGCTAAGAGAGCACGGCAGGATACAGAGTGTGGTGGTGGGTGAAAAAGTGCATTAGCCACGGGTGTGGAGAGGAGGCGACGACGTCATCAACGGCACGATCTAGGCCATCTGGGCCATCGCAGGCGACGCCGAGGGCAATTAGCCAGGTTGACACTTGGGTCAATGGCAGACAATGGCAGGCAAAGCGGAGGAGATATTGACTAGTATGCTAGGCTGCAGCTATCATGTGCAGATCTGGGGCAATGTCTGCAACAATGAGAGTGGGATTGACACATGAGAGAGGATGGTTCTCTCCACCATCGACATGGGACAAGGGTGATGATGTATGGCGCAAATTGGTGGAGCAGCCCCGGAACTGGGCCTGGAACACTGGCCAGCCAGTCAACGTCACTCCATCCACCACGCCGGAAAGCATCCCTGCCCACCAGTGCTTGGCAATATCAACCTCATCTACTACTAGTACTAAGATAAGTGCTAAGTGCTAAGTACCAAGTACTGCTATTAGTACTGCTGGTACTCCGTACTGGTACCACTGGTATGTACAATCACCACATGAGCAGAGTCATATCAAACGAGTTTCGATGAACACACTTGAAGTCATGAGAGGGCTATCGAGCACTGTCGAGCACTGTCGAGCCCTGATGTAGCGGGTGACGTGTCTGATAGAGTGACAGTACATCAGCGGCAACGTCCAAGAGTCCCTTTCCGGAACCGCTGTTGAATCGGGGCAGCTTCTTTCTGCACAACCACAACGCCTCGTCTTTCCTTTCCCGCTCCGTCTTCCTCTGCTTCTTCGCTGCTGGTCACACGACATGATGAGCGAGCTACAGAGATCCTTTGCCAAGGCACAGCTGGCCAAGCTGCCGCCAGAAGCACCACTCATCTTTGATGAGCGAGAAGAAGACGAAGAGTGTGCAGATGACACACGCAATAGATCTGCCAGCGATTCATCTGCTTCGTCAACCGGCACCATCGTTCCCTCCCCGACCAAACATCTATTCGAAAGGCCTAAAAGGTAGAAGTTAGTCTTCGTTCTCCCCCCCTTATCCTCGACATCTCCACCTGAATGCACTCATAACTCACAGCTTCTCCTTGCGTGCTACGTGTGTTGCGATATTCCAAGGAGGTCATCTGACGGCACGCTTCAATCAGTTCCAAACCTCCTCCAGCTTCCCGCTCATCTCCCCTTGAATGGACCGAGTTCTTCGAGACAGAGCTGTATCTTGAACGACAGAGAGCAGCCACGAAGATCATCCATCACGCATACTTTTCTCCTCCTTCGTCTTCAGGGCCTCTTTTCGTCGCCCACCACGGTGCCGGCTCATCAGGTCTCTCATTCGCATGCTTCGCTGCGGAAATCCGCAAGGCTATCCCTGCTGCTGGCGTTCTGTCCTTGGATGCTCGTGGACACGGCAGAACCCAAGTTGAGATGCCCAAGCCCGAGGACGATGATCAGACGGAGTCTATTGACTTGTCGCTCGGGACGCTCAGCTCAGATTTAGCTGATGTGGTTCAAGCCACTCAAACGCGAATGTCATGGTCCGCACTGCCAGATATTGTCCTCATTGGTCACAGCCTCGGAGGTGCCGTAGTTGTTGATCTTGCCCATAAGGGTCTTTTAGGATCTGCCGTTCTTGGCTATGCAGTGCTCGACGTGGTTGAAGGATCGGCCATGGAAGCTTTGGCACATATGGAAACATATCTATCGAGTAGGCCGTCGAGCTTTCCTTCTCTCGCTTCAGCAATCGAGTGGCAGTATGTGATATCCCTTCTGCATAGCCTGTACATGTCTCAAAGGTTTCATACTAATAAACGTATTCAGCACTCGCTCTCGAACGATCCGCAACTCCTTCTCCGCACGCGTATCTGTTCCCTCCCTCCTCCTCCCCGTCCCCACCGAGCCAAACCCATCATCCTCCCACCCAACAACAGAAACAACAACATCATACACCTGGCGCACCCCCCTCCCTCCAACCCAACCCTTCTGGCCCACCTGGTTCGAGAAGCTCAGCAGCAAATTCCTCGCCAGCCGAGGCGCCAAGCTCCTCCTCCTCGCCGGCACCGACCGTCTCGACAAGGAGCTCATGATTGGCCAGATGCAGGGAAAGTATCAACTGCACGTCTTCCCCGACGCGGGACATTTCCTGCATGAGGACCAGCCGGCCAAGGTGGCGGCCGTGGTGGCGGAGTTTTGGAGGAGGAATGATCGCGCCGCGTTGGTGTTGCCGCCGAAGGTTGGGGTCGGGTTGAAAGGACACGGGAAAGGGGAAGGGTGACTGGGGGAGGCTGGAGGATGGTTTGGCTGGTCATGTTGGCAGACCTTAGATCAAGAACGTGGGAGAGGGAGTAGGGCTAATTGCCCAGACGCCTTCCGACGAGTTGAACCGGGTACAAGAATTTTGAAAAAAACAGCATGTTCGAAAGTTCTCAGTACGTGGCCCCCACCGACGACAAGGACAACATCCATTAACGGTGCACATGTCCGTGCCCTTCCTTCTCGCCGCTACGAGATCTAGCTAGCTACTTATCAGGCCGCCTGTCCTGTCCTGTCAAGCAAGCCCGCTCGCTGCTCACCCTGTGCTTGCACAATTCAAACCCCAACCCGTGATATGTAAATCTCAATTCCTCCCATTCTACCAGTACTAACTAGGCTTCCGAGCCTCAAGACCGCTGTATCTGTATCTGCATCTGCATCTGCCGTGAGGGACGGAGACGGCCGTGTTCGATCCTGCCGGATAACAACGAAAGTACAGTAGGTAGGGGCATTGCGAGGGTGGATTCCAGCAGGCGCCGCGGCAGCAGCAGAAGCAGCAGCAGAAGCAGAAACAATAGTTGCTCAGTCGTTAGCTAGGACTTAGCAAGCATAGACTGGAGGCCACTGCGTTCAAGCCTCGCAGCATGACAAACCCAACGGCGCTGTGCTTCTCGCTGAGCTGAGCAGTACATCGAAGGAGCGGCTGCGTCGTAATTGGGACAGGTGTGTGTGTGTGTGTGTGTGTGTGCCTTGAAGTGCTCACTCACTTCCTTGATGAGGAAATGCGCGGGACTACCAAGACTTGAGGAGGATAGGTAGGGGGTTCCGACGATGCATTCGCTCATGAACGAGTCGAGTCGAGTCGAGTCGAGTCGAGCCGGGTCGAGTTGAGTTGAGTCCTGCATGCCGCTGTCTGCGCGTCGAAAGCTCATGGCAAATACGCACCCCCAGCGACGACGAGATTCATATTGGTGAATTTGACCTTGTACACCGGACTCTTCTTGGTAGGGAACGCACTGATCTGATCGGCCGAGACGCCTTGCTCTTTCCCCTTTTTCTTCGGTCCAGCAGCGCCGGACACCACTCCTCCCACGCTCGCAGCAACAGCAGTACTGGTCCCGGCGCCCGAGGTGGAAGAGCCAGCAGCGCCATCCACTTTCCCCGCCTCGCCGCCCACTCCTATTCCTACTCCCACCCCCACCCCAACTCCCTTGCCTACCTCCTTGGCCGGGCCATGGACATCCCAAACCCGGACCGTACAATCGGCACCCCCACTCACCAGCACCGTGCTCTCCACGCTGAAGCTGAGACTCCACACCCCGCCCTTGCCATGGCCGCGCATATTCTTGATCAGCCGTCCCAACGCCAGATCCCAAAGACAGATCCAGCCATTCTCGTCCGCACTCGCCAAGATCTTGCCGTTGGGACTACAGCACAACGCCGTGATGGCAGACGTATGGCCCGTGAACATGCGTACCGCATTGCCATTCGTCAGCCCCCACATCCGCACCGTCCTGTCACTGCTCGCGGTAAAGACGTAGGCGGAATTGCGGTGGAAGGCGACGACATCGACGCCGTCATCGTGGCCAGCCAACAAGCGTAAGTGGCGGATCTTATCCGTCGACCAGATGCGCGCGGTTTTGTCGTGGCCCCCAGACACGAAGTAGTGGCCAAACGGACCCCATTCCACGTCCCAGACCGGGCCGATGTGGCCTTTGTAGACGACGATTTGTTGGAAGATGTCGAGGTTCCAGAGGCGAATGGTGCTATCGGCCGAGGAGGAGAGGAGCCATTTCGTGCTTGGTCTGATGTCTGCTGCGGAGGGGGCGGCGGAGGAAGGGGCGAAGGAGACCGCGTAGACGGGGCCGGAGTGGCCGATTAAGCGGTGCGAGGCGGAGGGGATGGTGCTGCTGTTGTCGTCGTTGTCGGTTGAGATGGGCTTTCCGTCGAGACTCCAGACGCGGATGTAGGATTCCGAGGTCCCTGCTGCAACGAGTTCATTGTCGCCGGAGAAGTCGAGGCAGGTGATGCTATCGTAGGTGTTGTGGAAGGTGAACATGCACACGCTGATGCCAGGGCCGATGCCACCGGTGCGTGCTTCAATCTTGAACCGGTCGCGGTTTTCGCGGATTTTCTGGACTTCCATTGCTACGTCGCGGGCGGTGGATGGTGGGTAGGCTAGTTCGGTACGAGACGGGAATTCGTCGTCGGGTTCTTGCTTGATGTTCATTTCCAGTGTCTCGACGAGACTGTCTTGACCAGCAAGGGCGGGTTGCGCAGTGTCCATATCTTCTAGATCGCCACGGACGTCAGCTTCGAGGTCTTTGTCGAGTGGCAGTCTTCCCAATCGAAGCTTGACCAGGTTATTGCCCTGCGTTGGATCGTCTGTGATTATAGAGTTTCCTGGATTGTGGCCGGGAATGCCTTCATCTTCGGCCGGCATATCTTGTACTTCTTTCCCTCTTTGCAACAGGCTGGCGAAGCTGAAACGATCGTCCGCTGCTCGATCGACGTGCCTGATATTACATCGCTTTTCAAGCAGATCAATCAGTAATTTCCCTCCTTGATCAGCACTTGCTTCAAGATATTGCATCAAATGCACAAAGGCAAAGTTGCTGAGGACGACTCGATACTTGTTATCTCGGTAAAGCTTGCCCACATTATCGTCGTTCAGGTGCTCGGGAAGGCTGATGCGTTCTAGTCCTCTGATGTCAACTTCATGTTCGGGGCGAAAGTCTTGCTTGTATTGTTCGAAAAAGGCCCGACTTTCTGTAGGATAGAGCTCTGCCACCAGCTGGAGATAAGAATGCACAAAAAGAGGCCATAATATGCGTTTGAGTTCTGGCTTGTAGATATCAAGTGTGTCATCGATCCATTTCTTGGTCCCCTCATAGGCCGCCCGATATCTCGGCGTACCGCCAGTCATAGCTGGTGGTGCAGCAGTCTCAGGCACAGCCGTTTGAGAAGATTCTGCTCTTAGCATTGCCTCAGTTTTGGTGTAGCCTTTTTTGGCGAGGTAGTCGATGACCTGATGTCGCATATTAGCTTGAACTCCAGCAGATTCACTGGGGAAGAGGAGAGAGGAGAGAACTTCAGCCGAACTTGATGCGCGTATAAGGGATCTTGCTCGCTGTAACAGCCCTTTGCGCACTTGTACAAAGAATAGAGTACTGATTCGTGGCGGCGGGCAATGCCTGAAAAATGGCATGGGCAGATGTGGAGAAACAACAGCAACACCGCACTTCAGAAAATACCAGGGCAAGACAGGCGCAAAAGTAATATACAGCACCCACAAAACATTCATCAACCTACAATCTGATTCAAGTTCTGCTGCGACATGCCTCCGCCTCCCCCTCCGCCACCAGACATAACACCCCCAGCGCTGACTCCAGAAGTCGCCATAGATCCACCGCCCGTAGTGACGCCATTGATGTGAGGCTGGGTAGGTGTTGGTAGTGGAGGGTTTTGCCCAATGCTGGCGCTCCTTGCTGCTGGACTGGGAGCAGACATGTTGATATTCTAGATGACCTGGGCCCACCCAGCCTATTGTTCATACAAGGTCGAGAGGGTACCTATCTATAAAGCCTCGCACATAGTAGCATTCAATACCGTGCAGTCAGGGTAATGTAGGGGAGTTATGTAAGTGTCAGTACTCCGTAGATGGTCAGTAGATGGTCTTGGTTTGGATACTGGTAGAGGAAGAGAAGCTATTCCTGAAATATACTACGTAGTAGCTTGGGCGGTAATTCGAGGGTACGATACTGTACGTAGAACGTAACTTACCATGTCTATGTTGTATTATTGTATTCAACGAGCTCCACAGCTCCACAGTCTAACATGTTTGGTCACGTACAGCAATACACAATGTCAAACACCCTAGCTTGACATGTCCTCAGAATATTCTTGAATCTTGCCTCTCGCAATGACAACTTCTCAACCGTTAGCCTCGCGCCCCATCCCATATGATCAAAATATTCATGGCAGAATCCGACCCTAATGCTTCCACATTCCCCGCAAAGCCCACCCGCACCCGCACCTTCACACCCCTCGACCGTATTCGCGAGCTCAACTCGATCGACGCCTCAATTCCGCAACTCCTCCATGCGGCCGGCTCAGCCATTCAAATCCTCGGCTCTCAATCCCCCTCCAAAGACCTTACATCGTCAAAGTCACAGTTCCTCGACTCCATAACCACCTACTTTACAACCTTATCATCCATCGATGTCCGACTGAGAAGACAGGTCTATGCTCTGCAGGAGGCCGGGCTGATTAAGGAGGGGGATGCCAAGGATGCGAAGAGGGGTGGTTCGGCGGCGGCAGCTGCTCTTCCGGGGAACGGGGCAGGAGCTGGAGGAGGGTTGGACGTGGGCTGGTTGAATGGCGGGGGTGATCAGGTGGAGAAGGATATGGAGAGGGAGGTTTGGAGGAGGGCTAGGGAGTTTTTGGAGACGTTGCGGGGACAAAAGACAAATGAACATGGAGCTACGGAGGATGGGAAGACGGAGAATGGTGCAGGGGATGGACAGGATGACAGATTGCAAAATATGAAAGAGGAACATGATGTAGGATGATCGACTAAACAGTTCACGGGGCACTATTTTCCTTCACTGATGCCATCTGGTTGGGATTCAGGTGATATCAAGGACAACAAAACCAGGTTCCAGCTCTGGGTTATATGACATCTCACGCCTAGTAAAATACCCTTGAGACAACAGCCCCGCCGTCACGTTACGTCTTAGTCTTCAGCAGCACAACAGCCTAGGCGAAGGGTTCGAATCTTCAAACCATTAGCAGTGGCCAGAATCCCTGCTGCTAGGCGCGGATGGGAAGCACCGCCTAGAGATGGGGCGGAGGGATGTGCCTCTGTTGGTGACTTGCCTGGCTGCTCGAAGTACTTGGGTTGGAGATGAGCTATTTTGAGTTCTTGAGGGGGGGGTTCGAAGTTGGGGAGAATGAGAGATTAGTCTTGTGGCCGATGGTATTAGGTCCAGAGAAGAGCCATAAGAGGCTCTATCCTTGTTGGCGATATGTGCTGGGCGCTGTCCTGGAAGCAGGACGTTGCTGTTTATTCAAAGGAAGGAAAAGGTTGTCGCGTCGTAGAAGATCATGGCCTCGCAATGTTTTGTTGACTAAAGGGAATGCCAGGGAGAGGCAGCATCCCTCAATGGGAGAAGGATACGCTGGAGAGGTCAGTCTACATGAAGCCCCAAATTTGATTCGACCATTCTTTCAGCTACATTTGTAGGAGAGGAGGTCGGCGAGACACACAGACTTGGGAGCAAAATCCTTGAGTATACCAACATCCACAATATAACAGTGGTATCAATCTCTACCTTACAATGCCCCTCGTGTTTCAAACATCTGCTAGGCATGATGGATCTTGCCCAAGATGCCCCATTTTCTGCTTCGTGGTAGTTACTATTACCAGGGCCACTTAGTCGAAAACAGCAGTGCATTCAGCCACACCTGTACTTGCGTGTTCCGTCACCCGTGTATATCACGACCCTGGTTGGTAGGTGGCTCGCACCTGATCTGTCACACGTTATACTAATAGTCAAGATAATGAGCTTTTGTGGCAGGTGTTCTGGCCATTGAAACGAAGTTGGGCCGGATCAAGTTCAACGGAAGAGACGTCGTAGCAAAGACGGCCTGATGAGGCACTCAAGATCCTCGTAGGTTCTTCAAGCGACCAATTACTCGAATTTCGAGGCTGACGATGAGCAGATTAGAGGATTCGCCCCAAATTAGGCTGTCAGGTATCGGAAAGACGCCCCTGTTCAACCATACCGCCCATCAAATTGTATCCGCGGCATCGAATGGGGAATGGCTGCCGCAACTGTGGGCGTCCCAAGGGGCGTAGAAGCGTTAGAGCCTCCAGGGCTTATGTCTGAGAAGACAAGACTGGGGTCCGAGAGGGATGCTGTTGCCGTTCGTATAACCAGTGGTGATGGATGAACTAAAGGGGCTGGTTTGGTTGACAACGGACTAGCGATTTCGTCAACGTACTCGTCCTTGATAGGCATGACAGCTTTTGGGACTGGAGTGGCCATACTGGGCAGATTCTCTGATATTTTGGCACGCAGCAGGGGGAGGAATCGGGAACCGCCTCCACGAAGGTTGGAGATTAGGCTTAAAAACTGATTGAGGTACTCCAACGGCCCAATTTCGAAAATGCTGCTGTCCAAGGGCACGCACGCAATAACGTCTGTCACGGTGCAGGCGACATCGAAAAGCTTTTCGATCAGGCCAATGCCATGTACCTCTAGAGCTTGTTGCGGCAGCCCTCTAACATCAGCCATCAAATGTTTTGCAATCTCGATCGGATACTTGAACGTCATCGACGAGTCGGCCGATGTCGAAGAAAGATAACCATTGGTGATGGAAAGCTGCCAGACCATCGTACGCAACCACTGCTGGGAGGTGACAATGTCGGCCGCTTGTGTCTCAGTGCTGTTCAGCTTTGGTGGCAGGGCATCAGAGAGCTGTTGTTGCAACTGGGCGAGCCAAGCCGTGGAACAATCATTTCTTGCCTTGTTCCACAAACCGATAAAAGTGTCATCGAATGGACGGAAAAGATTGATCATATGTAGAAAGCCATTAATGATCTGTCGATCGCCAGGGACTTCATCAGGATTCGGCAGCTCGATAGTTGCGTGCAGGGTTAGTGGATGGTGTCTTTGCAAGGCATAGGCTCTTTCGGTAATGAACAGAAGCCAATATAGCCTTCGCTTCATAATGCTCTCCACCGGATCAGTGCTCAGGTAGCTGGGTTCGTCCTGCATCCCAACAATCTGTGCTAAGGTTGTCGCTTCTCGCAGATGGTACCACGCCTTGTTGTGCTTGTCCAAACCAAAGTAGCAGGCAAACAAAAAGAGCGACGTTTGTACAGATTCGAGCGTAGGGTTCTCAATATAGTCGATTGCCTTGCGGAGGCGCAACACCTCCTCGAGTAGCGAGCTAGCAGTGGTGAATTTACCGGAGACCAAGTCGTCGCTGTTAGTCCGCACTCCGACAGGCCTTCCAGGCAACGACATTCGAGGCTGTATCATCATAAATGCACATATCGAGGTGATCAAGCAATACGCTTCTATTGATTGGTCGATCTCTCGGGCAACCTTCTCCTGCAGTCGCCCTTTATGTAGAATTGGCATCGTCGGATACATGTGGCGGAAGAAGAACTCAATGCAGCCATCGATCATCTGTTGAGACAAGACGTCCGGATTGCGACGACGCATTGGAGATAATGGCGATGTATTGAAGTCAAAAGAGCTGTCTGGCGAATAACTGCGGATCTTGTGTCTGTTGGTCTGTCGCTGCGTCTCTCGCAGCTCTGAGATGACCTTGGCTCTGGAACCCTTTGGACCTTTCTTCTGGGGCACAGCATGGTAGGTGCAAGTTAGGGTCGCTTGAGAACAATTTGCGCATGGCTGTTTCAGTCAGCGCATTGGTTCCCTCCTGCTGTGTGGTTGGCCCCACGGATACATACCTGGCCACCCGAGCATCTGACTTTTCTTCGATGGCATGCATCGCAGGCTGTGCGCACCATTTTGTTAGAGTTGAGGCGGGGGTGTGTTTTGGGTTGTGTCCTACCTCGCTTGTGAGGTAAAGATGCCATGTCCAGTGCGCATCAACTGTTCGGCGGCCTATGCCAGTGATGGAGAAAGTGCTTGTTCAGCATCAAGTCCAAAGCCTTCGGTGTCCGCGGGAAGCTGCTCTGCATGGCGCGTTGAATGGGACTGGTGGAGACATGACATTCACGCAGCTCGAGTTGTCAGCTGATGGCTGACGGGAAAACCAACTTCAGGTACTGTGGCAGAAGCCTCTGGTGAGGAGAAAGTTGGAGAAGGTGGCTGACTCGAGTACATTGCTGGCTGGCTGGCCTTTATGAGCACCCCGTATCATGTATGGTTGGGCAACTGGGTGATTGTTGGAGAACTACGCACATCCTTATTTGGGGTGAACTATTTGCACAGTCTTAGCCCCGGGGAATTCAATGTCAGCCAGTGACGAATGATCACTGATGACCACTGATGATCACTGGTGTTGACCAGGAGCCCAGGAGCCTAGGAGCCCAGGAGGGGCACGCCACCAGAGGAAAAACCTTGACATGGCCAGAACTTGGCCGGTTATACCCCGTACAACACGCCACTGCCCTAGAAGAGAGAGCTAGACCAACCCCACAACGCTCCGCCTATGACAGATTGGTTGTTTTTCCAACAGCGGATCAGCGATCTCCCAGGAACACGAGAGAACCAGTGCTAGGCTCGATAGGCTGGTTCCCGTTTCAGGCTGCAAAACGACATGCATATTCTGCTGTAGCGTCGACCATTCGAGTGAGAGCCTGCACCTCTGCATCAGAAACTACGGGGGAATCTGGGAAATACCAAAAACTATCTGCCAGTTGGACTCCATTGACAACACTAAACCTGCTACGACCTACGCGGCCTGCAAGAGCGGTACTACGTAAGGACTAAGTTAGATCGGACATGCACGCTGTTGGAGGGAGCCGCTGTCAAGTGACAGTCATGGGATCTCATGGGGAAACATAACTGGGCGAGCACGGGCGAGCGTTGGGCTGCGCATTATTGTCAAGTCCTCTTGCATTCCAACCGCTCTGAGAGTGCACTCGTGGCACACGTTCTAGAAGGCTGAGCTCCATCACAAATCTTAAGGCCCACTCTTCGGACGTTGCCGGCAACCATGATTTGAGATTCCGATACGCCTTGTAATGCATGGCATGTTGCACTCGTCGAGTTCCAGAGTTGGGTTCATCTGTTCATTGACCTGATCATGTCTCGGTGGCTCGCTTTGTCTTTGTTCGCCTCGGTCAGAGACGGTATGCCTACCTGCGTCAGCTAGGAAGCGGAATCTGAAGGGTTCTGAGTGAATGTTCACTTCGAAGGTCTCCCACAACATCCTTGGCCTTTCCAAAATATACCTCCTCTGCGCTTGTTAGTACCTTGCATGGTGTGACGCACAGGAACATGACGATTGGCTCACGTAGCAGATTTCGCATCTTGAGCTCCATATCCTCAACCAAACGTCCGATGTTGGCCACATGGCTGGCATCATCCTCCACAGTCATATCAGCTTCCACTTGCCGGGTCATGTTTCCACTCAGGTTCATCTGTCCCAGGGCATCGGTCTCGTTTGCAAGATGTAGGATGACGGTACTAGTGAGCTTGTAGTGGGATGCCCGTACACCCCTCTCGCTTGTCTCGAATACGTGAATGCTGTCCCATGCCGCTGAGCTCTTCGATCCCGGCGAAACGGCTTTGGAAAGTCAGGCGAATAATATGCACAAGAAGGCGGTGTAGAACGGCCTGCAGTAGCTGCATATGATGGATTTCACGCACCTTTCTTTAGCAGTACAACTCCTGCGAATTCATCATTTTCCAGGTCCCAAAAATATGTGCTTCCTACACCGCCCTCGTAATAAAGTCCTCTGTAAACGTCGAAGGCTTCATTTGCTGCAATCTCGAGCTTTCGTATTCGTTCACTGGGCAAGGTACCATCATCAATTGGTGGATCGAACTCATTGGACCAAGGAGATCGATGGCTATCCCCATCTCTGTTATAGTCGCACAGTAGATAATCTCTTCCCGACTTTGCACAGCGCCGGACGTCGAGGGGCTGGTCAACTGAGGAGAGGAGATCTTCTGTGAGGTCTGGCACGAGAGTGGTGATGCGGTTGAGGTTGAGGGATGTGTCTCGAGGCGAGAGTCGCCTCAGAAGGTCACTACCAGCTGCACATGAGCGCCGATGTACAGAGTCCGAAATGCCCCGAGGGCACAACTTACAGGGCACTATCGTATTGTTTCTCGTTTGACATTGTGATGTTGCTGTAAGAAAATAGTATGGCGGGATACTGGTGGATAAACCGTCCCTGCATTCGGACTTTTAGCCTTGGCAGACAGGGTGGGGGCATAGGTAGTGGGATACTTTTTCTCAGTAAGAGCGCGGTCAATATGTCGCACCATTATTGTCTTCACACTACAGCGACGTCGTATCCAGAGCAGACCTGGCTTTAGTATACTAAGTTACTGCAATCAGGCTCGGGCTATAACTACATCTAGACTTCCCAAAAGTATATGAGGTACGTTGCTTGCTATACCAATTGTTAATGGTAGCCTGATGCTTCTGCTGCCCAATTTTCATGTATCATTCATCATCACTCTCCTGGAGTACCCTTTGCCTCTTCCGTCGCTGGCGTACAGGTGTCTTTGTGGGAGAGACTTCCTCGACCGGGAAAGCCATCTTGCATCCATGCTTCTTGTCCGAGACCAGACTAACAACATCTGGAAGCTCGTCGTCAGTGACATTGTGGTCAGTATTGCTCCTTTGGGAGACATAAAAAGGAGGGTCTTGATGGGCATGTGATCCTTGCTGCTCGCTGAGAGCGTTAGCTAACGCGTCGGTAGGAAGCTGGTGATGATGGTGCCAAGCTAGACGTGAGTTCGATGAATCTTTATTTTTTGACATGGCTCCACATGGTGGGGCAGGACTCGACGAGCTGAGGGACCGATGTGACGCTTTGGGAAAACACTTAACATTACTGACCCATTCTTGGGCTCCGGACGACACAGTCGAACCTTTTCTGAAGTCTGCCAGCGTGCCAAATGACGGCACATGATCAAGCGGACGCTGAACTGTGTCGAGGCACTTCACGAGGTTGACGGTGACACGAGAATGACCAACCTCGCTTGTTGGCCGGATCTTTCGTTGCAGTGCTGGAAAAGCGTCGAACCGAGGCCGCTGCACATATTGCGGTGTGCTACCACCCACATTGCAATACCTTTGATCAAGCTCGAGTTCCTCCTTTTCCGATAAAAGCACATTCTCCAGAGATGGCAATCGAGCTACTTCAGGCTCCACAACTTCCCTCTGCGTCGCCTTTCTAGCCTTCGCAGTCTTTCCGTGGATGAGTGATGCCTGTACAAAGCCTGTCTGAACACCGTCAGGCATATAGAATTTCTTTGGTGGCCTCTTTGTGGCCCTGCTACGTTTTCGCGGCTCGGGAAGTTCAATCTGGGAATTCTCTAGGGGGATGTCGACCTGCCTTTTGTCTGCGACGGGATTGATCTCTTTGGGAATAATTCGGGCAGATCTGTCATCATGGAAAACAAACCGATCGCCACTAGCGATCATCTGCTGCATCTTTTCGTAATTATCCTTTGCTTTGGTATAAGAATCCTCTTCCTTGCCTTTCATAAGCAGTAGCACAATGTTTCCCGCTCGTTTTCGTCCTGTTCGACCCATTCTTTGAAGCATGCGAATTGGGGAAGCTGAAGAGTCATAACACACAATCAGATCTACCTCCCCAATATCCAGACCCTCTTCACCGATAGAAGTGGCAACAATGGTATTGTACGTGCCTTTCTTGAATTTCTCAATGACATCGAGTTGGGTTTTCTGGTCCATTCCCTCAGAAGTCTTTGCGCCTGTCTGACCAACAAAGACGTGTGGTCGAATCATCGGCTCGTGGCGTTTAAGGACCCGAGTGACTTCCTCAGCACTGTCGCGGTAGTGCACGAATATCATGATACGCGTATCTGATGGTGGTCTACCGTCCGCCATACCGTGGCCTTCACCTGCATCCATGAAATGGTTCAGCACTACAGTCTTCAGATATGATAGCTTAGGGTGTCCAACAAAATCAGGGTTGCTGACCCAAGCTTGCAGCCTGTTCACCAGTTTCCTGAAATGCTCATTCTTCGCTATTTCCTTGGCATATTTTCCATTGTTTGTACCGTCAGATGTACTGGTTTGGAAGTTGAGTAAATTACGATAGAAGGGACCGATACCATGAAACTTAAGCAGCTCGATCGCATGGGCTAAGCTTGCAAGAACATTGAAGATGGCATTCGCTTTGCCCTTCAGCGCGAAGCCTCCTTTCTTGGCAGCGTCGGAACCCATCCATCGCTTTCTTGCCATTGTAAGTCCATAGGCGGTAAGATTCGACGGGTCCCGGCCCCAGTAGGCATTGAGACTGACCAACTGATTTAACACCGGCTGAAGCGCTCTCGAGAAAAGGTCTAATGACATCGACAGCTCCTCAGAATTCTCGAATAGCTTTATGTCAATGTTCCGTGAATGCACGAATTGACAGATATCGAGTGATTCCTCGGTCCTTATCTCAACTCGAGCAATATCCAGACCGTCGATTACGTTTTGGACTGCTTCGACAGATGCTCCAGGAGTTGCGGTAAGAGCAAGCACGCGAAAGCTGGAGTTGAAACGTCGCAAGAACCTGACAACCTCAACGTAAGCATAGTTGCCAGTAGCTCTATGAGCTTCGTCGACCACCAAGAGCACCAGTTTCTTTGGCTCGCAGATTCCTGTCTTTAAGTCGTGGATGAGTGTTTGTGGAGTCATGAAAAACACACGTTTGGTCTGCCACTCTTCCGCTCTGATAGCTGGCTGAATATTGCCGGTCAGCATAGTAGTCTCCGAGCGAGGAATGCCTACGATACCAAAGCAGGCCTCAACCTGTTGGGAGACAAGAGGTTTGGTTGGGGCAACAAACACAATTTGAGCGTCTACTGTCCAACGAAACCAGTTGAGCATGATCGTGGCGGCAATAAATGTCTTGCCCAGACCGGTAGGGAGTGCTACCAACAAATTGTGGAATAGGCCTCTCTGTACAATGTTGTACTGATAGTCGCGGATGTTGCCAAGGTTGGTGGGATATATCCACATTTTGGCTGCTTCATGATTGAGCTTGTGATGAGTGGGTGGCTCCACCCTGTTGGCTAGAGGCCAGTTGTGAATCCTACCTTGCGTGGTGGAAGCGGGTGCTTGATTTTCGTGTTGACCGAACAACGTCGTCTGGCGAAAAGAAGCCGTGTTGGGTAATGGTGGTGGTTTCCGATGTGACACAGTTGCAGCAGAAGTTTTGGGCGATAATCGTTCACGCGATAAATCTTCCAAGTCGTCCAAGGATGATAAGGCCGCCGCAAGCGCCAGTTCATCCTCGTCAAAGCCATCATCATTGGGAGAGGGTTGAGGCGCTTCCGCTGCTGGAGCAGACTGGACCGCTTGAGCGGGTAAAGCTGTGGACGTAGGTGACGGTGATGGTGAAGTTGGACTTTTCTTCCTCCAACGAGGTCCACGGACCCTAGATGGACTTGAAGCAGGCTGAGTCAACTGCGTCACGAAGGTGTTCCCAGGGGGTTTACAATATGCTGAGAGATTGATTGCATGCTTTGGTAGGCGGTCTTGCTCGCTGCTAGCAACTTCTTCTCCGTCATCGTCGACATCGGCGCCATACAAGGATTCACCTGGTGGCAAGTCGTATTCATTAGATTCCGAACCACTTTCCCCAGATGAGTTCTTCGATGATTTGCCATCCGCTAGCGACGCGGTGGAGCTGTTCTCTCTTTGGTTGATCCGCCGCCTTTTGGGATGTCTTTCAAGGAGATGCCCCATGAGGGAAAAGCAAGTGAAGATATCTGTCTACAGCATGTAGAGATGGTTTCCAGACCGTATATCATGGAAATGCGATTGTTTGTTTTTTTGCTGCGTCAGCTTATTTGACGCCTTGACGCGGTCTAGTTGGTATGTAGAGATCTTATGTCTACACGTGCAGTCCGTGGAGATAGTTGTCTAGGGAAATTAACAATTACAGCGCCAATATAAAATCAATATACTTATACCACTTTTCCAGGAGCATCCATACTTCAACTATTGTGGTACTAAAGCAAGCTGTCTCTTTTGTGACATTGCTCAAAGCATCTTACTATTAGTACGTGGACTGTACTACGGGAGGGCCTGAAATAATGTTAGTCTGGCGTTAAGAGCAATTAGTTCTTATTACGACACCTAGTGTTATGATTCGCCACCTCAAAGCTTGTTCTGTGTATATCCAATCTGATGAGTCAAATCGTTACATCTACCTTTTTTCCAGGCATAGCTGTTCTGTACAGAGAGGGTTTAAAAGTAAAGATACTAACGCTGAGCTAACATTACTTCAGGCCCTCCTGTACGGAGTAGTGCGTAGCACTTAGTAAAAGTCCGGATGGGTGTGTGACACTAATGCTCGAACAGTAACTACTGTGATGCTAGCTCCGCATTTGCCAAAGGTGAGACAAGCAGACGCGCAACATTTTGTCCCCTGCTGATGCGGCAACCACACCGGGTCCAACATTTTTTCGTATGAGGAAGAAGCACCTAGAAGTGGATCCTGACAAGTCATAATGTAGCACTGCAAGATCATTAAGGGGAGGAGAATCCATAATCATTCCCACGTGATGATCCTCCGGTTGCAATAATTTTGATCGTGATGAGATGCCGGACCGTGGCCCAACTTTACTGCTACTGAGCTTATTCACAACGCTATCATGCTTGAACCAATCACCTGTTAACATTCGAAATTCAGCATGCAGGGTAGCCACCACAAGCCCCCTTCGTGTGGGGAAATTGCATGTTGGGGGTGGACCACAAACATACAAATAATAATAGTTAAGGCCCATGAAATCTTTTCGTCGTCAGCTTCCTCTTCCTCCTCCTCTTCCACCTTCTTAACCAAGTCATCGCTCTCGCTGCGTTTGATTCTGTTCTTGCCCCATTCATACACTTTCATTCAATCAAGGCTCGTTCTTTCGCCTTGCCATCTTTACAATTACATCAATTGCATTCACAGATTTCGACTATCTCGCCAAACAATTTTTCGCAAACATCAAGCATGCGGTTCCTTAATCTCCTGGCCAGCTTCGGCCTCATTGCTCTTGCTGCTGCAGCTCCTCAAGAATCAGACTCCTCGGATACCTCCTTGGTCTCGACACCTTCAACCGCTTCTTCCTCGACTGCCGACGTGACCACCTCGACTGCTCCTGTCTCACCGACCACCAGCTGCATTAACGCCTGTGAGTCTTCTGTTTCATTCACATCTAAAGTATGGATGAAATGCTAATCGATTGATAGGCGGTACCAATGTCTGCTGCCGGGCTGCCTGCGTCGGCGTTCCCTGCCCCAATGAAGCTCAGGTCAACGCGACGACCGAATGCGCCGCGCAGTGCAACCAAGGCAATGGATCTGCTGCCGATACGCAGGCTTATGGAGAATGCCAGTCTTCCTGTATCTCGTCTCTTTTCCTCACATCCAGTGGCGCAGCCCCTGCAACCGCAACCGCAACCAACAGTCGTGCTGCCAGCAATTCGGCTTCTGCCACCGGCAGCTCTGGTATGTCGCATTATCCTGTCCAATTATGTGTATTTGCACCAGATATTGACTTATGTAACAGGCTCTGCAAGTGCCTCTGCCGAATCCACTGCTTCCTCGTCAGACTCTGCCGCATCTGCTTCCTCTACCGGTAATGCAGCTAGTAGCATTCAGATCGGTGCTTCGACTGCCGGTCTTCTCGGTCTTCTAATGGCTGCTCTAGCCCTATGATATAGCATTATTGGTTCTAGATAGTCTATAATTTTTGGCCGCGCTATTAAACGTCTTTCGACAACGCGCTCGGTGAAAAAGAAGCTCCTTATATAGCACCGCTTGCATTGCACATTGGAAAACACGCTGTCCGCACAGAATACTCTCTGTTCGACGTTAATACATTGATTATAAGTCACCGGTGCTGAATCTTCATTGCCTCCGTTGGAAACGTATCACAATGTCCTCTTGCTAGAATCATGCTAGAATCATGCTCGAATGACTTCAAGATTCGGCCTTGAGTCATCTAGAGCCTCTTTTTCTGTTCGTTGTATCCCTCTTTGGTAAACAATACTTTTTACCCGAAGGGATTCTGTCGATGTCATGACTAGTACTCCGTAGTCGTGATGATACTATGTATGTCGGAGGTAGAGAGTGAAGTTGTATCCGACGCATCCTTCAGGCAAGCCTCCCGCATTCCGAAACCTAAGTAGGCTGTAAACAAGGAGCCAAGAGTCACATTGTCAATGTTGAACACTTCGGCTATGTCTTGAGTGTGAAGTTCGCTTTTATTTGCGCAACCTCACCCAAATCATAACCCAAGCCAGTAGGCTCCCAAGGATGACTGCCATAAATGGTGCATCTATTCCCACGATGAAGGTTGAAAATGCGCCATCGCCGCAGGTCAAAGATGAAGCCGAGGAGGCCAGTCCTTCACCGTACATGGAAGAAGACGACGTCTACGAAGATGCGGGGGATCTAGATTTCTCGCATTCCCAACAGCAATTCTGGCTCAGTCGGCTGCCAAAGTCATTATGGGAGCTTTGGGCAAGCATGCCCGAAGACGGTGAGATTGAGATTGGAACTCTCAGGGTAGAAGGGGACAGCAGTGACCCAAAAAGAGTGAGACCTACTCTGTGTTTGTTCTATCATCTGTTTCTTAACAGTCTATGCGTAGGTCAGCCTACGGTTGAACCCGTTACCACGTTTCGAAAAGCAGCCAAAGGAATACAACCTCCTGCCATCGAGAAGAGAGACAATACTGCCGAAGCGCCCAAGAAATGCGTTTGTCTTCTCGGAGAAGGACATGCCCGGGTACAAAAGGAGATCCAATGGTCTCCGTGATGAGGAGGATAGTAGCTATCACGGTAGGTCCTATCTTTACGAAAAGAACAAGCGGGATAGCAAAAGGAAAGAAGAGAAGAAGCGGTTCGAACCATACACAAGAAAACCTATTCCAAAACAGACAGCTATCGTAGGCGTTGTGAGCCGTGAGTTTGAATGCATTCCAGTGGACAACGAGGAATACAGGGAATTGGAGAGGCGCAAAGCCGAGATCATGTTGAAGCCTAAAGAAGAAGTCGAGACTTCATTTGAGAAACTCAAGGATGCGACGTATTTGGCGCCAGGCACTCTCGGCGTGTATGGCAACACGATCACGGCCAAGGTGAGATTACTGCTCTTTCGTCAATATTGTAAGCCTTCTCATCTTCTACAGCAGGAAAAGAAACGCCGAGAGGCTGCGAAGGAGAGTCGTGCTTCTCGACTACCTAAAAACGAGCTTATCGATATGCTGCTTGACTTGTTTCAGTATTACAAGTACTGGGGTCTAAGAGAACTCAAGAAGAAGACGAATCAGCCAGACGCCTATCTTCGTGAGGTTCTCAACGAGATCGCCACGTTGTGGAAGAGTGGCGATCTGAACGGCAAGTGGGAACTGAAGGCAGAATTTAAGGAGAGAGATGCAGTCGCCAACTATGCTGAGGGTATGGCACCAGATGCAGTGGATTCTGAGGCGGATCTTGGGGAGGATGACGACGAGAACGAAGCATTCGAAGATGTCTGACATGTTCTCCATGGTCTACAGTGCGCATACACAATTGATTCGGCGGAGGGCGGCTAGCTAGGTCATTCTTTGGAGAACAAGAAGCGAACTGTGGCTCGTTGGGCTCCTGATGGGTCACCTGAACACAGTAGCCGTGCTTTCACATCACTGGTGTACAACATAGAAGCCCAGGAAAGATGCTGATATGCCAGCACAATTATCGATGCCTAGCATGCACTGATCTGAGTTCATCCTGGTAGAACAAGTGCAATGTAGACCTCTAACCTTTTAGCAGCGCAATCGAATGAAGCGCTGTTGCGGAGGAAGATGATTAGAATGATGTTGCTGATGTCGCGTGGAACATTCCATTGTACTTGGCCAGCTTGGAGGGCTTACATAACTGAAGCAGCTTTAAATCTTCTATCAGTCACATGCTTCTCTCTGTCTCTGCCTGCCTTGGCGTGCCAAGCTTTATCTCTCCCTCCCTTGCCAAGGCCTGCCCCTCGTCAATAAAGCCAGCCATCCAGCACGGCGGAATGGGGTGCCCGAAAATTCTTAACTCCCCATATCAGCATACCTCTCAACTTCCCAAACAAATATTAGCGTCTTGATCTGCTTAACCGCCTTGATCCGATCACTTTACCGTATCACTTCTCAACAGCATCAATAGACTCGTCCCGGTTTCTAGTTATGACCGAAGAGGAGGACCTGCTGGCCAAAATCGGCGAGCTGGCCGGTAGGTGACTCAGTCTTGATCTCATCACTTGCTGACTTACATACTCTTCCAGGTCAGATCAACCGGCGGAAGCAGCCAAATGCTCCTCAGCATACTCTAAATCAATCATCAGGGTACCACCCTCGTCCTAGCTTTCCGTACAGCCCGCGGTCAATCCCATATGTGCGTGGAAGAGGTCAGACATTCCAAAACAGGTCGCTCATAGCGAACAATCGCGCAAAGCCCGTACAAGCTTCTAGTGCTCCCTCCATTTCCCCACCTGACCAGATCGAAATCCCCAGAGCTGAAAATCTGAACCCCATGCCTCGTGGCATTGCAAAATATGGACGAGGGGCGAGGGCATGGATCAGCGAAGATGCGCTCAGACAACAACTTGAAAGACAGAAGTACCATTCGAACAGTCTCCAGGCCACAGGAGAAGACTCTGTCATACACCAATCTGTAACCTCTGGGAGTGACACTCCTACGCCTTCAACGGCCTACATAACTGTTGCAGACATCCCCTTTCAAGTCACAAATGGGGGCAGCAAATTACTGAGAACGACCGGTATGCTTTAAATTTAGACTGTGCAGGCGCAGGACACGCTCAGATTTTGACAGACACCTCGACCCTCACGAAGCCCACCCCGAAAGAGGCAGTAGTTAGTGGGGTCATCTTCAAGCGCTCGAAGAATGGAAACCTCGTCCGTGCTGCAGTTGCGCACCAGGGGTTCGTTCTCAAAACAGGTATACGATCTCCAAATTGCTGACATGTCTAACACAGGCGCACTCCGCAAATTGGCAAAGCTAAACTCTGCAGACAATACACTTCGACTGGTACCCCTTGCCCTTACCCCAGACTTGATCAAATTCCGCCGAGCGTGCTTTCTCATCCACGGAGGGTTTAAGTATCACGAGCGAGGCTGCATGGCTGACGCACGGTATTCGCAGGACGCTGCTCACGTGGCGACAAATGCTTCGGCATCCACGATGCTGCTCGAACCGCCATCTGCCCATCTGTTCTTCGCGGCATTGACTGTCCTGCCGGCGAGGACTGCGACCTAAGTCACGAGTCGTCATCAAAGGTTGCGCCTACTTGTTTGCATTTCCTTCGCGGAATGTGTACCAAGCACTTCTGCCCGTATTCACATGCACCTGTTGATCCATCTGCTCCCCTTTGCCGTGGCTTTTCCTACTTGGGATATTGCGAGAAAGGCTCGGCTTGTGGGCAAAGGCACTTACGCGAATGCCCTGACTATAGCAGCGGCTCTGGTTGTAGACTCAAACACTGCCCGCTGCCTCATGTTGATCGTGCCAGTCAGATGAGGCGCAATGGAGCTAACAACCCAGGAAATACGAAGAGAATGGAAGTAGACGATGACACTTCTGACGAAGAGACACAGGATTTAGATTCAGACAACTTTGAAGAGCCAGAGGAGCTCTTCCGCTCAAGCACCTTTGAGTTTCCTCAGCAGCAGGACTTCGTTGGTCTTACCTAAGGCTCACCGTGGCGCACCGGCGTTTGGTTGCCACATTCTCAGATACCCAAGGGCAATCGCACTAAAGTATGGAGGCTGAAAGCAGCTTCGAGGCGCTGTCTCGGTCGGTCATTTCTCCTTTCCTCCTTTACGGGTTTTCGTTGGACGGCGAGGGCTCTGGCATTACCTGAACAGCCATGGGCTTACAACGTCGAGCGAACTATGCGTAAGGCGTGTCGCTTAGAATGTCTTCTTGAGTTGGTCCCCGCTCGAGACGGCCACTCAAGCTGTGATAAACACTTTTAGCTTTACATTCAAGGGACGAAGTCAAAAAGCTTCAAAATATGCAATGCAATACCCAAACTACAGGCATATGAAGTGGGATTGTTTCCAACCCAGACAAGACCCCGGAAGCCCTTCAGTTGCCCAAGACGTGGTGACACGGATGATCAGATGAACCATTTAAATCATAGCCAGCGTGTTTGCCATGATGTTTCAGTAGTGTTGTCAGCAACTCTTGATTCTGCGAGATATTGTGGACTTTGTTTCTCGGAATTGCTGCGTTGCTCTGCTCCATACGACAGCCTACAGAGTTTTTGCCGTTGGTCAGACGTAATATAGACCAGGAATTTGTAAGGTGCCCAAGTGTGATACCCAAAGACAGAGGTTGGAACCAGCAACCAGTGGTCACTCCGAAGTTTCGAGCTGGTTTCTTCGTCCTTGGCAAGTGGTAAGCGAGATGATGATGGGTACGGAGTAGAGGTGATGATGATTGCAGCCCCGTATTCTCCCAACGACGACCGCTTTTAAGGACTGCTCTCCTGGTGGATTGACCGATTGACCGATTGACCAATTCACCAATTCACCAATTCACCAATTCACCAATTCCCCCGGTAGCATGTTTTTGCGCCGGGGGTCTCTTCTGCCCGAGCATGTCTGAGGGAGACAGAAAAGAGCATTCCTCAGTGGTGACTAGGAGGAGGTCGCATGAGGTCGACCGCTTGATGACCGCGACGGAGTGGAGGGAACCCTTTCCGCAATCACAGTTGACGCTCGTCCTCCAAGCTCTGCTGATCATGTCTAGCCACTTGGAGTGGGCCGTTTCAATGCACGTATGCCCAAAGCCCTAACTGGGGCATCCAATCTTCAACCCCTCCTCTCTGGCTACGGGCTTCTTCTCACCAACGAACAAACATTTCGCCTTTCTCCGGCCCGCCCTACTTCTGAAATCCCCTCCCCGTTCATTCATGCTCTTCTGTTCTCCACCTCTATAGTTAGGCCTTCACGTCGCCTGGCCTGCGACCTTCTACTGGCTATGGTATTGGTCTCTCGTCACGTACGGTAATAGAGCTTCCTCCGCTACCACAGTACTGCTCTTAAGCTGCATCCTTCGCTCCAACTCTCGTACCTTGGTTATTACGATCCCGCTTCCCATCAGTTGAGCTCATTGTTGTTCGATATGCAAACACCTTGAGCTTCAACGTTTCCTTCTTTCCCTTGCCCGTGCTTCGTGAAATCATTCAGAGACCGGTCCCGCAAGCAATTCCCTGCCGACCACACCGCCTTTTTGCCCGGGACTTCCCTCAAGATGGCAGCACAATATCAGCACCAGCCAGACTTTGATTTCTATCGCCATCCTCAATGGGCAGTAGACAACAAGCCAATCTGTTCAGAGGATGATGAGATGAGCTTGTTGGACGAGAAAATCCTAGAGCCGAACACACCGGCTCACGCTTCAACCGATAGCGATTTTCGGAACCCAGCCTTGGATCAATCCAACAACGCATTCTCGCCTCGAGCGAATATGTGGCACGATTCTTCCCAGCCTGTTGGCTACATGCATTCGCGACAACAGCCACATGCACCTATGCCTATGATCGACACAGGGCATGGTCATTACCCAAGAGCAGACGCGACTCATGAAGCAGTTTATAGTCATCAGCCGTCGTGGCCTGGCTCAACCATGTCAGGCACAAGTACACCTACTCCAATCTATGATCATCCGCCACAAGAATTCCATCAGATGGCGTATCATGGGGGGCCCATGAGTTTCGGTCAAGCATCATACCCAAGCGACCCGTTGTCTGCGACGCCAATGTCTCCACAGTCCAGTCAAGGGGGATGGATGTCAGCAACCTCATCAGATGGCACAGAGCCTCGATCGAGACCAATTGGAAGTCCAGAGTATGACGCAGCATCTCCAGCTGGTCACATCAGACGGGATGGGATTAGGAAGAAGAACGCACGATTTGAAATACCCGCGGAAAGAAATCTAGCCAACATTGATTCATTGATTTCCCAGACAGCTGATGAACAGGAGAAGAAGGAATTGAAGCAGCAGAAAAGACTTCTGAGAAACAGGCAGGCCGCGTATGACTTCACGCGTATCTCTTCTCGCGCATTTCTTACTAACATGGGCACAGGCTCGACTCACGTCAACGCAAGAAGCTCCACACTGAGAAATTGGAGCAAGAAAAGAAAGAATTCAACCAGCACCTGAGTGATCTGCAAGACGAGGTTCGGCAACTGCAAGAAGCTCTCCAACATGAGACAGAACTTCGACTCCATCGACAACGAGAATACGAGCATTACATTCAAACAGTCTCATTCGAAAGGGATGAAGCTATCCGGAGCAAGACGCTGGAGACTGCAGAACTCCGGAAAATGAACAACATCCTTAAAGACCACATCAGAGAAGCCGCTTCTGGGCATAGCCTTCAGAACGGCCTCTCCACTGATTTCTCCTCCTTCGATGAGCTGGATATTGAGGAAAATGGCTGGGACGAGGATTTCTCACTCATCAACAACAACGACTTCAACGACACGATAGAGCAAACCAACATCACTCCTACCCCACTCCAATCCTCAGGCACTGCCTCGGTTGAGCCCAAACCCGACACACCGTTCAGTTGGAACGCATTTTATATGTGTCTGCTATTTGGTGCCTTTATCGCTTCCAATTCAAGCAGTAATTCCAAGCCAGCCGTACCAGCATTATCCGAAGAATATCGAGCAGAGTCTGCCAATGTGTTGAAAGCGGTGCTGGCCTCGGGGCCAGATGTACCACGTGCTCTGCTTCCTTCCGCCCCACCGCAAAACATGCATCCGCGTGTTCTCTCCGGTGCACCAGCCACTATCTCTGGTCCGGAAATGGCAAGGATGACGAACAGTGCCCCAAACAATCTCGAAGCCCTCCACAGCTCTCTCACCGCGCCGTCCCGACGCCAGCGAGAGACAGCAGCATTTTCCCTCTCAGCAGCAAGCTACGACCATATCACCAACCCTGATCCTTTCTTATCAGGACCTGACGCATCCGACGAGACCTTCGAACCAAGGCCTTCCACGCTCCAGACTGCCTTCGATGCCATGCAACAAAGTAGGCAAAATGTCGATAAGGTCATCAATCGTGAAGTAAACGAGAGGAGTGTGATGTGGGAGGGGGTACCAGAGAAGGTGCTCCGGGACTTCAGAAGGATGGTAGAGAACGCTGAGATGGACCAATAATGCAGGAGGTCCGGCTCTTTGTCGAAATGCATTGGCTCCACCTCGTCATGTCGGAAATCTGGACGTTCCACCGGAATTCAACACCACCGAAACGAATTTCTTTGTGCTTATCTTATCTCAACTATCTATTACGTTTGCCGCAAGGCTGCTTCTTATTCATACAGCAACAATAGCCTCGCTGGCGCCATCCAATTTCCCATCAAACAGCTTTTCTGGAAAGGTCACCTTGGAATCCTCTCCAAAATACCCAATAGCAAGTTTCTATTCTCAAAGCAAACAACAATTTAACTCGCATATTTTTTGTATTGTCCTGTTACTTTCACGACAAGGATTATGATTACGACATAACGACAATCTTAACGAGACAACCCTTTCTTTTTTTTCATTCCTAATGGGAATAACATTACCGGCCTGCAAAGGCGATTTTATCATTCAAACTTTACCCTGACCACGACAGCAATACTTTCCCGCGCGAGCATGCGAGTGAGCGAGCCAGCTTCTTTATGCAGTTCATGGGCCGGAGGTGGGAATGGGACTCAACTCACCAATTTCGATGGGTTTTTTCCCCTGCTTTCCCTCGGCACAAATTCAACGGGTTGGAGGCATTTTGCGACCGATTGCGCTTTCACGGTCCGGTATGAATTCTGATAGAGGGTGGAGTATGGGAACGATGGGGGGAGGGGGAGAAAAATTGTGTATAGGCTTCAATGGGGGAGAGGGGGAGAACAATGGCCATTCTTCTGTTTTATGTGATGTCGATGAGGTGATATCTTCCTATGTAGTTATGCTACCTATGGTTTCGGTGTTTGATGATGTGACGTGATGGAGATGGAGATGGAGATGATGATGATGATGAACGGCCCCGGTCGATAGTGATGATGCTCTAGGAGCAGCAGCAGCGGAGCAAAGCGAAGTCAAGTTTACGAACCAACCATTCAACTTTCCAAATTGTGCACACCGGTGAAAGTAAAGATGAAGAGTGGGCAATCGCCATGTTGATTTGATTTGATGTGATGGATGTGATTTGATTTGATTCAACGACGATCCCACCCACCTCCTGACTTTAGTCACTATGTACGTTGGGTTGATCGGTAACTTACATTTATTGAACCGACTCTTAGTGTTTATCTGTTTACTACGTACGTCCCAATCCGTCATGCAGCTGCCGCCCCGGGCACGTACTCTCTCGCGTTCGTCAAAACACGGACGCAGCTGCGGTCGCGGAGTCTATCACAACAGGCCCGACCAGGCCAGGCCAGGCCAGTTGAAACCCAGGTACAGGAGGGGGGGGGGCCGAATCGATACGATGGACCTTCCCTCTCTACGCTCTCTGTGACTGATTCTGCATGCCCAACAACAAAGAGGAATCGAAAGGGTAACTCCCACAGCACTCATACCCATACCATCCCATCCCATCCCATACCGACAGCTATCTGATCGGTCTGTTGAGTCTGACCCCCCATTCCCGCGTCGGCATTGTGAGAGACGTACGGAGAAGTGATTGTGACGGGGAGAAATGAGATGCAATTTCCCCAAGTCCCTCCTGGAACATTGTGGCCTGCGAAAGGCCGTTGGGCAAGGCTGTAACGAGGATCGAGATCGCAAAAGCCACAGCCACAAACCTCAAACACAATCACCTGCACCAGCATTAATGCCAGCGCCGCCGGGAGAGTGAAAGCACTGAAAAAAAACGGCTACATGCCCGTTTATTGGTCTCGAGTAGCTCGCTTGAGATGCCATCCAGCCCTCGATCCGGTAGGGTCGTCTCTCTCTCTCTCTCTCTCTCTCTCTCTATCGCAACTGTGGATGAAATGAGATTGATTATGGGAACCAGACCTGAGAGGCTAGCCGAGCCAGGCCTAAGGCCTCAAATACGTTGGTGGCGCAGGGTGTGACTAGTTTTCTCATGTTGGTGTCATTGCAACGCCTGCCTTGTGGACGTCATGGCGCAGCGTGATGTACACTCGTATTTTTGAAACGTCCGAAGGAAGCGTTATCCTAAGCCGTGGATATCTGGTTGGCTCTTCCTCAAGGCTGAACTCATCCTCTTAGTGACGGCGTAGATTTGAATGAGCCCGAAAATCCTGCCTGGTCTGGTCAAGCGAGGAGAGTCATTACCCACCGACCCTATTACAATCCAGGGGCGTTCATCGGGTTGGCGGCTCCGTTATTAGCTATAAGTCTCAGGTTGGCCTGAGCCTTCTTATTCGACGAGCAAGACCCAGCCTAATTGTGGTAGAGAATCCCTCATCGATGCGCTCGATTGATCATTTGGGGTCGTATTTTTCTTTCCAGATCCTGTATTCAGCAAGTTTCACGTAAGTCAATGTCACGTTATTGGCAGCCGATACAGAGAAATGTGATCCAATCAGGGAAAAAACAAGGGGTTGGGGAAAACGGTGAACGGTTATGAGGTCGCAGGAGAGGCCGCATGAAGCGGTAAATGCTGCCCTGTAACGGGAACGAACAGATAAATCCTTGGCATCGAACGACTCCAGCAAACGCCATCAAGTGTGGAGTTAATGTCTGACAAGCTCTTCTTTGACAAAAACCAATACAAGGATCATGATAGGTGGTGACAGGTACGTACCAAGTATTTCCCAGGGTCTTCGCTCCGGACTTCTCTGCCAGCCGAAGTAATTGCGCGGCCTTGAACTGTGGCGACCGAAGAGGTCAGCAAATGACATGTTTGGAATGCAAAACACACTTGAAAAAGAGAGCTAATGCAAGGGACAAGGTGCATTGCTGCCCAAAGTGAAGCAGAATAGTTTGTGGCGGATCCGGAATTGGTATGATGTCTGGGACCAATTGGGAAAGTGCCGGATTCGGCTGTGATGGGTCTGAGCCTCATGTGAAGCTTCCATCAGCAGTTGGAGAGCCTAGCAAACAGAGCCTGATCTGGCCAGTGTATGGAGGAATGCCATCACGCTGTTGCTCGCTTGTCCTGCATCGGTGCCCAGGCGAGACACAAACGAGGCGGCAATTGCCTCATATATTCCGGTATCGAGTCAAATTCATGTGTGAGGATCGAGACAGAGACATGCAGTAGAGAAAGTTTCAGAATTGGCTTTACTCACCTTGTCTTTCTTCCCGCCAAAGCCCTCGAGATAGCACCAAGCAGCTTCATTCATGGCATCTGTATCCCCCAGATTGGCAGCAGTCTCATAGTACTGGCGTGCGGCTGCCTTATCCACTTCAACGCCCCAGCCATGGCGGAAACAATTGGCCAGCTCGAAAATGGCAAGTACCAATTCTCCCTTCGCAGCGCCGCCTGTCTTCATTCCTGCTTTCAAAGCTTCGGCTTCAATAGCGGCTGAATTTGATGCTGCGGTACGAAGGTAGGTGACTGCTTTCGTTGGATCTGGCTGACAACCCCAGCCGTGTCGAAGAGACAATCCATACAGCACCTGACTGAGGACATTACCTGTCTCTGCTAGTCGCCCAAACATCTCAGTCGCCTTGGTCAACTCTCCTGCTTCATGTAGTCGGATGGCTTCCTGGATGTTCTCATCACTTTTCGCATCACTAACGCTTCTAGGCCTGTTGCTTGGCCGTACTTTTAGGCCGTCCGCAACTGCAACTTCCATTTGAGAAATATCTGTGGCCAAAGAATGCACGCTTCCACCTCTGCTGACGGCCGTGCTTCCATCTTCCTTGGCTAGTCTTGTGGCGCGCTCTTCCCACTGCGCCTCTTTCTCCTGCTGATCGCCATTTGGTGTGTAGGGATCAGGTATAGTGGGTAGGTCGGAAGGAATATGTGCAGAGCTGGCGCTCGATGCCCTAGAGAGGTGTAACCGCTGCGATAGTTTTCTTGATGGCGTGTGGGCTTCTTTTTCTGAGGGCTGAGGCGATGTAGAAGCATTTGATGATTTGCGAAAGCGGTTGAAAGCACGTTTGGGTGGTGTGGTAAGGTCTTCGGACGGGGTAGGAATAGGCTCGTGGTCCTCTGCAAAACTTGGAGGCTGTATTATCTCCTGCGTATTGGTGTCTGTGCGCATGAAGGTGAACTCGGGAGTAGGAAGCGTCTGCGGTGCAGGGGGCGCGTCTGCAGCATCCTGCGCGTTCTTCTCTTTCTTCTTGAGGAGATCCTTAAGAGGCATGGTGGGCAGTTTATAGAGTTGTTTAGTCAAGCCGAATGGTTGAGCTATTGAAGTTGATCTAAGAATGGGTAGACGAAAACAAAGGGAATGAGCTTAGGAATGCTGACGATCCGAGCATTGCCTCGAACTTATATAAGGAGGCCAAGAGCTGTTGTAGTTGTTGTTGTCGTCGTTGTCATTGCGGCGGTGCCTGCTGTGCTTGCGGTGCTTACTGTTTAATTGGGGCCAAGGATGACGGTAGGAACAGGGTCTACTGGTCCACTGGTCCGAAGCGTCCGAAGCGTCCTCCGGTTCAAGAAGCCCCCGTGGCTGCGGGGACTAGCCCTGCAAAGGCACTACATAAATAGATCGCTGATGATCAAAAGCTCTCCACTAGTGACAGCAGCCATTTATGTACATACACGTTGGCGTACTTTGAGCGGTGTTCTTTAATATATCAGTAAATTGCATTTCTAAAAGGAGACCTCAGGCACGGCTGTCGATTCGAGAGGTTTCAATGTATCGACCACGAACTGTTGGCTTCATTCGTCGGTGCACCAGTGTTGCATTCTCGTCTCGTTCTGTACAGCTACGTTTATTCACTTTGTCGTGTCCCAAAGGGGAAGGTCAGCAGCCATTCTTGAAGGCCAAATTGGAAGCAGTTCAAGGAGACATTGGTGGTGAACAATGGTTCCCAGAACTGGGCCGGTCTCCTTTAGGCAGATTCTTTGTCAATAACGGAGGCGAAGAGCTAGTCGACAAGCCTCAGAGCGAGGGAGATGGCTCTGTGTGGAAGGCCATGCAGGCCATCAGCCCTCGTCAGCAAGCCGCTATCAAGGACGTCTCAGGACTCTTCCGAGAGGATGGATCCGTCACGATTGATCCACTCTATCTTCGAGACGCATGTCGATGCCGTCTCTGCATCGACAGCTCGACCCTCCAACGGAAGTTTGTGACGGCACATATCCCGCTGGATATTGAGGCAGTTTTCGATGGGCGCAGTAATCAAGGAAGGGTCAAGGTCAAGTGGAAAAACGACATACCCGGCTATCCTGCAGACCATCAGTCCCTCTATACGCAGTCCGACCTTCACACCTTGATTTTGCCATCTCCAGATTCAGTTGTTGCTAGAAAACGTCATTATTGGGACCGCGAAGCTTTCGAGAAGCGAGCCAACTGGACCACATATGCTGACTTTGTGAACGACACTGAAGCTTACAAAATCGCCATGTCTGCACTCCACCGTGATGGCCTGATCTTCATAACGAAAGTGGATGCCAATGAGGAGGCAGTGAGGAGGATGGCAGAGCGTATAGGCCCACTGCGTAACACATTCTACGGCTCGACCTGGGACGTCCGGTCATTAGCCAATTCTAAAAATGTGGCATACACCAATCAACATCTCGGCTTCCACATGGATCTGCTCTATATGACTAATCCGCCAGGGTACCAGCTGCTTCACTGTCTCAAAAACTCCTGCTCAGGCGGTGAATCTAGGTTCGCGGATGCCTTCTTCGCTGCAACTAGGCTTCGCCAGGATAATGAGTCACACTACAGACAGTTGACCCGGTATCCCGTTGAATGGACTTACGAAAATGACGGGCAATTCTACATGTCGAAGAGACCCACGTTCCACGAGGTCCAGTCCTTTATCGGTAACGAGGAACATGCGAGACATCGACTTAAGCGCAAAGCGAACAAGGACAACGATGCTGATCTGGCCTATGTTAATTGGAGTCCACCATTCCAAGGCAAATTATATCACCAGCATGAATACCCTGAGCGAACGAAGGTGTTCGTACAAGCTACGAAGAACTTTGATCGTATCTTGAATGACGATGCCATGGTGTACGAGCTAAAAATGGAAGAAGGCACATGTGCTATATTCGAAAACCGCCGAGTCGTGCACGCAAGAAACGCTTTCCAACTGGAGGATGGGGAAAGATGGCTAAGGGGTGCATATGTTGATGAAGATGCATTCTGGAGCAAATGCCGTGCGATTGGAGCCGACAAGTATGACACGTCAAATATAGCACATCCAGACGGGGTCTTCGTCCGGAGATATGAAGCGTCTGGGAAATACGAAATGCCAGACATTTCCAGGAAGGATAACAAGGAACAGTCAGCAGACAACAGTAAGGCTGTACCTCACGCGGAACCAGGTGAACCAAATAAATCAGATGAACCACATGCGAAAGAAGATGCACCCAGAATTCCAAAATCACAAAAGAAATTCGCCCTGGAATTGTCCCTCCGCCCCAGCAAACGACCTAAAAAGAAGAAATCCAAAAAAACTCCAAGAGAGCAAGAAGAGGCTCCAGAAGAGCAATAAAAAAACTACTCAACAAAGCTCCCTCCCATCCAGACCCCCGACATTTCGCCAGGGAGGATCCCTAGACGGAAGGTACGAGAAAACCGCCTTCATATTCCCAAACCCTCCCCACAGCTCCCCTACAGTTCGTCATGGTCCGTCGTCGTTACGGACAAGACAACCACGGAACCCACCAGGGAGAGAAGGAAGTGCAGAGATCGGCCATAGTGCCAGGACCCCACAGGTCCCAAATCACTCAAATTTGCAATGCATAGAATAGTACAGGTGAGGGGAAAGTCATCAACCGTACGTTCGGGGGCTTGAACACGTCTTTGAGTGATACGAAAACTGTAGGACAGAAAAAGGATTGCGCTGCTTCTACCTTAACTGGGCAGTGGGTGGGCGCAGTGGGTTTGATGCAGCTGTTGGGTTCTTGGGCATGGTTTAGACTGTTTGGGTCGTGCGTGTGCAGCCGGTGAGAGGGGAATAGGGGGGGGAAAGGGCGCAGGGGAAGTATTGTGGCGGTAAAGTAGTTGTTCTCAAGAGGCAACCGAGGTTGATCCTGGGCATGGATACCGTCAGATGCGAAGCAGGCGTGTCTATAAGACCAATTCTAGGAAGAGGTCTTGCAGAGACGTAGGATTGCATTGTGCGTCTAGCAATGGGCACAATCTGAGTTAACAAACCTACCACCATCAAGATGTGCTAGGTTACTGTCTTGCTTCATGAGGGGTTGTAAAGCAGTTCTACATGTCAAGACAGGCAAACGGGGAGATTCTTCCATCAGCTCCGGGAGATGCAGCGCAATACGGAGAATTGGTCTTGGATGAGAGATTCATGTCATGAATAGGACTTTATCGCCATGATTGTATGCGTTCGCTAAGCTTCACCAACAACAACGGAACCACATTAATCGTATCATTGCCGCCTAGACAGCAGCAGCTGGAGGTTGTGCCTGAGCCTCCGGCGCAGCTGGGCCACCGTCCTTTGCGACCGAAAACTCCTTGAAGAAGTCCGGATCTGATTCCACTTCCTCCTTGACCTGCAGTAAGATGAAGAGTCAGCGAGCACATTCAGAGTTCTGGCGTAACAGAGCACACTTACAATATCAAGACCACCGACCAAATCGCCATTCGTCCACAGTTGGGGAAATGTAGGCCAGTCGGCAAATTCCTTCAAGCCCTGCCTTACCTCATCGTCGGCAAGGATGTTGAAGAAGCCATATTTGACGCTGTTCTCGCGCAGGATGCTGACCAGCTGCCTGCTGAATCCACACTGCGGCTGGCTCGGCGTCCCTTTCATGAAGAGCATCACCGGTGCAGCTTTGACCAGGTTGGAGAGTCGGGTATGCAGCTCCTCCTTCGATGAGGCGCCGGATGACATCGCTGGAGCAGTGGGAGGATCTGATGGCTTCGGTGCATATGCAGACAGATCTCTAGCCGGCCCCGTCCCGTTCGTGCTCGACTCGTCCTCCTTCCTCGGCGTAGCTTCTAGCGCTGGTGGCAGTCCCAGCTTTCCACTGTTGCCCATCTTCCCGGCTTGCTTCTCGACTGCCTCTCTCACCTTGCTTGCATCGCTGCCACTGACCGTCTCCACCGTTTTGCCGTCTCTGAGGAGGACGAGGAAGGGCACGGCGGTGACATCGTACGATTCGGAGATTTCGGGGAGGTCTTCGGCGTTGATGGAGAGGAAGGACGCGGTGGGTGGCTCTTTGACGGGGTAGGTCGAGGCGAGTGTTTCAAGGATGGTGCGCATTTGCGTGCATGGTGCCGCCCATGGGGTGTGGAATGACAGGACTAGGAGTGTGGATGGAGAGGTGGAGTTCAAGGTGGAATTGAATTCGTGCTCAGAAGTGATCTCGTTGAGTGTCGACATGTTGATGATATGCTGTCCAGGAGAACAGAGATCCGTCCGTCTCCAGCCCGGTGTGAGTAAAGCTTTACAACAGCAGTTATGGCGTGTAGGATTACAGCAGTTGGGAGACAATCAATATGATATATGACAGTCTATTCATATAGTACAGAGGTCTTCGCAAAGATAAAAGTTTAGGATCTGATAACTAGCGAAATCGGAGAAAGATTCTTGCGATGACGCGATACTACTACTAGTAGTTAATACGATGCAATGCCAAGCCTATCAGGGGAGATCTCTTGGCAATATCTTGGCAATATTTCGGAGAGTCTCACTAAGAATTCAAGATCACATATTATTCATGAATCATGACAGCTTCTAAACCGAGTGAGATTATTGCTCTTCGAATTACTGCATCAAGGTCTCTGAAAAGGTTCCCAAGTCAGCCGTCTTCTTCGTGCCTAAAGTGCCCGCCAACCTGACCTCTCTGTTAACAATGGCCCTTGTTGCACAATAGTAGAGCTTTGGGTGAAGCCATAAAGCAGGGTTGGTGAATCGTTGTTTATGAGTGTGGATGAATGGCTCTGTGCTCGAAACCTGAATGTTTCCTTTGTCGAGACAATGCAACTTGTCCCACTTTCTTTCTCTCTCTCGTTGCTTTGTTCTTCTGCTCCTACTGCCTTATTTAATGCCATTTGATCGCCCAACCGACAGACGTTCAGACACTTCTCCCATTCCTCAGATCATTCCTCAAAGAATCCACATTCACAACGCAACCACGATGTCTACGTCATCAAAACCAGTGATCTTGCGTCGTTCGGAAGAGTTCAAAAAGACATGCGGCATATCGCGCTACCGTCGCTGCGTTCTCATCTACCAGCTCGACAACGCAATCTACTATGCACTTTCAAAAGTGCGATACCGCTCCGACGCCGAGGTAAAGCTGGAAGATCTCTACGATGTGGTAATGATTGAAGTCCCTCATTATCGTCCAGAATTCCCATCACACTTCACCCAAGCCTCTAATCCTCTTCTTGCAGGTTGGTATATCAAAGAACCTACACTGGTTCGTTTCGATCCTAGCGAGCCTGCATGGATTGGCGAACGAGTCCTCTTCGAAGCTAGAGCTAACGAGGTCCTCATAACGCATCCACATCGGAATATTGCCAAATACCATGGTTGCCGAGTCCAGAATGGTCTCATCACCGGTATCTGCTATGACAAGTACCACGAGTCCCTCATGCAGCGGGTTAACCCTGGTTCGCACAGCAAGGGCCGCTTGCACCTTAACAAGACGAAGCCTCTCAATGTCAATTTGATGTTGGAGAGCGTTCGCAATGGCCTTGCGCATCTCCACTCCCTGGGGTTCGCGCACAACAACATCAATCCTTCCAACATCATGTTCTTCAATGAAGACTCTGACGAAGCCGTCATCATCGGTTTGGGTTCCTGTCGAGCTATTGGATCCCCCCTAAATGATTATCTTGTACGGATGGAGGGGTGGTACGACAAGAAAGCTGACACGTCACTTCCAAGCAATGATCTCGACGCGCTTGACGAGATCGCAGAGTGGTTGAGTGACAAGCCGGAGAAGAATTTCCAACTTGCAGGATAACGGGGGCGAGTGTGAGCAGGTGAGTGTGGTGCGCAGTGGCTGGCTGTTTTTTGGGTGGGCCTTTTGATTGTATCTGCTGCTTTTCGTGTCTGAAAACCTGCTGCTAGTACTAGTACTTTGTTAAATCGAGCGTGTTTTCTCAGCAACCCAATCCTCCTAACAACGAACCGTCATGTGATATCCAAGTCCAACTATCCTAACCTATACACGTCAGCTCTAAACCACAGACTGCCAGTAAGATTGCTTGGTCTGAAGTAGGCAGGATGCAAGATCCAAACCTTTAGCTCGGAACTTTCAATCCCATATTCCATGTCAACCCAGATACGAGGGAATCGAGGACCAGTCAAGCTCCGGTAATCGTATAGATAAGACCTTTGTGTGGTGAAATGCCGGAGGGAGAGTGTCAAACCACCCACGATCTCGGATCTAGGGATCTTTTGGCCCCTTTGGCACCAGTACGTACTGAGCGTCAACCACTCACTGTACAATAGAAAAGTCAACTTACTGAGGGTAAATACCGGACGTCTAATTAGTTCATAGTTTCATCAAGTCAACAGCAATCTGACGGTTCTTGGATGGTTCATCCTGTTCTTCAGTGCCAACCAGTAACTACGTACTATAGCATCCAATATCCAACCAGATCAGCCAACAGACTTGGAAACTCAAATCAAACCGATCAAAACAACGTGTTTGGGGTGCTTTAATGTCGATTGTTCGTCGACCGAATCGGCGCGAGTTGGTTTGTTTTGATACCATGAAGTGGTGCTTGCTTCCAATGTTAAATCATCCTGCCGACGAGGCCTGGTTCCTGTATGCTCACGGGTGACTTTTTTGGCTTCGACGAAGGAATCGTACCCTCCAGGGGCCGTAGGATGCTTACCGTTTGTGGAGCTCCGCGCAGGCAAGTTAAATGTATCCACTAGCGTCTTCGGTTGATGAGAAGCGCTCCCCTCATCCATCTCTGCTCTACGTCCCAGAATTGGTTGTTCTGAGAGCTCTGACACGTTTGACGGTATTGTTGTTTTTTTGAAAACGTAATTCGCGCTCCCATATTGTGATAAGGTGCTTGTGGCCGAGTGGATTCTGTTGAAGATGGACCAACCCAATCCTCACGGTAAGCCGCTCGATCAGCAGGCCGCCATCGACTGGGCGGGCTTGTTGAAGACGCATAGGGAGGTCTAGAGAATTCAGTACCGTCTGGGACTGTTGAGACAGTATAATGGGAAGAGCTTACCTCTCGTCTCACCGCCTTGTAGATGCCTTGGAAAACTACTTATTGGAAAACCTTGACCGTCGCCAAAATGTAGAGCAATCTCGATAATCGCGACTTTTCGAGCAAGGTTCACGTCAACTGGACCTAGGCTGCCCGGTCGTGCCTCAATCATCCCTATTGTTGGAGCTACAGTGAGCGGAAGAATCATAGCATCATCCAGCAAATCTCTTTCTAGGAAAAGTAAGGGTCGCCGCCAAGTCTTGTGTCATTAAAATATTCACCAAGGTGGCGAAGATTATCGTCAGTGAACCGGTATTGGATCGAGCCTGGCCAGTCTCAGCTCGGACAAGGTCTTCTACATCGAGGTCCCAGCACAAACCTTTACATAGAAGTTTTCCGTTTCCCCTCTCAGTTGGTGATTATATTACATCAAAGAAGAAACACGAGGCGATGATCTATCAGGCCTAGCGAACAAGACTCACACCTCGGAGTAGCCTTTTGATCTGCGTTTGGAAATGTTTCATTTCGTCCACATCGTCTAGTCTTGGCAAAGGATAGTCCACCAGCGCATTCAATTGAACATAGCGGAGGTTATCCTTGAGTTTGCTTGGGAGTGAATCCTTGTATTTGTCCCATGTATCTTGAGCATTCGAGTTACTTTGTAACGGATCCAGAATAATACAGTCATCTGATCTCGATTTCCACCACCAAGTATTGGCGCGCCGTAGTGGCCTTCTGGACGAGGCATCGTATCCTGCACCAATCGAAACGATGATATCTGGAAAATAGTGTTCCGTATCTGGCCAGAGCAACTTACGTGCGTCGGGTCAACCGAGATCGCTCGAGAGGCGTATCGCATTTGTTGGTCGAGGATTACTAGGTGGCTTGACACCATGGTTTAGCCCCAGGGCCACTGAATCTATGGCATTCGTAGTCGGTTGGGCCATGTGAATACAGTTCGCGCTTATTGTTAGAACGACGACAGTTCTGTTGGTGGCGCTGCAAACGTTCATACCTGATACCATTGATCGTCACTTCTGAGGCGTCTAAGAGACTGGGCCGTTCTCATGACTCATGCTGAGCAGGTCTACTTTGCTGCAGTCAGCGTAAGGAAGCACCAGGTAAGGTTTGAGTACGGAAGCCTTGCCAATTGGGAGGCGCCTTATTTAAAACCATTTGATGATACGCTGAAGGTCTGGGGTGGAGCTTTCGCCGATGACACCGCTGAGGTCGATTAGATTTTCAACTGGGGACGAAGTAGTAGTCCGTTCTCTGTTAAAATCTTCTAAGCCGCATACTGATTGACCTTCTGCGAAGCCTCACATCCGCCCGCCATGAGGTCGGGATCTCGTCGCAGGAGGTTGAAATGGCGGCGGAAGGCTGGAGTCTACTGTCTAGCACACCTGAACTTTCGAACTGAGACAATAGTAGCCTAGCAGCCCTTCAAAGAACGAAATGGCCGAGCGTAGGGCCGTGAGAGTGCAGTGCAATTCTCTCCGCTGAGCGCTGAGCGATTGGAAATGGCCGTGATAAGATGTGGCTCTCTTGGCGCAGACGTAGCTCCGCCCATTGGAGGTTGATGGCCTCAGGCACTGAGCCTTGCAGTTGTGGAGGGTCATTTAGGTTCCTCATCCACGAGAGGACTATCATCACAAGCCCATCTGCTGCACATATCTACCAATCGTCCATGCAGTAAAGAAATCAATTGGAACCAGCCGAAACACTGCTGGGGTTCGAAGATGGGGCGGCCAAAAGACATGGGTTGGATGTACAAGGGAGCAGTTGGGTGTTGGCATCAGCCACGAGAGCAGATGCGTTCAGGTGCGCCCTCATTGACACGGATATCACAGGTCAGATCAGCGAATTAGCCAGTTTTGAGAGTCTGAACCAGTGTTGATTCCTTCAGTCACATGTGCTATGCATTGCTTCGGGGACCTGTGGGTAACAGCACAAAATCCCACATTTCTTTTCAGCTTCGCAATGATTTTCACAAGACCGAGAAAAGAAACCAGACAAGGAAGTGAATGTCAAAGGGAGAAATTTGATCAAAGCGATGAGGTTGGACAGAAAACACCAACAGCTTACTGCTACTACTAACTACTAGTAGGGCAGATGTGGTCTTGGCGGACGTCTCATATGAACCTTGGCTGTAGTTATGAGGAGAACTTAGCAGAAAGAGGCCTCTGAAAACAATGCCTAAATTACCATCAATGTGTGCTTAGAGATTCGGGCCAACCGTGATTTGGTCTAGTAGCTTACATAGAATTATGCAGCTAAACATCTGAAATTCAATAAAATTATATTTTTTCAGACGTCATTTTCCTATTCTTTAAGATAATAAAACGCCTGCTAAATTACTAAGGGCCAATACCGTGTCATTGTCAGAGCCCTTCTCCCGGTAAGAAGGGCTCTGAAAAAGGACGGTCAGAGGACGACCGGGTGACCATAGTCCGAAAAAACGACCAAAATGACACGATTCCAAGATATCTTCTTAAATGTCTTAGTTATATTTTTTATCCAACTTGATGGTAGTTCAGACGTAGCTTTCAGAGAGCCTCTTCCTGCTTGCACTTCCACCACGCTTTTGACACTGATAGCATTGGCACCGTTCACCCGCCACAAAAATAACACCTACGCTGCACTTTGCATTCCAGCCCCTGTATGGAAAGCGGATATGGTGGCTCTATAGAAGTAGATTGTCTGGTTCAGTCTATGTACCGTCCGTTGAAGGCTGAGGCCGGCTGGCTGCTGTCGTAACAACTTGAATAAATGCTTCGGCCTCTCTCTCTGGCCCATGCTTCATAGATAGATTCACTGCATGCAAGGAGGACCAGCCAGCGCTTTTGGCAACTGAGATGCCGCGCTGAAGTCCTCAAAGGTTAACAAATCTTCTACCCTGTTTTGTCTTCTTCAACCCACTGGTCTATGAAGAGCCTTCTCACCTCACGAACCCTCAGAATTAGCCGCAGTCGCCACTCGGTGTAGCTCATAGCTTGGTACAACCCTGCCGCACAGTCTTCACCCCCCTGCTACTGTAGAAAAGATCCTAAGGCCTCGCTTTCCGCAACCAGTCGTATGGGTAAGCATTTGCCCTCTCTTCCCAATCTGTTACACATTCAGCCATGGTGGGCTGACTGATCCTGTGGCATGTAGAAAACCAAGAGCCTAGACATCTCCTGGGTGGCATGCCTACAGCGGCACCAATATCCGACACCAACGGTGACGAAGACGAAAATGTATGAGTGGAAGCTGCAATGCCTGCAACAGCTGGAATATCTGGTCGGGTTTTAGCTGCAGCGGGCCATGCTATGACTGTGAAGACTCGTCTTGCGACTGTGGCGACTGTGACTTTGGTGAGGCCTCCATCGTCATGTAGGGAGCTGAGGCCAGGGCGACTCAAAGTTCATATCCGGAAAGCATATTTTCATGCCTTGGGCTTGCCTTTCCTCTCACCGCCTGACATTTTTCTCCTCTCCCAAACCATGAGATAACCTTCCCTTGTGAACAATGTCTCCGCCTCCGCCCTTTTGACCACCAAGTCCTGGATCTCCAACCACTCTGGCAGACCTCGACGATTTTCCTCTCCATGAGCCTCTGCCCAAGCGGCAGCCTTGTCTCTAACCTGTACCTTCCAGCTCACGCCCATCTCTCCTTCCCCTCCCACCGCTTTTCTCGCCGCATCTGCCGCATTCGAGTCCTCCGACGAACCCTTCCCATCGGTCGTATCAAGGATGATGTTGGCAACCAATTCATAGCGGATGGGTTCACCGACCGGGTGTAACGCTGGATTGGGTTCAACATACGGACTCATGTCTAGTCCGCGCGGAGATGGAAAGGTCACAATGGTTGGGTTACGCTCTGACACGAATTTGTTGGCGGAGAAGCGCTTGACATGGAACAACAAATATGGCGGCAGGGGATGTAATAAGCGATGCCGGATACGACGATCTTGCTTCTCGGAGGCGTGGAGACCGGAGTACTTCTGCAAGAGAGTAGTGAGAGGTACCTGTGGGATGATGTTTCTGGCTTCAATCGCATCACGGAAGAGTGGTCTTGGCGGAAGGTCGAGGGTTAAGATGAGATATGGTGTCGTTGTGCTGTTGATAGTAGAGGACTCTTCGAAACGAAGACGATCGCCAGTTGTGTCCGATTTTGCGGTAATGGCTTGAGACTCCATGCGAAGTTTTCCCTGGAATGTTCGCTGAATGATGGACGAGAATGGCTTGGTTTTCGATCCACCGAGGGTCAAGTGTAGATTATTGAGAAACCAGGAAAGAAACTCGACTGGGTCAGATTGCTGGGTCAGAGTAAAGCGTTTCGAGGAGCGGAGTGCAATCTCTTGGAGCAGCTCATGGGGCGAGACGTGGTTTCGAAATGCGCGAGGATTCCAGAGCTTCCGGACGAGGGTGCTAAATCGAACAGGCAGCTGAGCAGCAGTCTGCGGGAATTGGTGGAGCAGAAGGTAATTCCGTACTGGGCCAATGTGTGCCAGAGTTTGAACAACCACATTGAGGTAGTCATTGGCCTTGATGTTGTTCATTCCTATGAACCCTGGCCGGTATCTTTTGTTGGCCAGATCTATCGACTCTCGCGCATCTCTGTCCAGCTTCTTGACGTCCGCTTCGGTAAATCTCGGATCCACTACATATTTGATATCTTCCAAGCTCTTATTCTGGACCTCATATCCTTCGGGCAACACATAGACTCTCTTGGTTTCCATATTGATGTAGGCATGATGGCCAACTTCCAGAGCATGGAAATAAGCGTGTGACTTCGGGCCCCTTCCCTGGTAGTATTTTCCACACACCAGACACGCATACACGTTGATGTTTGAGAGTGAAACTGAGCATAGCTTCTCGAAATCGAAGTCGAGGATGGATCGGTTTATGGTGTCAAGGTAGAGATCGCTGTAGCCTTCGGTCGGTACGTCCTGTCGTAAGGGTACAACCGGGGTGCGCTCCTCGTCTTCCTCTAAAGCAAAAACTTCATCCTCAACGATCTCATGTCCTACATTTTCTGGCTTCGAGTGGCCCTCCCCGCTTGTATTTCCGTCTTCTGGTTGCTTGCCATTGACGGCTGGCTTTCCATTCAACACTGGCGTTTCATGAAGGGTATCATCAACTCTCACCTTTTTGTGCGAGGGCGAAGCGGTGTCAGTGGAGACATCCGGAGGTTCTTCCGACTTCCTCTTTGGCATGACGAAGCCTTGTGGATTTCGTACATAATTTATCACAGGCTGGCAGCTTATTTGTACTGGCATATTGCGGATTTACAGAAGCTTGGCAGATGCTAACATACTACTAACTTAGTACTACTTAACAGGAAGAGGCCCTCTTAAAGTAATCATATTTTAGCAGCCCCTTCTCCTGGTAAGTAGCACTCCTAACTTAGTAGTAGTAGTAGTCCACTGCAGAGGTCTGGGATTCTACAAGCAGAGGCAGCTGTGGTTGTCGGTGCTGTATCAATGTAACCGAAGCGCAGCAAGCAGTGGTGCAACATGGACTCAGGAGAGACTTAGTACCAACTTCAGGGAATAGTAATATCTGGACCTGTGTCCATATGGATTATGCGGTAGCCCCCGATCTTGCGACCTGTCCATCATTCTATTTTCCACGATGGGCCACTCTATATAGCCCTGTGTATTCCACCATATGTATGCAGAGTTCAATCAACATCTGCAACATGCCCAGCAATCTTCCCTCCAACGCCTTGCTTGCTTGGTGGCTAGGTAAAACAAAATCCTCCGAACCGTGACGAGTACTATCAGATACCTTGAAGAATGTCTCTCATATTCCTGTATAAGGAAAAGACTTTATGCTATCCGCACTGCTTCTGATACTCCCCTTCGGAGATATGCTGGGGGCATATGGAGACGAGGACTTGGTCTTCCTGCTCGGCGCCCAGTAATCTAGGATCTGACTGAAGAGTGCCCTGCATGCTGGCAGCGAGGTCACAATGTAGATAACGGCATTCCAGAAGCCCTGAAGCGGTAGGACAAAGGCCGAGGTGAAGAGAAGCGGGAAAGAAAAAACATCAGGATGTACGAGGGAGTACACCCGATTGATGGACGATGGAACCCAGGTGATGAGCAAGGAAGCAAAGAACAACAGTGCACATTTGCAATAGCTGAAGGCCGCTTTGTTGGCCTCCATTGCTGCCTTTATCTGTCTCGCATTCTTGTCGGCTCCCAGTCCCATGGAGTTCGTTGATCTTGGGAATGTAGTAGATTGAGGTGAGGTGATGTCTGTGCCAGGTGCAGTACCAATGCTGACAGAATACGGATTGAAGCTCTGAGTGCTTACGATCCGGCCCCTCTCGTTTAACGCGAAGCTGTGAGTGCTACCGTTCTTGCCTGGCAGATCGGCAAGTTCGCTTGTGATCCGGATCTCAGTTGTCTTGACTGAGACGAAGGGACTTATGAAAGGATTCTGAATGACAGGGAATGCTGCATCGCTAGCAGCATTGGCAAAGTTGCGGAGCTGACGGCGTTTAGCGAAAATCTCCTTGCCAGCCCAGAGATAGACGGTGAACGTGATGGCGATGACAACCCAGACGGGGCCATAGAAGGTTGCGACACGGAGGAAGTCCCATTCCGCTGAAACCCAGCACCATAACTAGGGGGAGAAGTCAGCATCCCGGTTGGTTTTGGGAAGAATAAACATACTGTTGCAGATCCGTAGACCTTGCCTTGAGCCGGTGACTGCACGAAGAAATAGGCAAATGCTGGTAGAAACGGGAGGCCGTAACAGAAGATCATGTATTTCCATTCCAAAGCTCGAAGCTGTTCAGCATTGTATTTACGGAAGAAGGTAAGATAGACATTGCACGCCATGGCAAGTGTCCATAGAGCATCAGCGGGCATGAACCTAAAAAGTAGCTATCAGTAGGAGGTACATATCATTTTTCCGAGAGAGCATACATCTGAATCAGGAAAGCCTGGAATTGGCAAAGTGGTTGGTTGACACCAAGATCAATCCCCGACCTTGAGATGAGGGTCCCCACGTTTGCCATGATGTTTCCCCATGACGCATAGAAGACGAGTCGATTGATTGGCTTGTGGAAGGCGTTGTCGTACAGGAAAGTCCCAATGATAAATGCAGTGCCGATGAGCGAAAGTACCGAGCCCAGCCTTTCAGTGACCTCGATCGCATAAATCTGGTTCTCGCTGATACCCATCTCCACTGTTGTGCCTCGGACCAAGCAGGCCTGCAGCGATCACAACCTATATACTGGAATTGTTGTCGCTGAGCGCTTCGTGGTGTCATGCCCCTACGCCAGGTTCCTCCACAGTGTAGCACAGCCGGGGCGAAGGGTGGAATCGACGATACAGGCGGTCCAAAAATAATGTGCCAGCATACAATGGATTTCGATTTGTGCCGCGATGGTTGGGCTGGTTGATGTGTATATTTTCGGACGGCTTGACCAGTTGGGGTTGGGAAGGGGGGGCCTCGCTGCAGTATTTCGACGAAGTGGTGTGCTCTTGTGGCAGCAGTGAATGAGTGCTTATAGTTGGATAATGTAGGGAAGTGGAGTTCATTAACCATGTAGAGAAAGAGCCAACAGCTAGAAGAGCAACATCAGATGAGGTACCGTGGTCGAACAAGCGATCCAATGAACCACAAGGTCAGTACCGATAGCTATGGAAACACGGCAGAAACACGCACTTTGATAGATGCTTTGAACCCCAGTTCTAAGAAAATATGGCATCTGCAGGATGGCTCGTGCGGGCAACGATGGTCTGGTCTCATGATGGATTGGATGGTGGACCAGAGAATCTGATTGGTCATTGACCACACTAAGTGACCCCGTCAAGTTCCCGAGCCGGCAGCTGGGTACAGGGGCTACACGTGTAGTTCCAAATCGAGCAGCAAAGGGGAAGGCCTGATCCTTGACAGTCAGGAAAACAAGACGGCCTAACAGGGGGGGGAGACCTCAAACGGGAATTGGGGGCGGCGTTCGCTTTTACGCCTTCACTGTTCTCTATCACCTGAAGATGCGTGACCTGCGGATGTGCCGGTGTCCAGATCTGTTACAAATACTGGGTCGAAGGAGATTGATCTACTCCGTGTTAGTTGAGGCAACCTCATGCAGCCTCAATTCCAGCCGCAATAGCCTCTCATGTGTATTTTACCCTGGACCGTGCTCAGACGAGAGGCGCTGAGTAGGATGGCCAGAATGACAATTCTAGGCTCGGTGTCCGTCAAACTCATCCAGACTGACAGCGAGACCGCCCTGGGCTCTCTCTGTCAATGATGATTTCGAAGTCAAGCCAGTGATTATTCGTGATTCATGTTGGCAGCTCCCACCACCAACAACGGTCAGCTAATCCGCATGCATCAAGTATCCCATCAGCCGTTCCAAGAATCGAGGGTTACGAAAAATGGGTACTTTTGAGCAACACGATCGTCTCATGCATTAGCATCTTCAATGGTCGCATTCCTTCAAAAACCCCAAGCAAGGCGCAGGCACAGGGCAGAACAAGGGGCCTCTTCTAAAATAGTATGTACTAGTACCAATTTCAACCTTCACTTACTACGTAGTAACCGACCAGAGCTGTGTGAATTGACGGTTGCTACATGTGGGATGCCGCAACCACATGGTCCGGCCGAGCTGCCACAGCTTCACAGGTACCATCCCCGGTCCATCCTGATGCTCGATCAGATTTTTGTCACCTCTGGTGGAGTATCTATTTGTCTGAGAGAAAGCACCAATTCACAGCTTCTCAGACCGCGACTCTACCAACTAGATTGATTAACTAATTGGAGCAGTGCACTTGCAGTTCTCTAAGTTAGTGATCGGAGCAATTATAGCTCCGCTACACACCTTTGAAAAACCATTCCCGTGCAGTGCTGCCGGATCTTGCGTGAAGGTGAACTAGCGGTGCGGCAACATTGTAGTAGCCTTCCTTAGGTCCGATGGGTTGCTGCCACTAATTCGCTCGGGGTCAGTACTCCTTACATGCTACACAGAGATTCGCTTGTCAGTGAACTTTCCCTTATGCAGATTATGAAACCAGTGACGGAGAACGTGGCCGATATGACTAATCAAAAAGTCAAGGCCCAGGTCTTATTGTCTCACTGCAGTGGGTCAGACTAGTCTATGGCTGCCGGCGCTAGTTTGAGGAGCCAGTCAAAAAATTCAGAGGAATTTTCTTGCGAAGACCTTTTTTCAGTGAATGCGGTTAGACCGTCTACTAAGGCTTAGTAGCCGTTTTAGATCGGAGCTAAAGAAGAGTCTGAAATTTGAGACAACAGGTCTTACTTCCCTACTAGCTCAGACGCCCTTGGCTGCGGGGGCGGTGTGCTACAGTACAGAGTACTTGTTGCTTTTGTGTGTGTTGGTTATTAATAATGGCTGAAGTGGTATGCAGGCTACCACCCAGTGGTGCATTCTACCATCTAGATCAGTCGGTGAAGTTAGATGTCGCTTTTGCTTGATTCTGCTTCACAATCATGGGCCTGCAGCCTGTACTACGGTAAACGGGCTGAGACGGGCTGATTATGCCATCTTTTAACATTCCGCCTATCTGAAACTCTCAGGTCTGCAGGGTGTCCCCAGACCCACTATCATGACACTTGACCGATGACGCCTAAGTAGAGTTATGCAGCCTGCTTTGGTAAAGTTGGTACGGGCGTTAGCATGTCAGTGTCATCACACACCCGAGATTCCGCAGTCAGCGCTTGGAAGGAGGCTGCTGTATCAGATTATGTATGCTCACTTATGATGCAGAATGTGGGTAGGTTCATTATTCTGATGGAGTAGGGTCAACGTGTTTTTATGGACAAAGGATAGTACTCTTGCAGGATTGATTACCGTAGTGCACATTGACATCGCTTTTAGGCGAAAATCAGCATCCGCCTTACCCATGACAAAACTGAAGATGTGCTGTTCGAAACGTCTAGTCGCCGCCGAACTCGATGCTAACAGATTGCGACTCGGACTAGTGAAAATGTAGAACGCCAGACACAAATGCTTTCATGCCATAGATCATTGTCAATACCCAGTCTGCGGTGGCACCCCAGGAGCACCGTATCCCCCACTTATCTGCTGCTGCATCTGCTGCTGTTGAGCCACCTGCTGAGCCCGTGCTTGGAGCTGTGGCAGATCCTGGAACCAGGGATGTCGTAGCGCATCCGTTGCACTGATCCTCAGCTCGGGCCTCAGTTGCAACATTGATCGCAGCAGCTCCAGCCCCACCGGATCTACCTGTGGCAGGAAGAGACGCATGTCCTGCGTAGCGTAGACATGAAAGTTCGCTTTGTACTCAGGATAGGCGGAGATGCCAGGCCATGATCGCTCCGAAGGTGTACCCATCAATCGAAAGATCTTCTGTAGCTGGTCGTCGTTGGTGGTTCCAGCGAAGAGTGGTCGGCCGGTGTACATCTCTGCCATGATGCACCCGGCAGACCAGATATCAATGCTGGTATTGTAGGTCCTACTTCCCAACAGCACATCGGGCGCGCGGTACCACAGTGTGACCACCTCATTCGAGAACGTGTTAACAGGTATGCCAAAAGCCCTTGCCAATCCAAAATCACCCAGCTTCAATTGTCCTTTCGAGTTGATGAGCAAATTCTGGGGCTTCAGGTCGCGATGCAGCACTCGATTGTCGTGACAGAAGGCAATACCCCTCAGCAGTTGCTGCATAAACGACTTGATGGTGACCGGATCGAGTTGTCCGTGTTGTCCTCTCGCATCCATATACTTCTTTAAATCCTTGTCCATGTATTCGAAGACTAGCATCAGCTTGTTCTCCGTATGTATGACATCGTGTAGGGCGACTATGTTTTCATGCCTCAATTCTTTCATCAAGGAGATTTCTCGTATGGCGGTCGATGGTGTTCCTTCTTCCGAGTCTAGATGGATTTCTTTGAGTGCGACCAGTTCGCCATTCTGGCGATTTCGGCCTTTGAAGACCTGTATCGTCAGTCATATGATGTTGAAAATCAGTTGTGTAGGTATACCGTAGCATAAGTTCCTTCTCCGAGCTGTCCGGGTCAGCTCTGTCATACACAATATTGGAGCAGGATAGATGAGGTCACAGTACCTTTTCCAGTTGCTGGAACGAGCTAGGATGTCTCTTGTCCATATCTTGGGAAACAGTTCGTACGTGGGTAGGTCCGAGAGCAGCAGGCTTGCTGCGGTGAGCAAAAAGAACGGAGCCTGGAGAGATGAGTTTTTCGGCAGCTTGAAGTTTGGTCTGGAGACAAGAGGCGGGCCGCTGTGAATTTGTAGTCCGATGCGCGACTTCCATGTCATCCCATGCTTAAATTGGCGTTTACGATTCAGCACTCTATGAGGAAATGCTGGCTGCCCAGCGGTAGTAGGGGTACATAAAAAGACTCATAGTAACTTGTTGTATCCTTGCTGCCTGAAGCGCGGTCTTGCACCTGCAACGATAGCGGCGGTTGTGACTAGTTGTTCTGCTATTTACAATAGCCAACCGCCCAGTAGTCAGACAAGCTACCGAACAGGCGCCTACAACTTGGACGCTTCCTTTGTTAAGGCCCAGGGTAAGCACTGTTGAACAATTGTAACAACCGGTACCATTCTCATCATCCCAGGGTTAATTAATCCTTATCTATCAAAGACAGCAACTTTTGAATCAGAATCATAGCCCATTACCAGCATGCTGCCATGTCCTCCACCAATTAGATTTACCAATAATCTTTGAGTCGGGCTTGCGCCCATGTACTAATCTGTGTGTTCGTTTCTTTCCTCGTGAACTGGACGAGGTCCGCCAGGATCGTCCCACACCAAAATTCCATCCAAATCGTCAAATGAGAGAGCAGAGATGCCAGAAATCCCAGTCAATCCGTCAAATTGCCTGCCCGCTAAATCGCTTGTACCATGATTGAAATGATTCGTCAAACACATATTGTCGCTGTCATCATCGTAATATAGGGTTTTATTGTGTCTTGCTGGGGCGATGCCCTCTATCAAGTCGGTTCATCATGCGTGTGCCAGCCACTGCGGCAGTCGTGCTTATTGGCTCACTCAAAGTCCGTCTTCTCGCCTCGATCGGCTTTTGAGCGTATGCAATGAGCAACTTGAAGCTTGAGCCTCTTGCTTTGCATTCGTGCAACATTCTTTTGTCGCACCAGATACTTTTCTTCAGATCCCCACCCGGCAGCACAGCCCATTCGTAGCTGCGGGTGTACCACCATCTTCCGACCTTCGCCACCATTTTTGTGATCTTCTCGTCGCTTGTGGCAGAATGGTCAGAAACAAGCTCAGTCAGGGAAAAGTTGCCGCCTCCATGCCGCGAACGGTCGGATCCGTTATTTCTGTGATTTCGCCTGTCAACTGTGCTGCTGCTTTGATCTGCGTCTTTTCCTTTCTGAGAGTATGACTCCCGACTCGATCGCGAGGACCGTGAACCTGAGGATGTGGCAACTTTGCCAGCGACCGATACGCCGACCATGCAGCGATTGAGATTTTCGAAACCTCCTTGACCGAGCATATTCTGGATGTTGTCGCTTACCGGCTTCAAACTCACGTTAGGGTCTGCGCCCAACATCCTCGCCTTCAGATTGCGGATTGCATGCCTTGTAACAGTTCCCATGTTGACAATATCAAGGTCTACAAGGCTGAGCTCTAGATGGCCCCCAGGAATTAATACTCTCTTACACTCAGAAAAGGCGAGCTTGAGGACACTATCTGACATCGCAGCAGGAAATCGAAAAACAACTGCGGCAAAGTATGACTGAGGGAAGGGGAAACGCTCTGCCAGGTTAGGAAGCTCAGCCCTTTTGTAGTTTGGCGGCGCTTGCCAAGGATCTCTGGGAAGCTCACTTTGGCTCCCTCGAGTAGAGACATCTGTCTCTTTCAGATCATAGACAACCGAGTCGGGGTATGTCACCGCACAGTAAAACGACCAGTCGTCGTTTCCGAGTCCGTCGATAACGAGGATTTGGTGTCCCGCACTAGCTTTGACCAGGTTATGGGCAGGGGAGAACAGCACGCGGCCGAAGGACAACCACCGCGATGTCATCAGCGCAGCAAAGCGTAGATCCGATTGTCCAACAGGGCCCTCGTGTTCTCTCTCTGCAATATCCAACAATGCCTTGCTATGATGCTGAGAAACTCCAGACATACTTGAAATTGGCGGATGGGGCGGATCTGAAAGAGGCGAAAGGAGTTCCGGATGAATGCTATCATTTCCCTCCAACTGCCGCTCGTACACGTTGCTACTTATGCCATGGTGTAAATAACTCGAGCTATGATCGTTTGTTGCAAGTGGGGTTGATGGTGTTGTGGAGGACTGTGACCGAAGCGCAGCAACAATTCTTGATCGTCGCAGACGGTAGCCACCATCCTTTCCCCCAAATGGAGACAATTGCGGCATGTAAACTGAGTGCGGCTCAGCAGGGTATGCAGTACTCCCAGCCTTGTGTAGCCTTTCCAAACGCAGGTATGATTCAGGACGCACTGATGCCCCTACATGGTGCGAGGAGTGACCAAATGGTTGACTCGACGATGGCCCCAATGGCGCTTGAGCTAGGTCAGAACTCGTCGGAGACAGAACGTGATCCAAAAGGTCGTCATACTCATCCCATATCTCATCCTCTTCTGTGTGATTACGGTGCTCGGCACTTTCTGAAAGATTGGACATGGAAAAGATCGTGTCAGAGCTGCCAGAGGCTAGAGCGCCAGACTCCACCTTGCCAGGGATGAGAAGGAACTCAGGACGTGATACAAAATCCCCCAACGGACGCGTGATAGGTGGTCCTACAGGCGCACTGGCTGCTTGACCACTTTCCGGGCTATGAAAAGGTCGGCTTGGCAGTACATCTGTTTGGATGCCGAGTATGGGTCGTTTGGTTTCTGCAATGGGTGTCGTATCGCTGTCGGAACCTTTCTGAATTCCGACAAAGTTGTCATGCTGGAAAGGACGGGAAAAGGAGGTGGCAGCAGGCTTGTGTTGGCGATCTCGTCTTGAAATCACTCTTGGAATACGTCCAACTTGTGGCAAGCGTAGCCGCTTGTTATCCGTAAATTGTGATGAGTTCGAGATAGGAAGCTCAACTGGCTGAGGTCTACATTCTGCTTCACCACGCAAAGAGCTCAAACGAGCGTTGTGAGGATTTTCTTGCTCCAGAGTAGGCATTGAAGGCAGAAGCACGGACTGGCCATATTGCTGCCGAAGACCTAGGCCTTGTGGCTGAGAACTTCGTTCTGCGTCAGTAGATGGTGATTCATGTATCTGCTGGAAGAGGTCTTGCAGATTATCCCCGCCCTCGTTCTCGTTTTCCGAGTCCATAAGGGCATAATACGGTATCGGCTTGTCGGCTGATGTTGCTGCAATTGCAACCGACATACCCATACTCTCAGGATCAATCTTTTCAACACCTCTGGCCAGTTTTTCAGCGCTGTCCTTTCTTCGAAATAAATTCCATTTGAACATCCTGCCTGTTTTGCTGGCCTTTTGGAGATCTCGTAGATTAGGGCGCTCGATAGATCGACCAAGTGAAGCTTTCGGGGCGTCGTCTTGAACCAGAGATGACTGGCTTGTACTATAGCCGTCCAACGACGGTGGTGCATGGGCAGGATAACTTTGGCTTGAAGTACTCATTGAGAACGTCCTTGGCCAAGCATCCATCGCGATTGAGGAAGGAGCGTCGGTAGCTACCGACCCTACAGACATCGAACGAGAGTCGGTTGCAACCGAGCCAAGCGGCTCGTCCGTAAGTTGCACTGCAGAGTCAAAGCTCAACCCACTGCCAAAGGGGGTTCCGTCGAATGGAGGCCAGATAGTTGGAGCATTGCTGTCTGGTCGAGCTTCATGGCGTCCTCCACCAGGGATGACGACAGGCTGCAGCCTTTGGGCAATAAATTCATCGACATCAGATCCGCCTGCACTGCCTCTACTGTTCTTTCGACCCAGAGATGGTCGGGAGGCTGTGCTTGTCGACTGATCTCTGCTGTTGATGCCGCTTCCCACAGAACTCTTTCTACCCCTTCGTGCATATCTGCCATAACCCTCATGACCGGTGCCCGCAGCTGGACCTTTCCTCACATCTCGGCTCTCCTGGAAACTTGTCCCGTCGCGATCCACTTTAGCCCGCCGACCAAACATGCCCAGCCGGGATGAAAGTTTGTCCATGGTCGATCGCCCAGGTTCATGGCCCTTTTGATTGCTGCTAGCTTTGTTGGAAAATGTATGTTTAGTCGGGATTGTAGTTCGCACCACCACAGGCAGCTTGCTTGGCTTAGAAGCTAAGTCACCCTGTTCCTGAGACACTTGACGGTGTAGGGGTTGTACAGCAGATGCTGCTTCTTTGTAAGACTCGGGCTTTATACCTTGACCCAGAGGCTTGCCGCGAATGGAATTGCCCACATTATCCATATCGATAGAGTCGCGTCGTCTGTAGGCTCCCAGGCTTTGTCGCGATAGATTGCTCTGTACTATTGGTGACAATCTCGTGTCCAAATCAGCTGTTCCTTTCCGACTTGGTCGGCTAGGTAGCGCCTTCGACCCTAAACCCTGCGCAGAGGTTACGGCGTAGGGTATCGATTCATCCAATAATTCAACAATGCCTGTAGCTCTTCCTACATCCTCTGATCCACGTTCTTCTGAGTTCTGGCTTGATACGTGTTCTGCTGGTTGAGCAAGTACCGATTGCACAGGTGACTTTGGATATTGTTGCAGCAGAAAATGCTTTTTGCTGTCTTTTTTAGATGCATACTCTTCTGGTGATGGGCCAAAAGTCTTTTCTGTAGCTGGTGGTGTCTTGAGCATGAATCTTGACTTCCCTGACGTGGTAGATGGAGAGGGTACTGTCTTTCGAAGTCTATGGGGAGTCTTGACTATGGAGGGCTGAATGATCCCTGGCGAAGAAGAAGAAATAGATGTCGGCGTGGTGTCTCTGCTGTCGCCCCACATACCTGTGGAGCTGGAATACTGGGTGGAAGGGCTGCCAATGGAGGACGCGTGAGGCGTTGTGGAAGCGGCACGGTTCAAAGCAGTAGATCCAGCTAAGGCTTTTAATTCGGGAATCAGAGTTGGTGGAAGCTCTCCTGAATGTCTCTTTGGTAGTATCGTGGGTTGAAATGGTTGTGGGCCAAGACGTTGAACAGCATCCGGGCTGGGTTGGCGGAGGTCCCCAGGGAGAGATTTCGAACTTCGCTTTGCCATTGCATCATCTTTCGTAGCTATGCGGCGATTCGAATGGGTTTCGGGTCTAGGCAAGCTTGATACGTATTGTTGGACCGAAGGCGCCTTTCTTCGCAAGACATTCCGGCTACTATCTGAGCCAGCGTCGTTTCCACCTGAAGAACCATGCGGAACGGGTAAGCGAGACCTGCTCGAGGATGCTGTGACTGGTGGTGGCGGTGACGGCGTTAAAGACGCCAAACTATCTAGGCGGGCTATATAGGGACTGCTAGTGGTGCGCGGTAATACATAGGCTTCCTCTCCGGTGTTTCCTTTGTTGATACTATGTCGGGACAATTTGTTGGCCGAAGTCTTGGTAGCAGATACTGATGAGGATGCAATCCGATCACCCTGAGAATTTGCTAACAAACTCCTCCCTGCAGCTGGGTATTTGGTTGATCGTGAAACCTTTTTACTGCTTCTCGAAGCGATAGGCACTTCTAGCAGATGTTGCTCCTGCTGTATATCGTGAGACGAGTATATGGACATCGGCTGTGCTGCATCTTCCGCGTAGTGGGACTTGTGTAACGACATGGTTGATTCGCCACGCCCCAGATCCTCCAACCCTTTAAATAAGAGCCTTCCAGAAACGAGTTTCGACCAGGAATCCCAAACATCCCGTCGTTAGCATCGGCTGCGGAATATTCACTCTTTTGGGCTGTTGTATGTAGGCTTTTCTCGAGACGTGGTCGCTAATAATGCGTAGTTCAGCTTGGGAGGATGGCTTCAGTGTAGTAAGTGGTACAGGATTCTTGTGAACGTGGCAAAAAGACGTAGGAGAAAACCCGACTTTTCGTGGGGCGAACACTCGCTTCGTTGACTGACTCTTTCTGACTCAAAACCCTCCCGAATGTCTGTTTTCAATATTTGGCCGTAGACTCGGGTAATTCTTGACCATAAAGCATTTGGAGCACAGCCACTTGATACCGGAAGCGCCGCAATGTGTCCAGACTCAGACTGTTTCATGCACTAATGTATGCTGCGTCTAGCAGAAACAAAATACTTCAGCAGCTTGAGAGAGCACCCAGGTGCACGCAGAACGTGTGTATGGCAGTCGTGAGAAGTTAAGGAAAGAAAGCATAAGGAAGTGGATGAGGGTCTTCTTGAAGGAAGGTCCTCGGGTCTCTCAACGGGAATAAGGATTAGGCTTGTGAATCCCAGGGTCAGGGAGCGGTAAGTTAGTGTGGAGGCTAGCTTGATGTATCTAAGGTAGCCACGTCCCAACCGAGGGCCTGGGAGTGATCGGTCTCTACGTAGCGGAGAGGTACTTTCGAGGTCAGCTGCGGCCAACATGGACGTCTGGTGTTTACCAGTTGGCTTTCGCTGTAGTTAGAACAGACTAGCCATGAGGAGCGCTATCTGAGCTGAGTACGAAATGGCGGCAAATCCAGAGACAGCCTATGAACGTCCAAAAGGAAATCGTGCTCTATGACAGTGCATGAGCGAAAGGTCCGGATTCTGCCTGCACTATCAATCGATCTTCTCCAATACTGAGCCGTGGTACATGTGGAGTGACGCTCAAGATGCCGTCCAGGGGCGGATTTAGAGGGCCAAAGCTGGAATAAGCGCGGTGATTCGGTATGGATAGTAAACACTAGCATAATTTTGCAGATGGCAACACCACGCCGGATCCGTGGCTTCGATCCAGTGATATGACGATGCTGGTTGACATGCTGGCGATTCGTACATGCAGCGGCTCCAACAGTGGAACCGCTGCACGTTGGCGAAAAGAGCTTGACTGGTTAGCGTTGGCGGTCAGCATTAAGGCCCGAAGGCCCTGTGGAGGCATGACAGATCTCCAAGATTTACCCGTATTACACGGTGGTCCGGACAATAATTTAAGCCAGACAGAAGCACGCAGTAAGCAACAACGTCACTGTCACTCAACTCCATTACCACAGCTCTGCCAGAGTTTGGTAAGCTTGATGGCCCAATGCTGGTTGAACGGATCCTACAGCTGCTTGGAAGTTGGATGGTTCCAGGCTGAGCTTCAGGTGGAAGCACTAGCGGACTAGCCCATGGTACCCCGTATTTGTCCATTTAAGGCGTCTAGTGCTGCTGCATCATTTGCTATTATTTGTAGCTTGGACGGCTTCCACGCAGCATTCTTTGCCTTAGCTTCTACATGGCACCATTTCAGCCCCCCATTGTTGAACGCGTGATATTGTCGTCGTCCTGTCCTGTCACTGCATTCCCGATACACAGATTGCTACTTTGTCTTCTCAGCAGGTGGGCCTGTGATACGTGATAAGTGAAGGGGACTAGCCAACGCCATAGTTCGTTCACAGCACTGCTTGAGGGTTATTTATCTCTAAGTTTCGCCTTGAAGAAGTTGTCCAGTAGAGAGCCCTGAATTGGCATCTTAGATGAAAATGTGGACAACATTAATTTATCGCAGTTAGTATCTCTTGGTACAGATACTGAGTCCCATGAACCCAAGTACCGTTATTTCAAGAGTTGCTTTGTCAAGAAATCATGCCCACCTTCTCAAGCGTCATTAAATCTCCGAGCCCGCTGATGCGTAGATCAAAAAAGTCCTCCGCGATATCAACGGTTGCTAGGGTTGACGGAAGTGGGGTGGCAAGCTATGGACGGAATACATGGTATGAAGTTGACCTTGACGCCAAATGCGCCATGGTTGATCCCATTCAACAAATAAAACTCCATTCTTCAATAGTTCGTCTTCAAAGGTCGAGTGTTTGAGACTTAACCTTCACAACGTCAATCCTGGTATGCCAACCTAGACTTTTTGGTCCATTTGTCTTTTGCGTCCTGCACTCCAGCAATCGAGATAACTCCCTCCATTAGCTCCGGCATGACAGGAGCCAGCGTTCCCCATTCCTCTTTTCCATAATCCAAGTTCTGCCGCAGGGTGCTGTAAGCAATTGTATCTGCGATAAACCTTCGAAGCGCACACCCAGGCAGAGTATTGTCAAAAACCCAAAGGACTTGTTCGGCTGTAAATTGGCACTGGCTGAAGTTGTGGCTGAATATCTTGTCGAAGGCATGAGCCCGAAAGTGGGAAGCTCCCAGCTTGTCACCAAGGACATAAGCTCGGAGGAGCAGTCTCATTGAGCTAGCCTGGAAGGTTTTCGAATAGAGATATTGAACAAAGAGTTGGAAGACCCGATTTTCATCTTCAGCAAGAGTGATCTTCCGCTCAATGCCTTCTCTGAATCTGCTGTTGATGGCGGCCTTGAAGAACGCGGAGCCTGCAGTGAGAATTTTCTCATGCAGATACCATACTGCTGCCTCTTCACCCACCACGATTTCAACCATGGATGTGGATCCTTGGAGCCTAGTAGCGTTAAAAGAATTCCAATGGAGAACCATCGTGCATACATTACCAAAGGATTTCTGAAGGCCAACGAAGCCGAGTCATCTGTTGGAATCATCATACCACTGTAGAGCAAGTCAGCTACCACTCCTCTCATGCACTAAATACCTTACCTCTCAATATACCCTTCAAGCTTCCATTCCTCATAGCTTTTCTCCGTGCACCTTGGAAAGTCGCGATTGTTCCGCGTAGGATCAGGGTTACGAAACAACACGATGTCTCCATGTGTGCGGGTTTCAAAGGGTCTCCATTCCCGGGCAGGCTCTCCGTATCTTCTGTCTTCTCGTGCACTACTGTTTACATCTTATGTTAGTCTCCTGATGTGCTCGAACAAACATGTGTCCCTCAGTCTTCCATTTGGACCATCTTCAACAAACGATTGCCGTTCTCGGGGAACCTTCCATAGCCGTCAAGCTTCCAGCTGCCACCACGACCTTTGATAGAAACCCAGATGATGCCATCAGAAAAGATAAACTGTCTGGCGCCAGAGAAGAACCTGGACAGTGCGGCACCAATGCTCTTTGCAACCCTTAGTATGAAGCTCTGATCAGGGTTTCTTAAGCTGGGCGCAGCCTGAAATTGTTTCCCCATTGGTATGACCACCTTTCGTTGAAGAGTAACGTCTGAGGCAAGCACGGTCATTCTCTGTGGTTTGATGAAAGGAAGAGGAATATTGCGTCGGACGTTCAAAACCAGCCGTGCTTTATCATTTCCTGGCAGGATCTGAATTGAAGAAATCCGCCTAGCTGATCGACCAATGGCCCAGCCAGCAAATCCGATCAAGAGGACTGCTGAAACGCGGAAAACAGCCGGAACAAACCATGGCAATTCCTTGTTTGCGTCATATACATCCTCGTGAAGTAAGAGCAAGGCGCCACCAAGGCAGATTATACCTCCCATCCAACCTGCGTACATATAGCCAGCATGAGATTCAGCCTGGAATAGTGTTGCCTTGCCATCCCGGGCTAGGTTATTGGCTAAGAGACTGAGGCGGCTATCTCGAACCTCTGAGGCACTTGGAGCAACGCTGGGTGAAACCGCGCCAGACATTGGCTTTGGGACTGACAACACTTTTCTGGGAGAACCGGTAGCTGTAGCTCTGGAGGGAAAAGTGGTGAAGAGCTTTTGACACCCTCGAACGCGCATACGGAAGGCTGATCGATAGAAGCAGATGGGGCCGGGGAGAATGGACATTAGATGTGGTTTGGTGGCCTGTAAAGGCATTCTGACACGTACCTGTCGTTCATAGAGGTCGTCAGTGAGTTACCGAACAGCGACATGTTGTGGTGTTGCGAGGTCACAGGAATCTTAGGTAAAACTTACAGAGTGGACGGGGCGCTTTTCTGCAGGGTTATCTCTTCAGTCTTCACGTTATGGATATGGATGCCTAGCAGATAATTTGAAGCTACAGTCACTGCGAGGCCTGCTTTTACAGCGAACACTACAAGCTAGTACTCAATAAGCTAGCGCCACTTCTATCGGACATGATACGGTACGAGCGTTAACTAACTTAGGTTATCCTCAACAGGCCTCCAAACGCAGCATTATCAACCAACCAGTATCAAGGGCCTTGAGATGGCCTGCATCAAAACGATCGAAACGATGTGCTTCAAAAATGCCATTGAGATACAAAATTCTATACTTAATGGTGGTGGTCAGGGAATTAGAAGTTCTGAATCCTTTCTCAGAAGTACATAATTTAATTAAAGTTTCGGGGTATCTCCGGGTAGAGATGTTGCGTTTAGAGCCCGTTGCATTTGAGGATAACATACGGATTACGTTGGGCAGTAGCTTGCTTCGGAGTATGTCGGGGTCAAGCACCTGCGATCCTCTACACCTCGGACATGTCAGCATCTACTTCCGTTCAGCGCCCATGTTCTCAACCAGGTTAAAGAGTTCTAGATGATTTCTTGAAGCTTTTGTTCGGGTCTAAGGGTCTCAATCCGACGTTTGACAGCGCCCGGCAACTTTCTGACCTGGAGGCTCTACTGGTCAACGATGGCCGCGCGAATACCATCCCGGCTTCCAGGCCGCCATCTCTGCCAATTTGCATCAAGAAGAAGCTTTGCGACAACCCGGTATATGCTCGATGCGCAAAATTTTACAATGCCGGCCATGTCTCCGACCATGACGGAAGGGAACATCTCCAGCTGGAAAGTGAAGGAGGGGGACTCATTCTCCACCGGAGACGTTCTGCTCGAGATTGAAACAGACAAAGCAACAATGGATGTTGAAGCCCAAGATGATGGTATCATGGCAAAGATCGTTCAAGCCGATGGCACGAAAGGCGTGCAGGTTGGGTCAAGGATTGCAGTTCTTGCTGAGCCCGGCGACGACATAAGCTCTTTAGAAATGCCGTCAGATGACTCAAAACCTGCTCCCAAGCACGAGGCGAAGAAGCAGGAGTCGAAGGCCGAGTCTCCACAATCTGCACAGTCTGCAGAGCCTACGCCATCTAAAAACTCCGAGCCGCCCAAATCCGCTTCATCCTCCTCCAAGCCTTCGTCTGGAGCAGGTCAAAATACTAAGTATCCTCTATACCCAGCCGTCACTGCCCTTATCCATGCAAATCAGATCCCTGAATCCGAGATTCCTAGAATACCGGCCAGTGGACCCAATGGGCGCCTCCTCAAAGGCGATGTCCTCTCCTACCTCGGACGCATTCAAGCTGACTACTCCTCCACTCAATCCAAACGCATCCAACACCTCGCCCACATGGACCTCAGCAACATCAAACTCGCACCTCCAGCCGCGAAGAAATCCGAATCCAAACCGGAACCAGCGGCCGCGCCATCTCTGCCCGAAATCCCAGCAGAAACATCAATCTCCCTTCCAATCTCATTGACCGAAGTCCTAAAAGTCCAAAGACGAATTCAAGAAACGCTCGGCGTCTCCATGCCCCTATCAACCTTCCTCGCTCGTGCAGTCGACGTGGCAAACGACGACCTCCCGAAACCAAAGGGCGCTAAACCATCCTCAACGGACCTCTTCAACGCCGTTCTAGGATTAAACGCTGTCCCGAAGACGTCAAGGGGAGGCTACATCCCACAGATCACCGCGCTGCCTAGCCCGAGCGCGCCTTTCACAAGTGGGCCAGCCTCAAAAAGATCGAAGAGGAAAGGCGAGAAATCGTCGGATATAATCGATATCCTGACAGGGAAGACATCGGGCCAGTCTAGCCGGAAACCCGGGTCCAAGGCGGATATGGGTATCACAGCCAGCGCAGCAAGCGGCGCGATGAATGTCTTTAGTGTCACGGTGCCAACAGGGGAGGAGAAGCGGGCGAGGACGTTCTTGGAGAGGGTGAAAACCGTGCTGCAGGTCGAGCCGGGACGGTTGGTGCTGTGACCTAGCTGACTCGTAGTAATCGAGGCTCCATCGACGGCACACCGTTCCTCTGGAGTTTTGAAACCGAGCAACGTGAAGACGAAAGAAATCATATACGCTCCCACTTTTCCCGAGAGAGCCGGAAGTGCTCCCCAGCCTATCAGGGCTGGTTCGTAGACCGTAGTAGTGATTTATGCATCGTACTGGCCTCCAGTTTGACCGCGCCACGGCGGCGGCAATGTGTGCCCGACCTACCTGCTTACCAACCACTGACTACGCTGGTAGCCCGCGCCATGCCAGCTCGGGTTGTAGAATAAGGTACTGCTACTTCCAGATTTGACGGGACTGGCATGCCCGCAAACAATATGGAGTACACATAGAATCAGTCACTAAGCTTCCGCCGCATCTACGTGTAGTGAAACAGGATGAAGCAGGACAGAACCATACCAAAGCGTACGTCAATGGTGTATCTGATTGACTACCCCGTTAGACCGACCGACCGACCGACCGACCGACCGATCTCATGAAGGACTTACTACCCAGCAAGTCTGCGTCACATTCCTCGCGAACTACTCCGTACTCGGGAGCATATCCGGTCGGAACTCAACTTTTCCTCGGGGAAGATCAAATGTGCCGGACCCGGATCGACTCCCTGGTTGACTCCTGTGAGCGCCTTGCAAAAAACAGGTACATCTTGATATGCATGCCAGAAAAGAGGAAAAGGAAGCAGAAAATTGCTGAAGAGAGGTTCAGGATCGGGTGGGATGTGATGTGATAAGAGCCATCTTCGACGTTCATATAGTATCAAAATCAAAGATCCTCCACCGCCGATGTGCTGCCTTCGGCGCTCTGCATCGGTAACAGGAGCCGATGGAGGAGGAGTGTGAAAGTTCACAAACAGAAAATGGTGCCAAGTAGTAGCTCCTGGCTCATTCGACAGCCGCACCGTTGCACCTCGCCTTCGTCTTCATCACTCATCAGACATGATCCTTCTGCACCATCATCTAATGCTGCCCCAATCGCCCAACCTCCCACTCAACCCCATCCCACCCTCACCATCACTCCCAGGTCCAGCACCAGTAGTCTTATTCTTCTTGCCAAAGACCTTCCAGAACCTCAATGTCTCATCCCCGGCACCCGTCACCACCGTCGTCCCATCAGGACTGGCGCTCAGGTAAAGGACTCGATATGTATGGCCCGTTAGACTCACCACCTGCTCCATCTTCGGGTATTTCCACACGACAATCTGATTCTGGCTGTAGCCATGCGTGCTGACGATCTCATCCGAGTTTTTGCTCCATGCCAGATTACAAACTTGGGAACCGGTATCAATTTCCTTGACCATGGCCCCGGTGGACGTATTCCAGAATTTGATGGAGCGGTCGGCGGTTCCGCCTCCAGAGGCGAGTAGATGATGTTGATGTGGGGACCAGGCAATAGCTTTGACGGCTGCCACGTGGCTGGTGAAGCGGTGGAGGGGGTTTTGCGACAACCTATCCCAAACCAAAAGTTTGTTGTCGTTTCCGCCGGAGGCGAGCTGACCATCGTCGCCGTTCCAGCGAAGACCGCAGACTTCCTGTCTATGACCGGCGAGGCGGCGGCAGTGTTGGTCTGGGGAGCGGACGTCGCGGTGATAGATGAGCCGGTCACGGGAGCCGGAGGAGAGGATGTGTTCGTTCCAGGCTAAGGCGCCAACACGGGCGGTGTGGCCGGTCATGGTGCGGAGGCGGCGGGATTTTTCGGCGTCATAGATCTGCACAAAGCCTTTATGGGTGCCAACGGCAAGGTGGGAGCCCCGCTGGATCCAGGAAACGGAGGTGACTTGGTCATTGTCAGGCAGTTCGCAGAGCTTGTCCACACGGCCAGTAGTGGAATTCCACATATACACACATGAGCCTAGACCGACACCGAGAATGTTGCTGCTGCCCCAATCTACGAGGTTGAGGTAGAAGTCGTCTGCCAGCTCAGGTGCATCCAGTACTTTATATGGGACTTTCGAGATGGGACGGGGCTGCTTTCGTGGTTGTTGAAGAATTGCTTGCGAGACGAAGTTGATTGGTGAGACTGAGTAGAGGTCGGAATTTGCATTAAGGTTGATCGGGCCGGTGTGTCTGGAATGGGGGGTTCGTGATGGGGTAGGATGACCTGAGCCGATTCTTTTGTGAGGTGACATGTACGAGAAGAGGTTTTTGTGGTGCGGGGTTGTCGGTGTTATCGAGGCAGGCAGCGGGAGAGTAGATGATGAAGGAACACCGGGCGGTGTTGTGTTTCTTGAGGGGTCGTGTATCGACGTCGAAAAGTCATAGTGTGCTTGGGGTACCGAGTCGCCCATCAACTCATTTCTGAGAACTCGGGAGTACGTCCTATTAGCCTCTTCTGTTCGCTGAAAGTGTAGCTCTCCATGCGGTGCTCGCTTTTTCGATCTAGAAGGTGAGGTTGGTGATCCATCATCATGCATCAAGCTATAGCTCGCCTGCAGATCCTGCCCATCTCGATTTGGTATGAAGCGATCTCCATAGATGCGTTGGCGCTTTCTGCTCGGACTTCTTCCAGGAGTTCGGTCTGTCCGTCTTCCAGCACTGTCATGGTCTTTCAATCTTCTGGTTAATTGATCTGCGTTAAGTGTTTCTGATCCCGCACGCGGTACTTTTGGTCTGCCCTCTGCGTTGCCTAGGATCGAGCTTCTTCCGGCGGTTGTTGGAGGAGTTTTCGAGCGTGGAGGAGTATCAAATGTCGGGGTTTGAGGCTTGTCTGAGTTCATGTTCATCGCACTTGATCTTTCGAATTGCGCATCTCCCTCCATGGCGCCCGAAGTGATCAGGCCTGGAGGCGGATAAGAATTGTTGATCAAGCAGACATGGAAGGTGAACGAGTTCTAAGTCTTGCCGAGGGAGGCCAATCAAGGGCTGCGATGGTGAGGTCAATGGAATCGCTTCCCAAGTGGTGGCTATTGAAGGTATTGTGAAGCTTTGCTGACTATTGTTGCGAACAGGGTCTTTGCTGTGATCGTAGACGCCGTTTACCGCTATAGACGACTTCAAGGGGGGTTGCTGGGAGTATGGCAAAGTGGTGTTGTTGTTTGAGTGGTGGATGGATGAAGTTGACGTGTGCGGTGAATGGTGAACGGTGAATGTCTGCGGAGTTTGGGTGAAGAGTTAGGCGGGTTTGACTTAGGTAAGCCCTGCCCCCAGCCAATTCAATTCCGTGAAAGGGTAACTAACCCATTTAGGTCACATAATAAGTTCAGCTTCACACAGTTGAACAACAAGCAGACACCTTGCTTCACAAGCAATCATCAATGAATACTCTTTGAGTACCCAGTGATTCTTGTTGGTCTCTATGAGTCTCTACAAATTTATCAGTTTTCCTGATATGAAAACACAAACTATGCAGATGTGTGTGGTAAGGACAGCAAATAAGTGATACCCAGCATATCAAGCTGGACCCTTATCGCGCTGCAAGCCCTCACAAAACATCGCGGTTTTTGTTGACTTTGCTGAGGGCAGTTCAGACCTCTTACTAAGCTACTTTCGGAGCAATTGTTTTGGGTTCTGGAGTCCAGGCCAGTGTTTGAGGCTCCAGACGCGAGGAGTGGATTGATAGGATGTGGATCGGTCTTACGGCCATTACAAGGTACATTAGCCACTCGGTTGCCGCCCAAACCTTAAACCGGAAGGAAGCTTGCAGCTTGGAGCTTGGGCCACTTTCTCTTTCAGTGCAACACGAGCATTCCAGACAATCTCTTGACCTTGCAGTGCTCATATGCATGCTTTAGTTCTTCTAGCTCCTCACATCTCCATATCCGTAGCGCCATGAGGCAGAGACGCACTGAAGAACGGAGTGCCAAGCCACGGAGATCAGCAGCCCTCTCATTCGATTGGCTTCCTAACAGCACAGAGATACTAGTACCTGAGCAATGGCTGCTGACTCCATATCTCGGTCCCGTTGCAGGGCGTACTACCTAACATCTTCCGCTGCGTGGGTGGTGCATTAACACATTCAAAAGATGGCTAGATATGTATACCTGTTGTTTCATTACGCCCCAAGGAGATATCTTTTTCCTCTAACCTGCACTACACCAACTCTGCCCTCTCCCGAGTTTAGACAGATTATGACACGAAGCAGTCATAGAAATAGTGCTATTGTAGGCTGATCTACCGTCAGCCACTTCCGTGGCAGCAGTTCACAGTAACAGCAGAGCAGAGTCAATAACTACTCATATTGAGCTTTTGCACGAAGGGCTTCTCTTTTCTTTCGCGCCTGCTTTGATGGATGGGAGAGGGGCTTGGTCTTGCTTGGACCAGAGCCAGGCTCAATCAAGTCCGTACCAAAAGAATGGCAAATAAATAAGAGACTGTGATTGTGACTCTTATTCGGAGGCCAAAGCCAGTAAAGGCCAAAAAAGACCAAAGCGCGTTCGAACTCTCGCACCAAAGTTGCAAAAAGTTTACAGATGATGTCCAAGCCTGTCTCCTTTCCAAGATCCATAATTCAGCCTCGGGACTCTCAGAACAATTTAAACTGATTACCTACTACAGTTGAATGCTAGAGATCGGAAGGACTAACAGGACACATCTGCTATGAAAACTCCCAAGGTAGTGAGACCCAGGTGGTTTTCAATCTAGCCTAGATGGAACAACGGTATTATTCCAAACCGACCAAATGCCCGAAGGTGAATATTACTGTCAGTCACTTAAATATATTGTGTTTTTAGATATTCTTATCGTACTCTGACCTGATCCAGAATCTTGGCGATATCCCTTACACTTTGTCATCAGATTCATTACCCAGATTATCAGAACATCACAATTGAAAGGATATCTGACTCGTTGATGCGGCCATGCGCCCCGAATATCCTGAACTCCACGACTAGATACACACACCATCAAACATAGCCCTAAGCCCCACGGTTAAAGGTACGCTTCGTCATCGCCGTAATGCACCTCTTACAATCCCAATCTCCACACCCCATCTTACAGATACAATTGGAAATTTTACACTGCCGTCCGATTGGCAGCCAATGCCCTTGGCTGCGCAAACTACACGACTCGCGTTCCCTACAAACAGGGCACACGCAGCCCAACCGCATACAGGGTCGGTCGAAACCGGTCTTGAGACTCCCCGAGTTGTCGTAGAGGTCTGGCTGACAGTCTATGCAGCGGCATCCGTTTACGTGGCGGACACGCTCCCGGAGTTGTTGGCCGGCTTTCGAGGATTCGGTGTTCCAGCCCGGTGGAGCAGGTATGGGCGGGCTGAGCCGACGGCCCGGCTGACATGGAGGGGTGGCTTGCCGACTTTCTTGCTGCTGTTGCTGCTGGCGTGACCGAGAAGGCCCGGTGGAAGATGGTGTGGTGGAGTTGTCCCTGCTTACGCGACCGCCCATTGTTGATGGTTGGTTTCGATTGCAGCTAAGGGTTCCAAAAAGGGAAGAATCGGATCTTCAGTAAGTTGTCCTTTTATTGGCGGATTTATATGTGCTGTTTACCAAGGAAAGATAAAGTTGTATAGAAACGAAGATTGGGTGTTCGGGGTTGGATCTGACATAAATTTAAACGTCATTCACATATTCCCTTGTCGTCCATCTTTCGTGCAGCATATGGATGGGTCAAATGTGAGACAGCAGCCCCGAACAAGCATTTGTGGATTCCGGTACAGCCGTCATTAGTGAGACCTCTAGGTCCTTGCCCGTTACGACATTCAGTTCTTCCGTGACTCGAGCAGGCATCCGCAAGGTTTGTCTCAACACCGAGGGTAGATGGTGCTTTGTACTCCGTAACGTCCTTGGTTTCAATATTTACTTCTTCTCGGGCCTCAGAAACGACAGCGCCGTTTTCAGATCACAAGAGAAACTGTGGAACGATAGAACGTTATGGATCATGCATGTGCTGGTGGATGGGGAGTGGTGAGACGTAACTCAGGCGTCCAATTCAAAACGGAGGCAATTTCCGAGACGGGCGATGCCGGGATAGGGGTTTGCCAAGCTCCCCGTCCCGCTCTCCGCTTTCCGCTTGCCCCGTTTCAATTTCCAAAACACGTCTCACATCAAACTTCATCAGCTCCGTTATCCTCAACCTACCGGACCTACCTAGCAATGTCGAAACATTCCAACTCCGAGTCATTGGTATAAGAATTCATCTGCCAGCAATTCGCTGCCCTCTGATACCAGCACGGACCTCTCCAACACACGTCTCTTTGTAAATATTTCAGACTCCCAAGGCTAACCTTTCAGCATACTGACGTACAGCTACTTAACACAGAAGCCCCTCCCTACACTCCGCTGTTAGTACTCCCACAGCTTCAGCATCAGAACGGAATCCATCCATCGATTTGCCTTGTTGTCTCAGGAGTACTCAGTCCAAGAACTGTGAAAGGCGCCCTTCTTATTCTTCCCTGCCGTTTTATACCAGCCCAGCGGGTTGCAGTAGGTACTGCATATCAGCCACTGTTGGTCATTTCCTTCCATTCCCCGTCGGTGACACAAATCCTCGTATCCTGAGATACCTGTGTAGTTGGAGATAAGAAATTTTTTACAGTTCCAGTCACGACTTCTATCCTGAGCAGCCCTGAGCAGAGGCTGAGCAGGTGACGGTGGAGGTGGCAAGACGCGGTTCTGATCCAGCTGGGGCCGAAGCTTGGCGCCAAAATTTACGGGAGTTCTCAGATCCCCTTCCTCTACCCCCCTTCTTCATTCCCCTATTTCTCTACCAATACTCACTCAGATTTAGGGAATAATGAGTTCTAAACAGGGAAATAGACGGCGCATCTGCCGAAAGCCTACTTCTATAGATCCTCCTTCTCCTGCGGCCTCACGAACGCCAAAAACGATGCTCGATACGCCGCGCCGTGCGCGCCTTCTTGCTGATGCACGCCACACAGCTGGCAAAATACCTCGTACAGAGCTATTTAAGATACGTAATGTACCTAAATCAACTGGCCATCGAATCATTAAAGAAGCAACTGCGCGCCGCAGTAAGAGGATACACAATCGAGGCCGAAAACAAGTACTTGCTCCACATGAGTGCGAAGCAATTGAGGCCGTTGAAGATGCTAATTATAGGGTGGCACAGAAAATTGGCCTAGCTAATGGCTCTGAACGTGCTATTCAAAGAAATATGAAGGATTTTGGCGTAGGGACCTATATGGCCGCGCAGAAAAAGATGCTCTCTCAAGGGCATATTGAGGCTCGAATTATATGGGGATTTGAGCGCCGATATTGGCAATTGGATCAATTCAAGCAATATAGATGGTGTGATGAGTGCCATTTTGCTACTGCCCTGCAACGACAGGCTCGAATTCATCGTCGACCAGGGCTTGAAGCACGAAATGCCTTATCAAAGACTCAGTTTAAGCTCAAGCGTCAAAATCAGTCAGTCCATGTGTACGCAGTTATTGGATGGAATTTCAAGGGTCAGCTCCACTTCTACACAGGCTCCGGAGTAGGAGGGCGTCTTATTCAGGACGATTATATGGCTATTTTGAAAGAAATCGTTGCTCCTGATTGACGATCAGCGCTATTAGGCCCTTTTCTTTCGCAATAGCAGAAATCGACTTGCCTGGATGGTTAGGTTCTCGCCCTGGGTGAGGAATCGACGCAGCTTCATCCGCGAGATGCGATTAATGCCCTGCATCGGAAACTGCGCCATCAACTCACCGGTGAGCGCGTTGACGTAGGGGACGGGCGGGATGCCGGCCAAAGTATCAAGGTGAGGATCACAGCGAGGCTCCTTTATCCGCGCCCGAAGATGTGGAGGCAGAACCTTTTCCAGGTACTCAGCGCCCCAGTGTAGCAAGATGCCTAGTCCTTCTCGTCAGAAGATGCTCATTTTGGGCTCTTAGACTCGGCTATAACTGCTCACTTTTTTTATCAGCGTTTTAGCTAAGTCTACGGGGTGCTGTCTGAAATCTGATCATTTTCTCGAGGTTCTCTTATTCAGGATTGATTATACGAAAAGTAAATTGGGACGACTTTTTACATAAAAAAATCGTAGCCTACAACTAAATGACTTCATTCTTCATATCTCCTTATTAATCGAGCCACACCGCCAAGCTCATGTAAGTGGCTGAAATGTGCTGTAGGCTTAAAGCGGCGCACGATGTTCGGCGTTCTAATTGGTTTGAAAAGTTCTAAAGCGAGATGATTTGCCTAGTTCAAGTTTCATCTCTGCTCGCGTTGTGATATTCAATGTTGTCGAGCGCTTAACCTTACACAACTTCCATCCTTACCGAGTATCTTCAACAGGATTATTTAGTATAGCGTTGATTAGAATCAATCAAGAGCCAACAATGCCCACTCGTGATCGACTTCGACATTGGCTACAGGGAAAGAGGGATCCAAGCCCGCTACCGCCGGCTACGGCCACGTCCTCAGTGCTATCAACCACCTCTGCAGCATCCCCTACTGGGACGTCGACAAAGAGCAATTGCACCGTAGGAGCCACTACTGCCTCAGCAAGTGCAGTTACGCTTGTTGCTGCCAGCCGGAATCAAGCGCTGCAACAAGCCATTGAGGAGCACATCTCCACCATCCCTGACAGGGAAAAGGATGCTTTCCGTTCCGCAGCACAGAAAATGACGGATGACAGTATCTTGGAGCAGGTGCACTCCGACGACCAAGATCATCGAAGTCGGTCATCCTTTCGGCGACTCAGTGAATCAATATCACGGACATTGAACCTTCTCAGTCGCTTTACTGACGCCATTGTAATCGGTGTCCAGGCCAATCCAGACATCTCTTCCATTATCGTGGGAGCAGCTCGTGGCTTGATCTCTGTGGCAATCGGGTTTGTTAGTTTCTTCGATAAGTTGTCTGAGATGATCAGCCGCATGAATGACTATCTGGAACCTCTGACGGCATACGCAAAGTCCGCTGGTGATTCAAAACTCGTCCAAAACTGTTTAGTGAAAGTGTACATCGATTTCTTGACGTTATTCCGTTCTGCTCGCCATATTTTCGTGGATGACCATGGTAATACTCGGAAGTGGCTATCATGGCGAGAATTTTGGCGGGTCCAATGGGTGCCGTTTGAGGAAGAGTTCGGCAAGATCGAAGCCGAGATGCGGCATCATAAGGATGTCCTAGGTGATGCTGCCCGAGCATTAACGCTTGAGAAGTCTTTTGAAGCCTCCCAGAATGAACAGGCACGTCGTCAACGAGAGTTAGGTCAGTCCTTCTGGTGAACAAATGAGACATTCCAACACTGACACAACGTAGTAAAGGAGCGCGAGGACTTTTTGCGATGGCTGTCGAATTATCCTTTCGAGGACGTTCAGAAGACGACATATGAAAAGAAACATCCGGGGACAGGCGACTGGCTGCTGCGTCAATCTGAATTCGAACAATGGTTCACCAAACAAGACTCGGCTATTCTATGGTGTTACGGTAAACGTCAGTCTGTCCTGCTATTAGGCTCTAACGTATATACTAAACACGAGTAGCTGGTGCGGGCAAATCAGTTCTGGCGTACGTTGGAAGGTGACTCCATATATATTTTTGATTTGATCTACTGACACTACGTAGTTCGAATGTGATAGAACATGTCTCTTCCAAGCGTGCACTGGATGACCACGTCGGCATCGCCTTTGCCTATTACAGTTACCAAGTCAAAGAAATGCAGGAAAACGCATTTATCATCTCCGCACTGATCAAACAAATATGCCGGCAGAACTATCGTGTTCCTGAAGGGTTTCTCAATGTCAAAAGAGACGCCCTTGCACCCTCCCAACTGGGTAATGTTGATTCGTTTCTTAAAGCGGTGGAGCACTACCAGCTGAACGAGGTATTTCTTGTGATCGATGCCCTCGATGAGTGTCCAAAAGTCCAGAGACCAGCGATCCTGAAGTGTTTACGTGACATTGTCAGTTGCGGTACAGGTCATGTAAAGGTCTTTGTGACGAGTCGGCCAGAAATGGACATCGAGGAAGCCTTTAAACAGATGACGATAGAATGTATTAGGATCAAAGCACGTAGCGTGCAGAGCGATATTAATCTTTATGCGACCGAAGAGACTCGTCGATTGAGACAGGGATCCGATGGACGAAAGCTGAATCTCAACGACCCGGCTCTTGAAGATCAGATTATTAAGACACTGACCACCAAAGCAGAGGGCATGTACGCGTCCCTGACAACCAAGTGACTTGGTGAGAAGGCAATTACTGACACGCTATCAGGTTCTTGTGGGTGCATTTACAGCTGATCCACCTCTGTGAGGAGAGCGAGTCTGGCAATGACCGCGACGTCGAACGAGCCCTTGCCACGCTTCCAGACGGTCTCGACAAGACGTACGAACGGAGCTTAAATCAGATATTGCAGCATGATGAGCGCAGGCGTCGACTGGCTTTCCAGACCCTTCGGTGGGTTATGTACGCTGAGCGACCTTTGACCGTTAAAGAACTTCAGTATGCCCTGGCGGATGAGGAATCCAGCTCAGGAGGATGTGAGCCTCGAACGAACGATATGAGGTTTCTACTATCAGTATGCGCAAATCTGCTTGAGGTAATTACGACACATCCCACATATCCCACAGAAGGCACAGTTAGGCCTATTCATTACTCAGTACAAGAGTTCATCACCACGACTTCGGATCCTCGCATGCAAGGCCAGCTGCTCATCGCTCAGCACGAATCTGGTGAGATCCACACGGCGCTGGCCACGACATGCATGACTTATCTTATGTCAAATCTGACGGGTTTGGCACCATGCGGAGAATATTATAAACTTGAGCAACGCTTTGAGGAATGTCCCTTTCTATGGTATGCCGCTCGGTCATTTGACTATCATCTGGCGCAAAGCACCCACGGAGCGGCATTGATCGCTTTGGCGAAGAGTCTGTTGCAACAACCGAGCAAGTTCTTAGCCTCAGTCCTGCAGGCTAGAGCTGTGCGTCCCCACCTTTATTCACCACAAAGGCCAGTTACTTACAGTCACTTTGATTCATTTACGAAGACAGTTGATAATACCATGGTGATCTTCTCTTCTAGGCTCTACGACATGGTGGAATTCCACTCTTATTGGAAGGGTAGACAGCTTAATCCATTACTGCTTCATGCTGCGTGCTCTGCTGGACTGACCCAGGCGGTGGAGCACCTCCTAGAGGTCGGAATAATGCCTAATTCGGCTGATGATAACAGGATTAATGCAATCTACTTTGCAGCAATATCCGGACAAATTGAGATTATGCGGCTCCTGCTTGATGCGGGCGCTGAGATAGATGCCCAAGGTGGATATTATGGTAATGCACTGCAGGCAGCATTAGTTGAAGGTCATGAGCAGATGGTACGGTTACTGATTGAGAAGGGAGCGAATGTGGATGCTCAAGGTGGAAGGTATAGCAATGATCCTATGGTAATGCACTGCAAGCGGCATCACATCTAGGTCATGAGCAGATAGTACGATTATTGATTGAGAAGGGAGCGAATGTGGATGCTCAAGGTGGATGGTATAGCAATGCACTGCAAGCGGCATCACATATGGGTCATGAGCAGATAGTACGACTATTGATTGAGAAGGGAGCGAATGTG